GTCTGCCGTAGCAAGACTGTTTCGAGTGGTCAAATGCATAGCATTTCTTGCATTGCACTATGTGTCTCGGGTTTTCTCTGAATGGTTCTACCTTTATGGAAGAGGCGCAGAAGAACTTCCTGTCAGCGGTTTTGAATGCTTCTAGAACGCTCTTTTGTTTATATTTATTTTCAAAAATCAAGAGTAGTGTATTTTACCTGCTTTTCCCAGCGGTTTTATTGATATCGGTTTAATGCCAATGCATTCCATTTCAAAATCATTACCTCATAATCACTCAACTCACACAACACACACACACACACACACACACACGCACACACACACACACACACACACACACACACACACACAACACACACACACACACACACACACACACACACACACACACACACACACGCACGACACACACACACTCGCACGCACACACGCACGCGTGTATTTTTTTTTTCTTGTGTATTTCACATTTGTAAAATATATATATTTTGTAAACTTGATAGTAAACTGTTATCTTTATCAGTTAAAATTATTGAATACTGCTCTGTACTTAAATCCTTGTACTATGTTTTGGGAGAAGACCCTGACATTTAAGATACAGGCTTTGCCTAGTTTAGATGTCAGTAGCTTCATATTAATTGTAGAAGTACTTAACTGTAAGCTTAATTTTGTTATACTGTTGTTATCGAGTGTACTTTAACTTAAAGTTGCAATAAAGATTATTATTATTATTATTATTATTATTCCGCTATCTCTTCTGCGATTATGTCGGTGTCCTCACCGTATGTTTCATTTTTCAGCACCACTTTTATCGCCGGTTGTCTGTCAGCTTCCGGTTTTGGTGCTATTATTCTTGATGGTTCGCACACTTGGATTTTCGTGAGAATGTCTTCCCGGGCTCCTGAGCTCTCCGGGTTGATTTTTATTTGTTCGTTCATCACTCTAAGCGTTGAATTATTTGTTGATGTCACTTCTCTTATAAATCTGAGGGCGCGATGGTCTTTCATTATTTTTTCATCCCTAATTATAATATCAGGGATATGTGTGTTTTTCTGTGCGGGCGTCACGAACTTATCTGTTCTGGTGCGTTGTTTTTTTATTCCTCTATTTTCGTTTTGTAGCGTTTCAAATCTGTTTGCTAACGGTATATTATAGATTGTTTCCGAGTTGGCCTCGGTTTGCCTGTCCGCGCGCTGGGTGTTACATGTGGCGGCCAAACTCTGGGTTGTTTCGGTCGCGCAGGTACGCGCCGTGGTCGTGTGGCTTTGGGCGATGGTGTCGTTTCTTTTGTTCACTATCGTAGACGCTTGCACGCTGTGTCGTTCCCCTAAGGTGAGGCAGGGGGCGGTCCGGGCGGCGAGCGGCTTGCATATGCCGTTCGTCAGCTCTAACCTCGTTCTTACTCACGCCCCCTAGTGCCCTTGCCGTGCCATGACCTCCGTTGAAAGAGCCCTTGCTACCTACACAACATATCAATATAAACACAATGGTACACATAACCTATGATGAAACTTTTCCTTCATACATTCACACTTGCTTAGGACAGATAAAAATTCCTACCATTTGTGTTGCGCGACGAGTCCAAATTAATGTAAGTTAGATTTAACAACAAAGAAAATTAAACATTAATAATAGTAAATAGAAAATCATTAGGTAGGATTTTTGGCGTATTTACCGTATACCGTACCGCGGCCCTGGAACGCAAAGGGCATTTGAAGCATAAGCTGACCGTTCATTATACGGAAAGATCATACAAAGCGAGGCCAAGACAAAGGATTTGTACAGCTTGATGTGTAGCCTGATTGATTGGTTATTTACACTTACCTATTAAATAAAATCCTCGTAAATGAATTCCATTGTGATCAGCTTTTACATTAATCGTAAAAGCTAGAAGCACAACAGTGTCATTTCTCTAAATACACTAAGAATTCGCCTTTTGAGTTCGGACGTATTACGGAACTTACTTGCATACACTCGGCGCTTCACTTCTCCCTAAAGATAAAAATCCAGCGGGGTAAGGTCGGGTCATCGCCCAGAAAACTCCTCCACCAACATAGCCCTGATTTGCAGCTGAAAATGTGCAGGGGCACCGGCATGTTGGTAGTAGAGGTTTCTCAGTGAACGAAGAGGCACATTTCCACTGCACGTTTATGTAGGACATAAAACACACTCGCACCAAAACTACAACTTAAAGCGACGTAGAATGTCGGCACGGCGCGCGGCGCGGTTTTAAATCAAATTAACACGTACACTCCCTACCGACGCAGGGACAGACTGACACACTGACATTGGCCTTGACCGCGAATCGCTGCCGCTACCTACGATATGTTGAGTTTTTTGTTGTGAATTCTGTAGGTATATCCCTACTTGCCTAGGGTGAAATAATTGTAAGAAAAAATTGAAATTTGACTAAAAAAAATGTTGTTATTTTTCATTGAAATTACTTTCTATAAGTGAAACCAAACCACTGGTTTCAAGGACAACTGTGTTTACACTAACACCCTGTATTGTTATGGTAGTTTCGATTTTGAGTGTTTCAGTCATTTGATTGGTACCCCACAGGGGGGGGCGTCCGTTTTGAAGTAGTGTTCGCATTCCCAGCACTGTATTATATTTTTATTGAACTCATTGAGGTCCATTTTCACTTTTTTCACTTTGTCTTTCACTTGTTTACTGTCCGTGTCTAGGACTAAGTAGATCCGTGGCCATATCATTAGAGTTGTGTGAACTTTCACTGTTGTTTTTCGAGAGCATGTTTCCTATTACTCTTGATTCACTAATTCTGTTGGGTGTTGCCTGTCTCACTTCTTCTAGTGACTCACAGGGGGTGCTCCCCCGGGGTCCTCACAGTTCATGATTTTTCACTTTCTATTCACTTCAAGTCTCGTTCCAATGTGGATTTTTTTAAGAAAAGCACAAAATTTCAAGATACCACACGCAGTGCGTGGGTCGTGCGCGGATCGGCTCTCGGGAGCTTTCCGCTGCGCGCGTCCGTTCGCTACGGCGGTCCGCGCGAGTCTCCGAGGATAGATGTAGATGTCTATGGGCCACAGCAACCACTTACCATTAGGTGGACTGTGTGCTCGTTTGTCACCCTATCCTATAAAAAAACACTACCCTGAATTAGAGAGTAGGGACCCTGATTCAGGGTAGTGTAATAGAGGTATAAATTTGACAACTCTCACAACTACACAAACTTTAAAATTAGGCAATTTTAGCCATTTAAAATTCGACCATGTACATTTTGCACCGTGTGTGAAAAGTACCAAAACATCGCACGAAATCCATATTCGCTTCATCTCTTTCTATACGTATTTATGACAACGTCGCAAGAACGATAAACAACAAATATCAACGAAATTCATCTTTTAGTTCGGTGGTAGTCACAGAGTGCGTTTTGTATATCTGAAAGTGGTAGTGTTGGCGTATCGTTATCGTTCCAGTTTTCGTTTTAAGTTTCTTTACTTTCGTACGTTCTGGTTTTTTGGTTTAAGTTGGATATGTGATAACGGTTATACACCAAGGTGTATCGATATGATATGATATTATGATAGCATAACGTTATTAGCTACGTTTTGATATATCGGTCTCATGCCTAGTATCATAGACCTAGTATAATAGTATTCTGTGTCTGTGGTAGGCATGTCGATTCATCTTAAAAAAATCGATCTCTGAATCGATTTGAATCGAAGGTACTTGAATCGATTATCGATTAAATCGAGGCATAAAAGATCGACTTTCGATTAATCGCGACATTTTCAAACATGAAATTTCAAGAATTTTCGATTTTTTTCTTTAACTTCAAAACTCTAATATTTTTTTAAATAAAATATTAGTAATCTTATTGATTAACATTACTAATATTCCTTTTAACCTTTTAACCACTCCTGGTAAGCTTGAAAAGCTTGTGTTAGGAGTGGTTCGCACATACTCCACTCGATCCCTTCTTTTACAAAGTGATTCCACGTAACACTATTATTTGACATTTTAGGCTAAAAACAACAACAATACTTTTACAAAAGTGCAAACTGCAACGTACATTTCTCGATAAATCTGTTTCAATTATCATATTGAAATGATGCTACACGAACACAATACTGGTTATTTCCTTACTATAAACCTCTATAAACTTCAACGTACTGTATAATATTTTTTACAGTATCTAGGTATTAAAAAAATACTCTGTCTGTACTTACAGCTCACAGTATGTATATTTTTGATAATAAATAATGTAAATTCACAAGTTCACAGTTCAAACAGGTTCACAGCTATAATATTATATTATAGCACAGGAGGTGAAATATAATATGAAAATATCGATCGGTCGATCGAAAAAATATTTATAGTTCGGGATGTAATATATATTACACCTCAGTGGAAAAGGTTCTATTTAAAATTACGGTGAGCGACATCAATTTATATCTCGAGATGTAATATTAAATTACATTATATCACTTAGTGGGCTTAAGAATTTTAGAAATGAAAATGAAATGACAACTTTTCGATATTGTTGGATGCGTTCATAAACATTTATTTTATTCAAATTATTCAAATATACATGGCTTTCAAATTATCAACCAAGTACGACCGGTTGTTTTTGCGTCCCCCAACAGCAAAAAATTAAAAAAACTGTGGTATCTTACTCCAGCCAGTTTGGGAATTTTAGCTAGTTCTTGAATCAAATGCATCAGTCGGACAATAGGTTTTTGGATCGATTCAGTAAATCAATGCGGTGCTTCGAATCGATCTAAAAATCGATAATTTTACTCCAAAGAATCGATTTTTCGATTAATCGATTTTAGATCGACATGCCTAGTCTGTGGCTCTGTGGTCAAAATTTGCGTCTACGCGCTGTACTATATTTTGTGAAAATGTAATTAAAGATTGATGTGTTTTGTTTAATTTATATTTCAAAATAAAAATAAGAAACTTACTAGGCGGATACAGACTATTTTCTTCAGTAATATATATAGTATTGTCATAGTCATCAAAAAGTTGGGAAAATGGCAAGTGAGGATGTAATCGAGTTGGGATCTTCTGAGGATGAAGCTGAGCCACCGGCACCCAAAAAAGTACTGTTTTTTAAATACATAGATATAATTTCTCCAAATGTATATTAAATTGTGTTTTTATGTTATTTACATTTTCAGATCAAACCGCTACCTAATGCTATGGTACATATCCCGAACAAATTACGTGGAATAACTATAAAGCCAATGGTAACTAATTTACCCCACAAACATAAAGTATTTATGGGCAAGTCACTATCGGTTACAAAATTGCCTCAATCTACGACAGTTAACTTGATACAGAATACTAACAGACACAATGGAATACCTTTACATAAGTATGTTTCGAAACCTATTTACAGAAAATTAATGACGGACAAGCCAGTACCCAATCAAGATAAATTAAATATTAATCCATTTAATATTGCAAATCGAGGTTCTGCTTTATTGAACAGAACACCTTCATCTAAATTTATAAAACGGCAATTAAAAGTGCAAGATCCAAAAGTGTTAAACAATTTACCTTCAAGTATCACAGTTAAAAGAACTCAAGGCGGGGGAAAAGTTGTACCAGTAGCCAGTGCGCAAACTGTAAATAAAGTAACTGTAAAAAAAAATTTAACTCTTGTTCCATCGAAAACCCTTCAGAAAGATCATGGCAGTAGTATAGGTGATGTTTTAACTGTAGAATTAGATGATGATGAAGGTTCCCAATCTTCTACAGCTACAGGTAGTCCACAGTGGTATTTGAGGCCTGAAGAACAATTGGATGAAAATAGCCTGGAACAGAAAAACAACAAAGAGCCTGAGGCAAGTAATATGATAGAAATTTTAATAGAAGATAGTCCAGTGAAACCTTGCTTACCAAAAGATTCACGTGAAGTAAGTAATGAACTATTTATAACAATCGAGGATAGTCCTATTAAACCATTTAATGATGCATCACCAGCTTGTGACAGTGATAATGAACAAGACAAAACCAAGGTTCCTCTTAGTAAAAAGAAGCTAAATTATCCAGATAATAAAGCATTAAATGAAAATGAAATGGAAGCAGATAATGATTCTACTGTGAATAAATCTGAAGTTAATAATGATACTGAAGAAGATAAAGTTGAAAATGATTCAGAAAATGTAGTTCAACAAACTAAACAACTTGATGAAAATAATAAGCTAGAAAATACAAATTCTCCCACAGTTAACCCAATAATGGTTAAAAAAGATAATTCATTGGAAAGTGATCTATGTTCAAATGATAAGAGCATAGAAGTACCTAGTAAAAATGTTAAGTCGGTATGCAGTAATGAAAATAGTGAATTTCACCCAATTTACCAAAAATTCATAGATTTATGTTTTGAATTAGAAAATTCAGATGATATGAATAAAATAGTTGAGAAAAAAATTAAAACATATTATAGACAAGTATCAAAAGAATATGTTGAATCGGAAGAGTTTATTGATATGGTATCAACAAAAATAACATTAATGAAGGCTGGTCCTCAGAAGATGTTTTTGTACATTAAGGATATAGTTGATGAATTAAATTTACAAAGAAAAATGGCAAAATCACAACCTTTATTAGAAAACAAAAAGGAGTCTGTAAAAGGTAATTTAGCTATTTAATAGTTTTAAAACAAGGTAAAGTTGGTATCTACACAAATAAGTTTATATGTTTGAGAGAATGCAACTTTTTAGTGTAAAATTCTCATCCTACAAATTAATTTAAAAAAATAAGTAGTGAAAATATGTTAAAAGTTTCAAGATAAATTTAATATTAATCCACTTAATTTTGCAACTGTAGCAAAATCAATAAAAGAAGTTACATTTTCTTTTTACATCTTCAATGTCAATTTTGAATTTTAAACACAAAAATCATTTTCATGTCCAGATTTTTAAAAGTAAAATTAAAAAGGTAATATGTGTCATTTGAAGGGATGTAGTCATGAGTTATCATTTGGGGGGTGATGCAAATCACTGGATATCTTGTCTGAATAATTCACAGTTGTCATCATCACCATCAGGCTGCGGCAGTCCACTGCTGGACATCCCAAGGTGGCCAATGTCCAGCAGACAATGAAGTGAAGAATTAGACCGATCTTCGCCTACATGCATCCAGTTTCTACCAGCCACCTTGGGCAGATCGTCGCTCCATCTGGTTAGGGCGTCCCACACTACATTTGCCTAGACGCGGTCTCAACTCTCTCCCAACCACTCTACCCAACTCTACTCCACCGGTTATAGCTTCTGTGGCAGAAATGACCCATTGCCACTTTAGCTTACAAACATGGAAGGCTGTGTCAGTAACCTTGGTTCTCCGGCGGAATTCTTCATTTCGAATTTTGTCTACCAGAGAAACTCCGAGCATAGCTTGTTTTGGAGCAGTTGTATCGTCAGTGTGCCGTAAGTGAGCGGCACCGTAAGTGAGTATGGGCAGAACGCACTGGTTGAAGATTTGTCTTCCGACTTTGCAGTATGGGCGACGAGAAAATCCGATGGAGTTTTCTGAATGCTGCCCAGCCTAACTGAGTCCTCCGATCGGTTTTCTTCTCGAAGTTATTTTTACCTAGTTGCAATATCTGCCCGAGGTAGGAATATTCCTGGACAACTTTGAGAATTTCACCATCAACAGTAATTGGAACTGGCATGACATGATCGTTGAACATAACTTTTATCTAATTATTATTATGACCAACACGGGAGGATCCATTTAGTCTGTTCACCATGTCCTGAAGTTCCTGCAGCAATTCTGCCATGACGACAATATCATCAGCAAAGCGTAAGTGTTAGATGTGCTCACCGTTTACGTTAATGCCGCGTCCTTTCCAGTCTAGCGTCTTAAAAACGCCTTCTAGTGCATTTGTAACCAGTTTAGGGGTACTACATCCCCCTGTCTCACTCCGCGAAGCAACTTGATTGGTTTTGTTTGAACATCCTGTACTTGGACGGACATCGTACTGGTGTTGTAAAGGCATCTCAGCACTTCGATGTACTGCTAGTCAATTTGGCATCGCTGCAAAGAATCTGGAACATCCCAAGTTTCAATGGAATCAAAAGCTTTCACATAGGCCATAAATGCAATACACAGGGGCTGATTATACTCTGTTGTTTTCTGTATTATTTGCCGCACTGTGTGAATGTGGTCTATAGTGCCAAATCCTTTTCAAAACCCAGCCTGTTCTACAGGCTGAAAGTCGTCGAGGCATCGCGCGAGTCGATTTGTGATGACCCTCGAAAACATCTTGTAGACATGGCTCAGAAGTGAGATGGATCGATAATTTTTCAGCATAGTCTGGTCACCTTCCTTGTGAAACAATACTGTAATGCTTCTGCTCCATGCCTTTGGAGTTCTCCCATCTCATAAAATGCAGTTAAAAACTCAACAGAGCTCTTTTAGCAAGGGTTGACTCCCAGCCTTTAAGAGCTCTGTTGTAACTCCATCTTCTCCAGGGGCTTTTCAATTTTTAACTTAGCTGAGGGCCAGCTCAATCTCCCCAAGCCAGATGGCTGGCAGCTCGTCGATATAGTGGCGGGTCAGCTTGGAGACATAAGGCCCTAGAAATATCTTCATAAACAGTTTCAATTTCATCATCTGAATGTGCCGAGGTCGGGGCATAAACTTGTATAATCTTCAGAGAGTATCTCTTTGATAACTGAAGTACAAGGTATGCTACCAGTGTCAAGTACACAGTTGTGCATAATACAAATTATTTTAAATGTTAGCATGACAGCTCCTGTTGCTTCACACTACTTTTAGTATTATAGCTTACAGATTGATTCTTTTTGAATTAATAATAATAGATGCAATAGTGTCATGTCCAGCAAGGTCTTCAAACCTGAGGTAGGTAGGATGGGCATTTTCTTATGGTCCCTATTGCAGTATTGCAGACTAATCTAGACATATTAGTGCACTGCGATAAGAAAATTTTTACAGACAGGCCCCAACTTTCACCTATCATCCTGTTACATTGTTAGAAGATGATACTGACCTTATTAATTTTGAAATCTATGTGTTTCAAATGATATATATGTATATATATATATATATATATATATATATATATATATATATATATATATATATATATATATATATATCTGATGAGGGTTGCAGTTCTCTGTTGTAAACCTCTCAGTTGAATTGAGCAGTTAAAAATAAGTTAGTTAAACTGAATTAAATTAAAACACTAATAATATACTTTTAATTTTAATTAAACATTACTTTATCTATTACTACAATATTATACAATATTAAAAAAATACTATTACAGATGTGTATATCAAAGCCATGTTACATAATGTTTCATTCAACAGTTTAACATCACTGCACTGCAACATTTTCAAGTTTATTTTTACATGCTGGGTAAAACACTTCATAAAACTTAAATTTATAACCTATATATGACAGGGTTGCAGAATAATTATTTTGCTATGCTGCTCCAGTTGTGAAAGTTACTGCAGCTTTTTGTGTGATTTAAAATGAAAAAAAAAACATCTGCTCAAATTTATATATCATATTGCAGATCAATTCAATCATATCTTTGAAGTAAAACTTCTTTACGCACACTTGACTTGGGGAGTAAGCTGGCGAACGCGTGACGACAAAAGCGTTACGAAAAGATTTGAGTGGAGGATATAAGCAAGAGAGAGCAGTGCGCGCGCACATTTTCATATATATATGTATACAGATGGAGCTAAAGAAGTTATAAGTTGTGTGGTCATAAGCACACTTGTTTTTTTTTATTCCTAGTTGGGCATTTTTTATTCTTATAGTTTTTTGGCGATTTAGGAACATCAAGTGACCATATTCCATTATTATAAGAGGCAGCAGAGGGAAACTGAAGCAGTAGCCGCAACATCTTCCTGATAATAACTCAATAATAATGAAACAACTGGGGTAGCCAACTACACTGCCAAATTTGGCAACAATGGAAAATACCCTCTATTAAAAACAAACTATGGGGCTGCCTTTTACTTATAATACAAGCTTTCTTGAACATTTATATTCATATTTTTTCCATATCATAGATTTTATTACAAATTTACAGAGTTGAATAAGGATCTTTTTGAAGAAGACAAACCACATGACCGTAAACGTCGGAGACAAATCCATAAACTAGAAAAGACAATCAAAAAACTTCATAGAGCTATACAAAAATTGGAGGAACAGGAGGTGGATTTTGATGACGAAGAGGATTCAGTTTATCTATTGACTGAAAGGTACTGCAAAAATCTTACTGCTATTTGTGACCATAATTATATGTTTGTCTTTAAGAGAACAATTTTATATGTGGTAAAGCCACAATGCACCTATATTATGGTTGTAGCACGAATGGGTCGGCGTGACGGAAGAAGTGCCACACTCTCATAGAATACCAGCGTAAAATAGCAGCTTAATGATGCTTTGTTTCATATGTTGTGTGTGGAGAACCGGAGACCCATTTTACTGGAATCGAGGCATTCCATCTTAGTCCTCAGAGGTGACAATGTATCTGCATTTTGATTCTTAATCGAGGTTAAATGTAGATGTCTATGGGCCACAGCATCCACTTACCATCAGGTGGACTGTGTGCTTGTTTCTCACCCTTATTCTATAATAAAAAAAGAACTTGTCTACTACATTTTATTGTAGATAGCAACTGTGTAATTAATATAGTAGTATAGTTGTAGCACGAATGGGTCGGCTCGACCGGGGAAGGACCACATTCTCACAGAATACCAGTGTCAAATAGTAGCTTAATGCTGCTGTATTTCATATGGTGAGTGTAGAGAACCGGAGACCCTTTTTACTGGAAACGAGGCATTCCATCTTAGTCCTCACGGGTGACAACGCATCTGCATTTTGATTCGTAATCGAGGATAGATGTAGATGTCTATGGGCCACAGCAACCACTTACCATCAGGTGAACTGTGTGCTCGTTTGTCACCCTATCCTATAATAAAAATATAGACATTATATCTTTTTACTTGAGTGAAGAGCTTTTATGAGCTATATTATTAAATGGGCCAAGGGCCAGCTCAAGTGGGGAAGTACCATACTCTCACAGAATTCCAGCATAAAGTATTATGGTGTTTATTTCATTTATGTTAGAGAATGTAACTGTAACCTAGTATGTAGTATTTTCACCCATATTGTGAAGGCATTTTACAAATTGCACATGGATCCAGACCAACTATTTTGTAAGGTACTATTTATAAGGTATGATTGGTGACATGAATTGGAGAATAATAATAATAAACAAGAATGACGTGCGAAGTGAGGCTATTCCCTCATCGAATCGGCGATGGCTGGGGATGCGGCTCCACAGACGACAGACCATCATCCGCGCGTGGAAGCTGCCATGGACCTTCCAGTTGTGGTTGATTCGGACGAGGATGAAATAGTCTCTCACGAACTATAGCAAATGAGGAGAATATTTGAAGAGGCGATTTTGGAAACGCGCAGCATGCCTCTCGAAAATCGACCGTGACTTCCCCGCATACCCCTAAGCAAGCGAAATCGGGTTGTCGTGAGGGCTCTTAACCTAATGCTGGTGACCTATTTGGAAGCCAGCCGGGACCTTTGCGAGACGGACTCAATTCTTTTTGGCGCCGCAGTGGCAGTTTGCCGTATTATTGGCGCCAAACTTCCCACCATTACTGGCTGAAGGTGTTCATAGTGTGTCACACTGCGCTCGCCAGACAGTTTCAAGAGGCTCTTGACCAGAAATCGCGCCCGAGCCTCTTCACTACTGAGATCGCTCACGTTTTGGTTCCTAAAGATCAGGATACCACAGATCCGAGCAAATACCGCCCCATCACGTGTCTACCCACCATATATGACACTGAGATCCATTTTGTGCTCGAGAATCACTCGTCACCTGGAGCTAAATCAGGTGATGTCACGCGCTTAAAATGGATGTCGGGGCGGTGGTCGTGGAACCAAGGAACCACTCCTCATTGACGTGGTCATTAGCAAAGTGGTGAAACGCAACCGACAGAACTTCTTCGCCGCCTGGATAGACTACAGAAAGGTGTTCGACTCGGTGACGCCCCAGACATGGCTAAAGAGAGTCCTCGAGCTGTATAAGATTGACTGTACAGTTAGATACTTCCTCGGGCGGTATATGGGGCAGTGGAGTACGATCCTTTGTCATCTGGGTGAGCGGATGACGGCTGCGGAAAGCCGCATAAGAATAAGAAGGGGTATCTTCCAGGGTGATCGTCTGAGTCAAATCTGGTTCTGCCTCTCTTTGAACTTTGAACAGTACTTTACTGGAGGGCTCCGGGAGGGGATTTCAGCTTTGGAAAGGAGGTACAAAAGTAACCCACCTTTTCTATATGGATGACCTCAAGTTATTCGCGTCCAATTTTATGGAATTGCTAAACATCACTTGTGAATTTAGCAATTCTATTGGAATGGAGCTGGGGACGGATAAGTGTGCGGTCCTCCATGTTGAAAGGGTTGCTAACTCTGAGGGCATAGACATATCTATGCCCGTCAACTTAAGGACCCTTTCCGAGGCTGAATCATACCGATACCTGGGTATGTCACAGAACATCGGTATTGATGAGGCTGGTATGAAACAGTCAGCTTACGACGTGTTTTATGCACGCTTGACCAAAGTGCTTAACAGCCTTTGGTACGGTGTGAATAAGATACACGCATATAACGGCTGGGTCATGCCTATCCTCATGTATACCTTTGGCATACTTAGGTGGACTCAGACTGAACTTAACGCCCTGGATAGAAAAGTCCGCACTACCATGACGTCCCGTAAGATGCATCATCCGAGATCGTCGGTAATGAGGCTGTACTTGCCGTGAAAGCATGGTGGGCGTGGTTTCCTGAGCGCGCTCACCATGCATAATCGCGAAGTGTGCAGCCTCCGTCAATATTTCCTGGTGAGATCGGATGATCCATTCTATAATGACGTCATTTCTAGTGATAAAGGGCTTACCCCTCTATCCTTAGCCAACGAGCAACGGCTGGACCCGGCAGTACAAAGCATTTCCGACCGGGAGACCGTATGGAAGGAGAAGGAGCTCCACGGAAGGTACTACAGGGCTCTACATGAGCCCTTCGTAGACGTAGTTCTTAACTGGCTACGTTTCGGTGACCTCTTCGGGGAAACCGAGGGTTTTGTCTGTACAATACAGGATCGGATCAGGTTATTAAGACCAACAACTATCGGAGATACATCCTAAAGGATGGCACCGTCGACGTCTGGCGAGCTTGTCGCCATCCTGGGGAGTTACTTAGGCATGTCATCTCCGGTTGTTCGGCGCTTTCTAACTCTGAATACTTCCACAGGCATAACCTAGTAGCCAGTATTCTACATTAGGAGCTCGCTCTGGAATACGGTCTCGTGGATCGGAAATTGCCGTATTACAAGTACTTGCCGGAAGCCGTGCTCGAAAATGACTGCCCCAGACTCTACTGGGACCGAGCCATCATCACAGACAGGACTATTCTTGCGAATATGCCTGATATTGTGCTGATGCTGGGCGCAGTCAAAGATATTTTTGGTCGACATTACTATTCCGTATGATGAGAACCTCGTGAAAGCCGAAACAGATAAGCGAACAAAATATCTGGACCTGGCTCACGAGGTGACCGACATGTGGGGTGGTCTGCCGGTCGAAATTATTCCTGTAGTCGTCTCTGCGAATGGGTTCATCCCAGTCAGTATCTCGGATCATCTGAGGCGACCGGGACTCCGTGACGGATCGCTCCGGGCTCAAATACAGAAGGCAGTGCTCCTTGATACCGCCCGCAACGTCCGCCGGTTTCTTTCCCTTTTCTCCTAACCCTCGGCCGTTTAGTCTCCCCTGTCGAGGGCTTCCATCTGGTTGGATCTTTATTTATTTATGTATTTTTTGTATTTATTTTATTTTATGCTGCGTATTTAGCAGGGATGGGAGATATGATAAGGATATAGAACGACGAGTGAATGCGGGAAATAGAGTAAATGGGGCCCTGCACTCTGTTGTGAAGAGTCAAAATGTGTCAAAAAAGGCACGTATGGCAATTCACAATGCTGTGTTGGTCCCTACCTTAACGTATGGTAGTGAAAGTTGGGTGTGGCAGAAGAAGCACGAGAGTACAATTAACGCAGTAGAAATGCGGTCCTTAAGGATTATGTTAGGGCTGAATCTGAACGACAGGGTAAGAAATTGTGTAATGAGAGAAGAGTGTGGTTTGCAAGATGATGTCGTGACCAGGATTAAGAAAGGAATGTTTTGGTGGTTTGGTCATGTGGAAAGAATGAATGAGGAAAAAGTGACAAAGAAAATTTATCGACCAAATTGGCGATTTGTTGAAAACGGGCCAAATTAGGAGTACCCTTAACCGACGAGCATGTATGCGTAGGTGTATGGATGTGAAGGAGGCGAGAGAGGTGTGTCAGGATGGTGCCAAATGGAAGTCTGTAGTCTCTGCCTACCCCTCTGGGTGACAGGCGTGAGTGTTTATCTTATGTTATGTTATTTTATTTTATTGATTTTTATGTATATTTATCTTTTCATTTTAATTTATAATTATATATTTATAGAGGCTAACCAGATGAGAAAACTATATAGATACCCCATAAAAATAATATTTTCATATTTTGAAATTTTGACAATTGATTTTTGAAAGGTTTATAGTAATTTTATGGCACTAGCAGATACCCGGCATGTTCAATTTGTTTATTTCTTGGAAAAGAAGGAAATTTTATTAACATTTTTTTTTGTAGTGGCTAATGCATTTTTTAGTGGTCTAAAACCATCTTTGCATTATTGCCTTTCTAATGAAACCGATTTGGGGCAAATTGCTTGGATGATTTCAGTCTGTAATGGACATCGGTAGAAAAATATATATAAAAATATATATATATATATATATATATATCGGCTGGCCTTCCTTATAGATTGCCTTTTAAGGCAATCTATAAGGAAGGCCAGCCAGTGTCCAGCAGTGGATTTTGATAGGCTAAAATAGGTAGATGGATAGATGGATAGATGATTGTTTTCGAACACTTGATTTTTTTAAATGTCAACAAGGGCTTTTAGTAAATGAACCCAATTTATTATCTAAACCTAAAAAACGTACGAGTTGTAACATAAAAAATAAAATATTTCAAGTTTTAAATATCTATTATTAAAGGTTTTAACCTATCTTTCAGATATAAGGAGAGACTAGTACGTGTGTATGCAAAGTTTTGTCAAATATCTAATACAAAAATGCCATCTGAACCACGGATTCAAATAGAATGCCGGCCAGGTCAGCCATCAGGCCCTGCAAGAAAGCTTGAGAAGTGGATCAACAAGAAAGTACCCATTGGAACACCACTCCCATTCCCAGACTTCCATGATGTACTTAAATGCGTGAGAGAAGCTAACGAAGAAGACCAACTGGGTTGGAATGAGGCCGATATAATGGAGGAAGGTAATAAATACTAGTTATTCTTTCTGATTTTTCATCTTTGCGGCATTTGAATGGTATGCAAACTATATTTGTAGACAGCACCCTGTTCATGTTGGGCAAACATATGGGTAGCTCAAGGATGGTGGCTAAGATTGATTTCGCAGATTTACATCCTATTTGCCATATGATATGTTAATTCCCTGGGTCTAAAATACTGATGATAATGCACATAATGACAACACATTATGAGCCCTCTTACATTTCGGCGTTAGGTAAATTTAGGTATTTTACGCACCGAGCGGGTGACCATCTACGCGAGCGATACTTTCTTTCATATCTATTCGCTCGCTCGCACTATGTTATTGTGAGTAAAGCAACTAAACGATCTTGATCTTTCATAATACAAGTTTTCTTAGGATGGAGTTCAGTGGATGGAAAATTTTAAGTGTATCATTTTTATGTTATCTAATTAATTTATTATAATCTGTTTTTTTTTTATTTTTCATTATTTATGAACCTTAGTGTTGTAATAAGTACTCATAAATATTTTAATTGTTACGCCATAATCAATTGTTAACCGATGTTGGTTAATAATCGACTATATCTATTAACGGTAGCATAGTGGTATAAATAAATAAATAGTATGCAATTTGTTTTAATAAATAAAAACCAATTGTAACAAGTTTTTTTAATCTGTATGCCTCATTTCCAGTAAAAAAGGTCCCCAGAAATGAATGAGATAGAATCAAAATGCAGAAGCGTTGTCGCCCCTGAGGAGTTAGATGGATTTGTTTTTATAGGATAGGATGACAAACGAGCACACAGTCCATTTGATGGTAAGTGGTAGCTGTGGCCCATAGACATCTACATCTATCTTCGTTTATGAATCAAAATGCAGATGCTGTCACCTGTGAGGACTAAGATAGAATGCCTCATTTCTAATAAAACGGATCTCCGGTTCTCTACACTCGCCATAAAAACCAAGCAACGTTAAGCTGCTATTTTACGCTGGTATTCTATGAGAGCGTGGTGGTACTGGGTGGAGAATGGGTCTGCTCAGTTGAGCAGACCCATTCATGCTACAACCTTAATATAGATGCAGCGTGCCTCTACCACATTTATGTAGGATGTACAGCTATCAAGATCAACGACAGAAGGAATAGTGGACAAGATATGTTTAGTTTTATAAGAAGAAACTTAGTTACTTAATAATGTTGCAAGCCATAATTAATGCACCTAGACCCATCTAGTGTCGGGTAGCAGAGCGAGGAGAGCTTTGCAGAAAGTTCGATGCTAGAACTTCTCACTAGTGCCATCTAGTATAGTGAGAAGCGAAATAAAGTGAACTAAATTGTTGTGTGATTAATTAGGTATTAGTATATTTTAAGTTTTAATTGTTGGCGGTAATTAAAGTGTCAATTTTGGCAATTCAATCGGCACTTTTTATTGTCACGAACCCTAAGCTCGTAACAATAAGTTAGGAAGAAGACTCATTTCGTAATAAAAGTTACCAAATAAATATTGAGATTTTTATCTGCTTGGATACCATTGACGTTTTATTTGTTACTATAACTGAAACCATAATTTGACAATTTGTGTCTTTGACAATCTCAATATTTTGGCCACTTTGAGATCATTGTATATTTAGTGATCAACTAGATGTTTAAAAATGTTTTTTGACTACTCCTTTTCACTACTTTTTACTAAGCCATGCCACGCCGTTTTTTGATCTTAATGCAAATTAATTTCAATTAATGACAAATTGAATAATCCTTATACAAGTAGTACAATGTTTCCCAGCGGCTAAATCATCATGTAACATTTTTATTTGACGCATACGTGTTCGTACGCTTGCTCTAATCTGTTGGTAAATTACATTCTTATATTATAATATTCTATCATGCGCCGTACGGAACATCAGCGAGATTGCTCCATGTCTAAACTATATGAACCAGTTTAAGCAGTAGCATGGGATGAGGCTTCATCAAGAAATAGCAAGTTCATCATAACTTTGTTATGACTAAGAACACAGTGCATGTCGTGATAAATCACAAAGCAAGCAATAACAGCTAATTTGTAAATACAAAAGGCAAATGAATTTATTATCTAGGTATACAGGTTGTTGTTTTATATGCCTTAAAATTTTTAAATTTTGTCAGTTTGCCGAGTTTTGTATTTTAATTAATTTATTTAAGTTAGGCGACTTAAAACATTCATTGTCGTCATAATACTACTATTTCTGTTGAGGTTACAATATTCATCATAGTAATTTGCAGTAAAGTAAAAAAAATCTGTTTACTCCAGCTCGCGATCTTTTCACAAGATGTGGTAAAAAGCTGCAAAGACGAAGACAGGAAAATGAATGGAGATTAGCTGCTTCACGAATAACGCAAGATGTGGACCCGGCTGAACAGAATGAAATGTTGAAAAAGAAATTAGATGAAAATAAGATGGTCGCAGCTAAAAAAGAGACTGAACTTTTTAACAAGTAAGTATTTTAAACATAAAGAAAATTGAGGATATGATATTGACATTAAAATAACCTTTATAAAGTTTTATTTACAAATTTTGTAAAACATTTTTAATTCAATGCTTTATATAGGTTTTTTCAAGGATATATGTGATACTATATCACTTTCTCGCCGACTGTTAATAGTGGCTCCTCTCATTAGTTTAGGTGAAGTTTGTTTCTTTGTGCTTTTTCGTTGTTTGTGGTTTCTTGTGGCACTTTATGTAGGTACCACGATTTGTCGGTCTCAAAATCTATTAGTCGATTAGTACAGCGTTTAAGTAAAGTTAGCATTAAAAAATAGTACTATATAACGGTTATACTAGATATACTAGATATCTGTTATATGTTTGTATGTTGTATGTTGTTATACTAGATATCTGTTAATTACCCTAACCTTAATATCGTTTTATAGGTATGCAGACAAACAAAATCTTTTAAAATTAGAGGCTGTAGAAATTGGTGATAAAGAAGCAGATGAATCACCCGTGGAGAGTGAAGAGGATGAAATTAATGATGATAGTAATTCGTTAGAAGATAGACAAAAGAGAAAAGATCGACTGCGACGACTTTTGAACGAAAAATCTAAAAGAGTTACTGATGAAAAAGTTAGTGATAGTAAGAAAGAGTCTGAAAAGCTTTCCTTGCTAAGCGAAAGTGAGACAGACAATGTTAAAGCATTGCACAGCAAGGAAGGATGTGAACCAGATAACTGTAGAGAAAGTGAAATAAATGACAACATCGAAAAATGTTATAAGAATTTGAACACGAGAGAGAGTGAAGTTGATAAAGATAATAAAAATCTAACGGAAGTAACTTCAGAAGGTGTAAAACGAAATAAAATTCAACAAAATGAATCTGCTACTGATACCGTTGTTGAAGATATAACAGATAATAATAACAAAAATGAAAATACAGCGCATGAAGTAAATGATATGAAGACTACCGGTGAGAGTGATTCCATTACCCCTACAGATATGATAAAACCCGAGCCTAAAGTCTATGATACTGAACGCGTAACTTTAATAAGTGATGATTCTGATGTGGATGAACTCAATTTACTACAAAAGTTACATTCGGGAAATGAAATATCATCATCTGATTCATCAGAGTATGATTCACCAATAGCTATTTCAGACACGCTAGAATCAAATAGCGATTCAGAAGACAATGAAACTCATGATGTTATAAGTATTGAAAATTCCAGTTATTCTGAATCTGAGACCGCCAAAGAAGACATTATGTTATCAGTTAATGATATTGCAGAAAAGTGTAGTAAAGTAGGTGAAGATGTTGTTATATATAATTTAGAAGATGAATCGCAGAATGCCGATAGTGTAGATTCTGTAGTTGAAGCTGATAAGGAATATTCCGAGAAAAGTAATAAAGATAATGATGAAATGGAGGATGTCCTTTTGGCTTCTTCTGAAGATGAAGACATTACACATAAAGATATAGATTTATCGAAAGGTGGCAGTGGTTATATTAACTTAAAGGATGATGCAATATCTATTGAATCTAATACAGATGAAGTTCCAGATGAAAAAAGAAATGAAATGCTAAATGATGATTTAAATGACGGTAAATCCGATTGTAATGTCCATATACACTATCAGGAAGATGTTTCCGAATTAAAAAATATAGAAAAACATGGTGATGAATCAGAAGAAATGGATATTATTGAGACAACTCTAAACGAAGATCAACTTCAAGAGCCCTCTGCACCTCTGCCCTCAGCAAACTCTGATATTAACTTAAAGGATGATGCAATATCTATTGAATCTAATACAGACGAAGTTTCAAATGAAAAAAGAAATGAAATACTAAATGATGATGTAAGTGACGATAAATTTGATTGTAATCTCCATATACACTCTCAGGAAGATATTTCCCAATCAAAAAAGATAGAAAAACATGGTGATGGAGCGGAAGCAATGGATATTACTGAGACAACTTTAAACGACGATGAACTTCAAGAGCCCTCTTCACCTCAGCCCTCAGCAAACTCTGATATTAACTTAAGGGATGATGCGATATCTATTGAATCAAATACAGATGAAGTTCCAGATGAAAAAAGAAATGAAATGCTGAATGATGATATAAATGATGGTAAATCTGATTGTAATGTTCATATACACTCTCAGGAAGATGTTTCCGAATTAAAAAAGATAGAAAAGCATGGTGATGGATCAGAAGCAATGGATATTATTGGGACAAGTCTAAACAAAGATCAACTTCAAGAGCCCTCTGCACCTCAGCCCTCAGCCAACTCTGATATTAACTTAAAGGATGATGCAATATCTATTGAATCTAATACAGATGAAGTTCTAGATGAAAAAAGAAATGAAATGCTAAATGATGATATAAATGATGATAAATCCGATTGTAATGTCCATATATACTCTCAGGAAGATGTTTTCGAATTAAATGAGATAGAAAAACATGGTGATGGATCAGAAGCAATGGATATTATTGAGACAACTCTAAACGACGATCAACTTCAAGGGCTTTCTGCACCTCAACCCTCAGCAAACTCTGGGGAAATCGGGGAAGAAACTAGAATAGTCTGTAATAGTCAGGATGAGATGGTTACATGCGTTGATAATGCGCCACTTGACTGTTTAAAAGATGCGAGATCAAAGACTGTAGAATCAACCGAAAATGACGTAAACATGAGTAATATTAGTAATATTGTTGAGCATCATTCCAAAAGTACTGAATTAACGTGTGAGAAGAACGCTAATGATGTAGAAATGCTGCTTCAAAAAATGTTTGATTCAGACAAAAACGCGAAAACATAACTAGAACAAAATTTAAGGGCTGTAGTGGAACACAATTGAAAAATAAATATCCTAATGCTTAAAGTAAAATTAATACAATTTAGTAATTTAATTAAGTAATAATTTAATTTTAATTTTGAATTCACGTCATGTCGTTGATAGCAATTAGTCTTGTACAGTTTTTGCTTATATTATTTATGTGTAATAACTTTTACGTAAGCAATGTTTTAGTTTATAGAATAATTTGGATCTCTTACTTAAGATGATACAGACAAATAGTGACATTTTGTTATATACTTTCATATTGGAAAATAAAAAATACATAATTGAAATGATTAAATGTAGTATAACGTAAGGTTGTTCCGGTCAGAGGGTTACAGAGTGTTTTTTTTATAGGATAGGATGACAAACGAGCACACAGTCCACCTAATGGTTAGTGGTTGCTGTGGCCCATAGACATCTACATCTATCCTCGATGCAGATGCGTATCACACGTGAGGAGGACTTAGATGGAATGCTTCGTTTCCAGTAGAAAGGGTCTCCGGTTCTCTATACTCACCATACGAAACACAGCAGCATTAAGCTAGTATTTGACACTGGTATTCTGTGAGAGCGTGGTCCTTCCCCGGTCGAGCCGACCCATTCGTGCTACAACTATACTACTGATATAACTGCAGCATGGCTCTACCACGCATATAAAAGAGAGTGTCAGTATAATGAGGCCGAAACGATGACTTTTCTGCCACCAGGGTGGTGCTAATTAAAAATGAGGTGTAATATTTGGGAGATTTTATGGCAGGGCAGAACAAATTAAGTTAATATAAATTAACTTAATTTGTTCGAAAAATATAAAAGGTTAAAAATTTCTTTCTGTAGTTATATTAATTAGATTAAAAATAAATAAATAAACCAAACCACAGATATTAACAAAAGTAGTAAAATTTTAAGAGTTAAAAATGTGCAAAAAAAAAAATAAAGAGCAAAGCAATGAGGCATTTGTTTTTTAGGGTTCCGTAGTCAACTAGGAACCCTTATAGTTTCGCCATGTCTGTCTGTCCGTCTGTCCGTCCTCGCTTAATCTCTGTGACCGTTACCACTAGAAAGCTGAAATTTGGTACCAATATGTGTATCAATCACGCCGACAAAGTGGTAAAATAAAAATTGGAAAAAAATGTTTTATTAAGGTAGCCCTCCTACATGTAAAGTGGGAAGTGATTTTTTTTTTAATTTCAACCCTAACGTGTGATATATTGTTAGAAAGGTATTTAACAATGAATAGGGGTTTACTAAAATCATTTTTTGATAATGTCAATAATTTCGGAAATAATCGCTCCAAAAGTAAAAAACAATGTGTGTCCCCCCTCTAACTTTTGAACCATAAGTTTAGAATATATGAAAAAAATCTGAAAAGTAGAACTTTATAAGGACTTTCTAGGAAAATTATTTTGAACTTGGATGGAAACAACAGTACCCACTACCGGGAGCAGTTGCAGGAGCGCGGAGCGCTGCTGGAGCGCGAACATAATTGATACCCACCTTTAAACTCATAAGTGGGAACACTTATTGTGACGGACGGGAAACTACGGAACCCTACACTGAGCGTGGCCCGACACGCTCTTGGCCAGTTTTTTTAAAACTAACTTCTCAATTAAATGACATTAAAGTAAAAAGTAAAGTAGTTATAGCCTATATACGTCCCACTGCTGAGCACAGGCCTCTCATTTCTGAGAGGGTTTTAGGGCAAGGAAGTGTCCACCGCGCTGCCCCAATGCGTGTTGGCGAACTTCACATGTCTTCGAAATATTTTTTTTCTTATTTCTCTGACATGCAGGTTTCCTCACGATGTTTTCCTTCATCGCCGAGCACGTGGTAAATTAAATGACATTGTGTAACAAAAACTTCACCTTATAGTCAACTAGCGTGCATCTGGTGAGCGGTAGATTCTTTTTAAATAGAAAGAGAGTGACAAACGAGCACAAGATTCACCTGGTGGTCAATGGATGCTGTGGGCCATACTCGTAGACACCTAACTCTATCCTTGATTAAGAATCAAAATGCGGTTGCGTTATATTAGCCCTCATTGTAGACTGTGAGACTTTCCATTTACGTCATCAAAGGTGAGGTGGCAAGTATCTGCAGCCTTTTTTTGTTCGAATTTGGATGCAGGTGTCCATGGACTGCAGTATCAAGTGGACTGGACTGATTTTATATATATATATATATTGTATGTTTTTTATTATGTGCGAGCGGCTGTGCGGTCTAGGGAAGGAGGCCTAAAAGATCTATTGTGATCGCTGCTATAGCTATAGTCACTGTTAAGACCAGATCTTAAGTGATTTATTGTGGTAAAGATTTAGTGTGTTTCAAGGGTTAATCGGGTTAGGCTTCTTGAGATTCCACAAAGTGGCTCAGATTCAAATTGTGTACTCTTTGAGCTCTCCCGTGCAAGTTTGTCGGCAAATTCGTTGCCTACAATACACGCGTGACCCGGAACCCATCTTAAGATGACCCTGTTGTTACATTCCAGGGCGTATAAACGGTTCACGCAGTCTCCAACTAGCTTCGAGTCCACTAATTTTGACCTCAGCGCTAGCAGTGCTGCTTGACTATGAGAGTTTATATAAATTATATTGTTGACGTAGTATTTTTGCAGATTGATTTCCACACTGAAGTATGGCGAAAATTTCTGCCTGGAAGATAGAGATGAATCTACCCAAATTCATACTAAATTTCAATTTTGGGCGTTCCCCATAAATTCCTAAGCATACGTCGAGGCTTATTTTGGACCCATCGGCCATTTCTATGGTCATCTGGCGATTCAGCCAGTTTTCTCGGAGGGTAGTTCCACTTTTTATCAAAAGTGTATAGTGGACGCATGATATCTGAGATCATGCATAAGGCCGGTGTTTCCTTAATTGAGTCGCGCATGGATCTCAATCTGTAGGAGAGCAAGCTCAAACCGCCCTGGGCGTTGATACTATACAAACTCGCCTTCGCTTCCTTGTCTAGATAAAGATCAAGGGGCGTTAGGCATAGAAGTGTATAAAGAGCCGCTCCAGGCGATAATCGCGTAGATCCAGTTGCCATTTAGCAGGCAGTGTAGACTATTTGGTCTGTCCGCAGTCGTCTTTTGCTTGGCCTTGTTGCGTTGCACCAGACAAGGAGGCGTAGGTGAGAATCGACCTCACTATGCTACTGTACAGCTAGGACCATACTGGGACGCATTCCCCAGTTGTTTCCGACCATACGACTGCACGTACCTAAAGCAATTTTTGCCTTATGGCGTACGTTGCTAAGGTGTGAGTTCCACGTTAGTTTTTGGTCGATTGTTACGCCCAAGTAACTTAACTTCAGTGGAAAATGGCACTTCTTTACCATTGAGTTTTGGTGTGACTAATTTGTCACACAATATTAAACTGTTATCCCTATACCAGCTTTTTATGGTGTTTAGGGCTTTTTGTATGATTGACGATAAAGTACTTTGGCAAAAGCCCCTTGCAATGATCACAAGATCATCAGCATAACCCAGTGTGTCAATGCGTAGGTCTGCCATCTTGTACAATAGTTGGTCAACCGCAAAAGTAAGGACTCATCATAACTAACAAAATGAGCCCTAACTATGCACATCTAGTTCTACTAGTCCAGGAGTTCCAGTAGTAATCACCGAATTACATCTTCAAGTTTACACAGTAATCTATGTTCAAGTCACTCCATTAATACTGGAGGTAAGGTCTTATTATAACTGACAAAACCAGGCCAAAGTCCACAGCTAATATCTCACTGCCAGTAGAGGGCTCCCAGTGCCAAGCAGTCTCTGGAGTAGGTATTTATATTTCGTATCTAAATATATTTATGAGGTATATGATTGAAAAACAAATTGAATCTTTCAAATTATCATATCAAAAGAAGAAGAGGATCGTCTGAGTGTTTCTGTTCTGTCTGTTTCCTATTGAACCAGACCAAATAACAGGCGGCAACCAAGTGAGGGAAGAACTCCTCAGACTTGGAGTGGAGATCAACACGATCTTCGCTCTCTCCCAAAACTAATCTCCAAACTGCTTGCTGGACAGGAGAGCAGAATAGGCGTTAATCTAGTTCTACTGATAATGTAGAATAACCCCTGCCCATTGTATGTTACAGTCAATAATACACTTTCTCTCTCACTCACACAAACTCTTTCAAAACTTCTTTGACCGCCGAAAATAAAAGTATTATGATTAGACTATAACCAAAGTAGTTTTGATTCAAAAAAAATTGTTCATAAAGTTTTTGACTTAAAAATATCAATTAAAATTAGTTTTGACCAAGACTGGTTGTAAAATCATATGACAAACCAATCTGTTTTAGGAAAAACTAGCTCCTTTTCTGACATTCCTAAACCCGACAGGATCAGGCGCACCTCAATCTACTGTCACTGAGATTACTTTTTTAAATATCGATGGTAGGTTGAATTGCACTGAGGTGACCCTTTAACCACAATACCTCGACTTATAACCTCATTTGTAAATAATTTAATCAGTGAACCGACGACGGTTTGAAATCAGATTGAAATAGAGTTCGTAACTTACCGTTACTGTACAGTATAAAGCCTTATTCGTCAATCCGCTGATGTTGATATACCATCTTAACTAATTGTATCAGTGCCGAATTATTGTTATTTAGAAATATATTTTTTTAATTTGCTATAGATTATCTATACCTACAAATAAATAAAATTGAAGTGTCTGTAATCTTCACATACCAGCTTTTTACTAAATACACTTGAAATACGGTACTGTTTATAACAAAAACATAATTTATAAAATTTTGTGGCCTGTCTGTCTGTCTGTTTTGGCTAATCTCCGAAACAGTTGGACCGATTTTTACAGGATTTGAACTGACAGATAGCTGATGTTATAAGGAGGAATTTAGGCTACTTTAATTTTGAAAAAAAAAAGGATACCGCGCAAAAACCTTAGAACTCTATATTACACGCGGGCGAAGTCGCGAGGAGCAGCTAGCAAATAATACTTATTGAAAGTCTGGTACTGGTTCGAAAATGACGGGGGAACACACCGCCGACCTTCCCACGATGTGAGTGCTCCATGCCGGATGTGTGAGTGAAGGGAGAAGATTGCTTTGCGAACCGAGCGTACACAACGCTCGGTTCGCAAAGCAATCTTCTCCCTGGACGTCCAGTAAGTCGAGTGGGCCTGATAGAGTCCCTCCCATTGTGCTGAAGACGTGTGCTTCGGTTATATTTATATCTACCATCTATCTATGCTTGCTGCCGCCAATGTTTTCTTTTCTCCAAAATGTTGGAGTCTATTGTAAACTGCCAGCTCATGAGGTACCTTGAGGATCATCAGCTGATCAGTGACCGCCAATACGGTTTCCGTCGTGGTCGATAGGCTGGTGTTCTTCTGGTCTACCTTACTTATAGATGGGCGGAGGCAGTAGAGTCCAAAGGAAAGGCATTGGCCGTTAGTTTGGACACAGCGAAGGCCTTCGATCGGGTCTGGCCCAAAACGCTTCGTTCGAAGTTTCCTTCCTATGGGCTTCTCGAGAAATTGTGCGATTGGACCACCAGTTTTCTTACTAATCGTATCAAGGTCGTAGTAGACGATGCATGCTCTGATTTTTTTTAAACAAGCATATTAACTCTAGTGTTCTACAAGCCAACTTGGCACCACTGAAAGGATTGTAGCTAGTAACATTATTTAACCGTCGTGGCATCGCCCAAGGTTCGACAGAATCAAAGGCTTTCTCATAGTCCAATTACGCAAGGCAAAGTGGCAGATTGTATTCTTCAATCTTCTGTACAATTTGTCGAAGGGTATGTATGTCGTCTATGGTACTAAAGTCATTCGGAAACCGACTTGTTCGGGAGATGATTCGTAACGACTATCGTAAACAGCACGTAGACGCGGCGCAGAAGGGAAATTGGTCAGTAGCTCTCCAACAGAGCGATGTCGCCTTTGTTGAAGAACAAGACCACTTGTGCTCCACGCCTCCGGAGTAGTGGAGGATGGAACTGAAGAGCTTCTGTAGGACTTCAAGTACTGGTTTTTCACCCGCTTTTAGAAGCTCCGCTGTAATTCCATCCTCGCCTGGGGCCTTGCCATTTTTAATGTGCTAGAAAGCCATTCTAATCTCGCTCAGACTGTCTTCTGGGATATCGTTGGAATAGTGTTGAATAAAAGTAAGACTTGCTTATGGATTGTTACTCACACTTGTGTAAGCCTCGAACGATGACGTGTACATCTGTCCGTAGAACCTTTCAATCTCATTCAAAATCTTAGTTGTCTCGGAAACGATGCTACCACATTCGCTCTTCAGCTTCGACAGTTGGCTCTTTCTGGCAGACAGATCTCTGGCAAAGACTGGAGCCATGGTTACGCTCAATTGCTTCTTCAATACGAGCTGTATTGAAGTTACGCAAGTCTCTCATTCTCTCATCCCGAATCTCGAGATCTGTCTGTTAAGTTGCCTGTATGCTGAAGACTGCAGCTTCATTTCCCGTCTAAGGTAGGTAAGTCTTAGGTAGGTTTTTATGTATGTCAAGTAAAAAAATACTTTTTGTCGTCACAAAATATATTTACAATATTTACAAAAATCCAAACTTAAGTACATAATTGTAACATTATTCCTAGTATTTATTATCTTTGCTAATCTACGCAAAGCAAATCGGTCCAACAACGAATGAAAACTTGTGTGATGCTTCGATAAAAGCCAGCGGTTGGAAGTCACTAATGGGTAGTCGGTCAGTGCGAGATGTTTTGATTTCCAACACAATTTCTCCTTTACCTTCCTGTAATAATAAATAATAATAAGTCAATAGGGCAAGGTTTACACCTCTATAAGGTGTAAAAGCTATAGTGTCACGCACATTGTGACAGTCGTTGTCTCGTCGTTACACGTTTCCGAATTATTTTTTTATTTAAACTTACACAATGTAAATATGAATAAAGGATGAACATAAATTCTGAAAGCATTTTCTGCCTCTAAATTTTAGGGTGGTAAAACTCTGGTTGTTGCAGAAAACTAAGTCAATGGAATAGTAAGAGATCTTAAAAATACTACAACAATACACATAATAAATTGCAATTTACATAACATATGATTAACATTCAATAAAAGACAGATAGATCACTATGCAACTACTAGGTACTAAGCAATTTTGTTTGCGCGAACGGGAGCGTACTTACCGAACTTAAAAGTGTTAAAAAAACATATTGGAACAAGTTTTTCTTAGAATATTTTCCTTCTCTACAAACAAATATTTTTAGGTAAGAGTAAGTCCAAAGTAAGTCAGTAGGTTACCTATGACTTTTTAGTGTGAAGTAGAAACATGTTTTTTATTTTTATTTAATGAAGAATATAAAACCTACCTTGCAATCATCTTTAATTATCTGTGGTTCCTTGAACTCTACAAAATTGTATCCATATAACTTTATTCCATTACTTCGTACTAAGTCCATTGGTATGTCAGATCTAAAAACATTATATATTTATTATAAGATTAATATATAATCTATGTCAAATACAAAGACATCTACGTATACAAAATACTACATTCTTATTCTTCTTTATAATCATCATCATCATCCCGTCATAATTGGATCCGCTACCATTGTAGGGGGGATTCACTAGGATTACACTAGGTACCTCTCTTTTTTGATGCGGCTGCATGTCGCCACTCTTTCGTATACAAATGGTGTAAACACGATGTATACCGCCATTTGTCGCATCTCATCTATCTAAACGCCAAAGATGTATTTGGTACTCGTATTTTGCATAGTCGCTCCGTGCGACACTTACCTACAGGTCGAAATGAGATAATATGGTTCTTATGCAATTACCATACGGTGTGAAATGTTATTACATAAAAAGTACTAATAAAAAGGAATTTAATATAATATAACGCACCGCAGTAGCGCAACTGATATTCCATGAGGGCTATGGCCCTAAGAACAATGAGAGGGTTGAGGGAAGGAGGACGATTCTTAGTTTTTTAATAAATAAATAATATTTGTGTAGCTTTTGTTTACACAGCTGTCGCATCTCTGGCAACTCACGTCGTTTGTCTGGGTCTGTAGTCTGTTCACTAAGATAGTGTCGGCACCTACACCCGCAGGCGCAACTTATTGTTTTGCTTTTATTTTATTACTTTTACTGTGTTTGTTACATAAATGTTTTCCTATTGTAAGAATAAAATAGAAAACTATTTCATTCTTATGGTTATTGCAATAAAATACAGATATAAATAGTAAACACTAGTTAGGTAGCAATGAGAATTTTTTATGAAAATTATGAGTAGATAGGTAAACATAAAGTAAAGTAAAATATACACTATTCTTTATCACTCGAATTGTTAGTTATTGCCATTTTCTGTTTACGTAGCAGAGTCAACAAAAACAAACGTTCAATATGGCGGTTCGTTTTAAAATGCCAAATTCACCTGCAGGTGTACGCCACACGTGGCGACCTTTGATGTTGCAGCGGCAACTTTCACAAGATACGGCACGTGTAAAGGCGGTGAGACACAAAGGCGACTGTATCTAAGCGAACAAACTTTTCGACCTGTCGACGTAAACGCGAAGGTTATACTGCCATTTATCGAAAAATATGATAATTTTAATTTCAGACAGTCGTCCCTTAGAAAACCGACACGACGAAATGGGGTGACGGACTTTATACGTTGCCACCACATGATGTGATTAAATCAACTAATTACTTACACAATAAAACAATAAGTGAACTATTATATCATAAGGGATAAGTGTAAGCTAATCCTATTCATGTACGTGACTGTACCTAAGTAAACGTTTTGAAAGCGCGGCGAAATGTTCGTACTATAGTATTTATTATTTACCTTTGTGGAGCAATTGCATCCAGACATGTGTATGTAAAGTTTTGTCTAGCTCCTTGTGAAAGTAATTTTAAAAAACGAAGTTGTATCGCACCCGATCCTTCATTGTCATATGAAATCTGTAACAAAAATTTGGTTGTCGTTTTTAAGGTTACGCTGTCGTACAAAAATCATTATAGAGTTTTGTACGTCTGTCTAAGTGTCTTAGCATCAAATTTCTATAATTTACTAGCTGGTCAGGTAGAAATTATTCTGCCCTCTCCGCGACCCTTTAACCTATAAAAAATCCTTAAATTCGTAATAAAAATATTGAGGGTCAATTATCGGAATAAAAACTATTCCTTGGCTCAAGTTGCACCAAACTGCACAGTGTGCAAAATTTCATTGAAAATTGAAAAAATCAGTTTAGTAGTTTAGAAGTTCATTGCGTACAAACAATGATGTTTTAATAGTATAAGGGTGACAAACGAGCACACAGTCCACCTGTTGGTAAGTGGATGCTGTAGCCTATAGACATCTTTACGAGTATTTATCCACGATTAAAAATCTAAATGCAGATGCGTTGTCACCCCTGAGGACTAAGATGGAATGCCTCGTTTCAAGTAAAAAAGGGTCTCCGGTTCTCTACACTCACCATACGAAACTGCTATTTTATGCTGGCATTCCGTGGGAGCTTGATCCTACCCCGATCGAGGGGACCCGTTCCTGCTACAACCATAATATAGCTGCAGCGTGCCTCTACAACGTTATGTTATGTGGCACGTAATTTTTACATCATCATTTTGTTATCTTATTTGTATGTAATGGTAGCAAAGACCACCTACATGGAATGCCACAAAGGATGGTTCAACAATATTGTAATATTCACGGTCGCCAGCGGTTTTTCCGGATCTCGATGCAACAGAGATTTTCAAGGAAAAAGTCAGCGGTACTACTTTCTACTAACGACAGGCAAGGCACCTGCGAATTCCTATAGCGTTGCATAATACGCTCTTTTGATAAAAAAACAAGCAATATTTTAAAGGTCCTTAATATATTCCCTTACGACTATTTTTAATATATGTATCTTGTATTTTAAGGTATTAGACACTTCATGTAATACAAATACTCACACGATGTCCATTGTCAATATGGGAAAATTTCTTTGCGCTATCGTACGTTTGGTATACTTCATTTGGTTCCATAACGTCAGGATATACGCAAGTGTATTGCCCTTTACAGTAGACTCGAATTGGTCGGCCAATGGCACCGCCACCTCGTGCATCAATCCAATAGAAACCTGTGAAATATATATACAGTTTTGTATATTAAACACTTGCCCTCAGGTAGACCGTGAATTCGTTTGTCAGGTAAAAACTTTACACAATCTCTAGACAAGAAAGATTATGATAAGAAAATATTACAAATATAATTTTTTTATGTATTTATCTTGCTCACATGAGCAGGGCAAATACATAAAAAAGTTGTAATAGTTGTAAGTTCGTAAGTGATAATGAATAAGTTCAAGTACACGTAAAGTAGGTTAAAATAAAAAAAATTGCTAGTTATTTCCTATAATGTTTTCCGAACCAGTGGTAAGTTAAAATTAAAATGACTTTCAGTAAGTGTTATGTACTCATATAACCTTTATTGAATGTAGATATTCCTTTCCTATTTCTATTTCTAGTAGCTTCTGTAACCCATGGAAACTTAAAATCAGACATTTAAATGACACAATAGATGTGTTGTCACCTCCGAGGACTTAAGACAGTATGATTTACTAACTTATAACCAGTAATATTTTTTGGTTCTTCATATCCTTCCAATCGAAGTAGTAAATGCGGATCCTTGGTGGCAGAAATAAAGATTTCGTAGTCAATTAAGCCGTTATGCTTTATAGTGACGATGAATTAGGAATCCCTCACTCCATTTCGTCCCATGAGTGTCTTAAAAGGCGATTGTTGGACAATTATTTGTATTTTCCTAACCTACTCCATAAATGTAACTTTTTATAAAACGCAACCGGTCACCGTGACCAACGAACACAAGTCCACCGAATGGTAAGTGGCTATAGCAGTCAATTGGAGAACTGCAGCCAACTTTCAACAAAGAAGACTAAAGATCCGTTGTCACCTAAGCTGACTAAGATGTAATACTTTTGTGGTGGCGCTGTCGTCGCGCCACAAGCGAAACGCACCGAAGCCTAAAAAGCGCTGTCTGTGATCTGATATGATGTGTATCTGTAGAGCCTGTAACTATACTGGATCTCTATTCTATAACCTTCCGATCGGAACAGCGGTGTATAGTGTATTACACGGATTAAAGATGTTGAACATCATTATACAAGCTCTATAACAGACATACCATCGGTTAAATTAACATGCGAAGACCGTAGATCTTTGCACGTTAGTGCAGGGTTTGAGCGAGTGCCCCACGGCCGTTTCGCAGACTCCAGCGTAGTGTGGGCGGCCAGTACACCTGTCATTATTTCGCGCGCCCATTCAATTTCTTCATCATCTATTAAATACCACTCTAATAAAATCAGCTGCTGGACTTTCAGATATTACACTATTAATTAATATATTTAAATAACATCTTTTTTTTCACAATTTTGAAATTATTATACGCTAATATGTACTATTAAAACAAAACATTATCAAGGATCATGGAAAATGTATTTGATCAAGGTATACAACCTGACCCTGAACTGGGACCTAAGATTGGAGCCTCGTTACCAGTTTCCAGTAAAAGGAATCTGCGATTCTTGATTCTTGTCACTCATCATTCGAAACATTGGCAGCATTATGATTTATGATGCTATTTTACGCTGGTATTCCGTGCAATACAGTTTTTCCCCAGTCGACCCGTTCGTGCCGCAAACAAAAAGCTGTATCATGGTTTATTGATTTCTACGCAAAAAAAATTTGATAAAAATAAGGTTAAAGAATAATAATTTACACGCTCAGCTTTGGAAAAATTTAGTAGACTGTTGACAAGATAGAGAGGCCCTGCCTGAAATAAACAGTCATCTAACCAAGGTTCTAATGAGACTGAACAAGCCACAGATCAGGATAGTAACAAGTGCTATCACAGGACATGGCTCTTTTAACAAACATTTGTTTACCATAGGTGTTACTGATAGCCTCCTGTGCGGGGCATATATGGGTGAAGAAGAAACGGCGGCTCACGTGTTGCTGACATATCCAGAAGTCGCTTCATACAGGGCTAAACGTCTCGGCACGCCGGGATTGCTCCCCGAAGTTGCTTGCAACATCAAGGACTGTTGAACTTCTTCGGGGAAATATCATGGCTCGAATAACCACACTACTCCTGCCCACACGCAAAATACGCGCTTAGACGTGGTTTTGCGGAAAACAGCCCGTCGTAAACTAAACTAAACTAATTTTAAAGAAGTTAAAATCAGTATTTAAATATTAATGAAATTACCATCTTCTAAGTTATCTTCCGTAGTCATTTCCGAATCTAAATCTACGCTTCTGCGTCGTCTATACGATGTGAAGAGCTCTGGTGGTAATTGCGGAGCCGGTGCTGGAGGGCCCGGTGGTCCCGGTGGGCCTGGAGGTCCTGGTAGTCCCGGTCTTCCGTCTACACCACTTTGTCCCTTAGGTCCAAGTGGACCTTCTGGACCTGGTAAACCTGCTGGTCCAATTTCTCCTTTCACTCCTGGCGGTCCAACTGGTCCCTAAAAAATTTAAATATCATGTATTTCTTAGGTTTAAAGTTACAGCCTATATACGTAACACTGCTGGGCACAGGCCTCCCCTCAAGGCTGAGAGGGTATTTGGGCAAGGAAGTGTCTGCCACTCTGCCCCAATGCGTGTTGGTGAACTTCACGTCTTCGATTTTTTTTCTTATTTCACAGACATGCACGTTCACGTAATCAGCACTTAAAGTGAAATGGGCGCCAAAAGCTAATTTTACACGTTTTATAGGCACATGAGTTCATAAAAAGAACAGAGATAAAACTTCACACAACCGTGCGAATCGGTTGCACTACTACAAGCACGCGGGGCATGTGTGCGTGACCACTGGCCGCTTCAACAATTTCAGGGTCAGTGCGACGCACGTTTGTTAGTTGCAAGTTTGAATATTTTAATGTAAATTAAACGTGATATTATAAATAATGGTTCTTATTGTATTGTGTGTATGAATAATACGAGTACTAGAAAAAAAAAAAATATATATACCTATCATACTTGAATTATCTCAAGGAGAATAAATAGGTAAGTAAATATTTGATAATTACTTTGAATAAATTTAAGAAATCATTGATAATTAATAAGAAGAGGTTAATACACGGTGTGTTTCTACTTTTTTATTGTTATTACAGGATTTAAATAAACATTTGTTGGTATGGAGTAGGTATGTGTTAAGTTCACATATTGCAAGTAAGATTTGAACCACTTTCCTACGTCTGATGGAGTTAAAAATTTGTATACTGTAACTTCAGTGACAATGCAATAATATGATACATATAACCTGGTGCTGCCGCCAGGATTGTCTCCTCACTACGGAACTCTTCAACGGGTAGTAGCAGGGTCACGAAATTTTGTATGTTAGTTTCATTTTAATAGTTTAACACGATTTTTATCATGAACTGCTGCTGCAGCCAGCATTGCCTCCTTTCGAGGGAACTCTTTAACGGTTAGTAGCATGGACTCGAAACTTAGTGTTTAAATTTAATTTTGTTTGTTAAACATGATCTTCACCATAAATTGCTGCTACAGACAGGATAGTCTCCTCATGAGGGAACTCCTCAACAGCTGTAGTAAACTTTATGTTAGATTTAGAATTTACTACACCATTAAAAAAACTATGTATTATTAAAAACAAATATTATAAAAAGAAATTATTAAAGTACGTAAGAAATTTGTAAGAGAAATTATGCATTTCTTTTCCATTAAAAGAGTATATTTCATTTTAAAAGGAAATATCAAATAAATATCGTGCAATGATACTGTGCGCGGGCCGGCCAAACAGGAGCATATCGCCGCTCCTCACTCGTGACCACAATATTATTTCGCCTTAAAATTCTAGTTAAAAATTTCATTGGTGCCGGCGGGGACTGAGCCCGGTTTGCATGCGTACTATGAAATTAAGACGAAATGATATCGTGGTCACGTAGGTTTTAGGGAGGTGAAGCAGACGAAGGCGGGCGATCGGCGCGCGGAGTCCCTCGCGTGCTTCCGGCTAGCTGCTAGCAATATTCCGTTTATCTACTCATGTGGCAACAGCGACGAGTAGGGATGGGGGAAATGAAAAACTATATCGATATATTTAATTATATAGTTTTGTAGATTAATAAAATATATTTACATATATATATATATATATATATATATATATATATATATATATATATATATGTATATGCAGGAAGGTAGTTATATAGAATTAACTTACAATCACAAAATACACGGGTCACAGGTAATCAACTATAAATTGTACTGAGACTAATTTAATAGCTATAATAATAATTAATTCGTTTCCACGATTCTAGGATGCAGCGGGATACAACAAGTGCACCGTGCCACGCCAGCGCCAAGACTGCTTTAACAGCTACCACTCCGTCCGTTTTATACAATCGAGACAAGTAGCTACCCGAGCGCCACTGCAGGTGCAATGCGCAGGTGTGCGGTGCACGTGTTGTTTTAAATAATTCCGACTAGCCACATAGGCGCTGCTGCACGTGCAATGGCGCAGGTACCGACATGTATATATATATATATATATATATATATATATATATATATATATATATATACCTAGTCAGGTCATAAGTCACACTGTGATAACTTTTCTTTTAGAATGCTGGCCACAAAAAAGTAAATTCGAATTTCGAATTGTTCATGAAAATAAAACTGTATACTTTTTAGAATTTTACTCATTTTTAAATATGTAGTGGACACTTAAAGAAGACCGTGTTGCAGTTATTGCGTTGCATCGTTGCGGTTATGCGCCAATTCAAATTTTTGACATACTGAAAATTTGAATATAACCAAAAGATTCGTTTATCGTACCATCAAACGATACAATGAAGACTCTAGTTTAGATGACAGGTCAAGAAGTGGTCGCCCTCGGTCTGTTAGAACTCCAGCAGTGATAAAAGCTGTGAAGGCGCGAATTCAAAGAAATCCCAAACGTAAGCAGAAACTGTTGGCCCTTCAGATGGGGTTAAGCAGAACCACGATGAAAAGGGTGTTAAATGAAGACTTAGGGCTTCGGGAATATCGAAGAAAAACAGGACATCGTTTGAATGCTCGTCTAATGGACCTGAGACTGAAGAGATGTCGCGCTTTGTTGAAGCGGTACGCGGGAAAAAAATATCGGGAAATTCTTTTTTCGGATGAAAAAAATTTTACCGTAGAAGAGAGCTACAACAAACAAAATGATAAAGTGTACGCACACAGTAGTGAAGAAGCGAGCAACCGTATTCCGCGTGTCCAACGAAGTCATTTTCCATCCTCGCTCATGGTATGGTTGGGAGTTTCTTATTGGGGCTTAACAGAGGTACATTTTTGTGAGAAAGGTTAAAAACGAATGCAGTTGTGTATCAAAATACAGTCCTGATGAACCTTGTTTGAACCTGTTTCTCATACCATGTTCAATAACAGGTACTGGGTATTCCAACAAGATTCGGCGCCAGCTCATAGAGCGAAGAGCACACAAGACTGGCTGGCGGTGCGTGAAATCAACTTCATCCGGCACGAAGACTGGCCCTCATCCAGTCCAGATTTGAATCTGTTAGATTACAAGATATGGCAAGACTTGGAGGAAAAGGCGGGCTCAAAGCCTCATCCAATTTGGAGTCACTCAAGACATCCTTGATTAAGGCAGCCGCCGATATTGACATGGACCTCGTTCGTGCTGCGATAGACGACTGGCCGCGCAGATTGAAGGCCTGTATTCAAAATCACGGAGGTCATTTTGAATAAACTATAGTGTCATAAGAATCTATGTTTTGTTAAGTTCATTTTGGTATATAAATGGTTACATAATGAATAAACTTGTTTCAATTATTTTATATTAAACATGTGACAGAATTTATGACCTGACTAGGTATATATAAATATACATATATTTATTTATTGACTGCTGATCATGAGGTCCTGGGTTCAAATCCCGGGTCGAGCCAAAAAATTAATTATTGAGTGTTTCTGTCAAGAAATTCTCAGTAGTTGCTCGGAGTCAGGAAGTTGGAGGTGTCTTACCCCCGTGCCTCGGAAAGCACGTGAAGCCGTTGGTCCTGCGCCTGATCTCTCTCCGGTCGTGTCGGTTTACCGTCCAATCGGATTTATGAGAGTGAGGGAAGAGAGAGAGTACCTGTGCACTCTTGCGCATACACTTGAGCACTATAATCGTGTCCTGCGCCGATGGCTAGTCTCCGTTGAGGCAGGCCGCAGTGGCCGAAATTCGGTCGGGAGGACATTATTATTATGATTTAGGAAAACATCGATATTTCCATATATCGATATTTTTTACCCAAGCCTAGCGACAAGCTGCAGTTCGCACTTTCATAAGTATAGGATTATTTCATAACCCACTAATAGTTGTATACATCTACGTAGTATACAAATATATTGTAATTGATTGATATAACCAGCGTTTATTTATAAAATAGTTTCAGATAATGATTGGGTATACCAAAAGAGCCTTCTCGTGTGGTGATACCTATATTATATTTTAGACAGGTACAACATGATACAACTTGTACCTATGCGTATAGATGCTTACTTACGAGTCAACGTATACTTACTTTTCAACATGAAAATACACTACATACCAACCGAGGTATGCACCAAATTTATTTTCATGTTGAAAACTACTTCATCATTATTTTATTTGGACACCATCGTCCAATGCGCTTCTTGTAAACTAATAAGTACCAACAAATATTCTTTTATTAATTTTTATCCCAAGCGTCTTGGACGATGATGTCCAAATAAAATAATGATGAAGTACTTTTCAACATAAAAATAAACTAGCCCCTCGTCTGTCCAAACGCCATATTCTGGCATCTCAAATAATATGCGCATCTATCAAACGCCACAATATGGCGTCGAGTGATAGCAAAATATTTGTAACATATATATATATATATATGTATAATATATATATGACTTACACATATATAACATATATATCTGCATGATTGATTTTGTCTAAATTTGATTTAATAATGTGTTTTATTAATTTATTTTTTTATAAACCTCCCTATTTTTTGTCCCGTTTTCGAGTAGAGCTAAGTGAGCCATTCTCGACTTTGTCGTAAACAAAAATGAATTAAAAAGATTTTTTTATTATTTACATTAAATTAGGGGTCTAATAACAAAGGCGGCAAAGTCCCATATCATTATATGGGACTTTGCCGCCTTTGTTATTAGACCCCTGAAATATGCTTTTGACCCACAAGTATAACAAATAGTACCTGGAATAAAGGCTTTAATTTATTATTATTGCACCTTTGTAAAAATTGGGAAAAAAAACACTTTTCTTACTTTCACTTTAAAATTAGTATCGCTTTCGAAGTAAACCTGTATTTAAGTTATACATAATCTGATAGCTTATTTAATAAAGTTTCCATTGATATATAATTTTAATATACCTTTTATACAAAATGTCTTGGAAATAGTGATTTTAATAAACAGCAGGAAGTAGTCGGCAAGTACTTCAGGAAGCGCTTGACAGATGCGCCATATTGGCAAAAAAATGGCCGCGACATTCGAGAAGCTAGGCAACCTAGGCACACTAAAGTGTTTTTTTAACAGTATTTTTTATAACGTTACCCCCACACTAGGATTTTCTCCTGTATCGTGAAGGCAGTTTACAAACATAAATTTCACTAGGACTAAAATCCAGACCCGAAACAATTATTTGTAGACCTTACAAATACTTGTTCCGTGCGGGATTTTGAACCCGCGGCCCCCAGCGCAGCTACTCATTGCCAAGTCAGTGCGCTACGGAGCCGTCACTTCGTTAAAGTATATCTGTTTCATAGGAGTTCCCTCATACCTATAACAAATTTTTACTTATCAGTTTGTATTATAAACAAACTTATTACCTATATTTACATGTTTATTACTTGTTACTAGCTCACTGTTTGAGTGAATACTAGGACTAAGGACGGCATCCAAATCGGTTTGGATGCTTAATTTTTCACTACCTCTCAATGGCATATCACGGTAATCAATATTTTTAATATATTGTTACGTTTATACGACAACAGCGGGCGTGATAAAGTTGTACAAGGTTGCTGTCTACGACGCCCTGCGGACTACTGGCGGGACTGTTTGTTCGGCCCGCGCGCTATATTAATCGCACAAGATTTATTTGAAATTTCTTTTTAAAATGATCTGTACACTTTTATTGAAAAATAAACCCATAATTCACTCACGTATTTACTGGTGAACACATAGCCTGAATTTAATTGAAATTGATTTCATTACATTCGAATGAAACTGCTTTTTTACTTACTGGACGTACCTAAAATTGTAGATTTTGAGGAAACTTAGCGATCTTTTTCTATCGAGTCAAAATGTGTTAATCATGTTTTGGCTACCATAATTCACTAAGAAAAATCTTTAACTTTCATAATGAATGAAAAATGTTAATTCATAGTTTTTAATGACAAAAAATTGATTTTCTGCGCACCTGTAAAGCGTGTAAAATCTGCTTTTGGCGCTCACTTCACCTTGACAGCGAGCGCTAACCATCTGAGCTACCACAGCTCACTTTTTAAAAGTTAATTGCATTATTATTCTAAGAAAGTATGCAATAAATTTAATATTTTCCATTGATTTTTAGAGGAAAGCACCATAGCAAATATTTATAAATTGTAGGATAACTCACTAAATCTCCTTTAGGACCTGGTGGTCCCGCTGGTCCAGGTGGACCCTGTACTCCTTGTTCACCCTGGTCACCTTTTACACCCATCACTCCTGTTTCACCAACATGGCCTTTTGGCCCCCTACTGCCTTTCTCGCCTCTAACTCCCGGTGCACCAGGAGGTCCAGGTTTGCCAGGTGGCCCTGCTGGTCCCATAATGCCAGGAGCGCCTACGTCTCCCTGAAACAATAAGAAATTTCAAATTATGAATTTAATAAGTTCCGGGGACATGTAGTTTTAAACTTATGTTTTAAAGTGAAACTTCATTTCCAACTGTTAAAGATTTTATTTGATACTAGTTGACTCGTTAGAAGTGTTCATTGTGAATTCGGTTTCAATCTGTATATTTTTCACTGTAAATATAAATTTTATTAAGAATTTGAACACAGCGCCACCTTTCGGGTATATATTTTATGACTTTTCTTTTAGGCACGACACTAACAAACACGTATAATGTATTTTGAATGTGAGTCGTTTTAGTCCATAAATAAAGCATTTGTTAATAACTTGACTACAGCGCAACCTATCGGATCCTAGCTAACTATGAACCACTGTCTCAAAAAATCAAATATAATGTGTGAATATTATGACCTCAATTAGTAAAGTCGTTCAGAAGTGTAACGATCAGTAATGGCCAGCCCGTTTTAAGATGGATTGTCCATTATTATCGACACCTAGCCTTATAGTGCGCACCTAGTAACGTGATAATGTCTATCCCCTGATCCTCTATATGTAGATTAATTTCAGCCAATAAATTCAAATTGTGTATTTTTCTCTACCTTGTAGATAAAGATATAGTATAGTATAAACTGGCGATGTAGTGACTAGGGCAACACCAAAATCAAGATACACCAGTGTGCGTATAAATCGCATGTGTGGGTGACAAATAGTGCTGCACCATGCATTGCCTGCCTCAACTTCCATTATCGATGCCAATTGCAGTATATTCGTATCTTCTGATTTGACGCAGATGATGTAGACGAATATTTTACCCAACTACGATGCAGCCAAAAAGATGTTTATAACTTTAGAAGGCTATGTATATATGTATGTTCATCTGTTCTCTCAGATCTAAACTACTCATCTTATATTGTCAAATTAGATATCTTAAAAAGTATTGTACCCTTTCGCGGATTTTAAGTTGCATGAAGTCACATATAAACCAACATCACGGCTTATTGCGAACATATAATGAAACATTGAAATATATACAATATTAAAAAACTATATATACGTGGTTAATTTACAAAAACCGGTCAAATTTGCAGAAAAGGTTTAGAATAAGTAATAGAGACAAAAGGTAAAGAAAAATTAATTTTAAAAAATATCAAACAATCTGTCCTTTTTATCTTATTCAAAATGCGTGGTAATGCCTTATTTTAACTGATTTTACTGCGTACGCACACATACGTAAGGGTCGATCGGTAGGCAAAAACGTTGTTGCCCATAAATCACATTCAATTCGGGATAATTTTAAATAAAAGTAGAAAACTGCAATAACGGTATACTATTATTTATATATTTGAACTTAAGTTTATAAATTTGGCTACCTTTTGAAAAATAACCGTGTATAAGAAAAACTGAAACTAAAAACTTAAATTATTATACATCCCTGTGGTGTCCTGCCAAGAACGCTGGCTGTGGTTACTCGCTGAATGGATATACTAATTAAATAAATACCTATTGAAGTATCGTGTCTGGTTATCCAATGAATGGTGTAATTCAGAATATTTTCGACATTCCGATAATACATGTTATAAAACTGTTAACTATTTTAGTATTTATCAGTTAAAGTTTTTTTTTATAAAACTGAAGTATCTAACGAACTTGCAGTACACCTGACCTGGTAAGTAGCTACTGCAACTCCTAGAAACTAGCAGCTATCTTCAAACAAAGAAGGTCGTTGTTACCTTTACGACTGAGGTAGATTGCCTTACGACCTGTATTAATACCGGTACTAGGCGAGAGGTTGATAACTACCTAGACTACCTCCCAGACAGAAATGTGGTCCTACCACTTAGTTCATATATAGACTTTAAGAATTGTTAATATAAATTCGCTGAAAGAAACTTCAGTTAAAAATGATATGCGTTTGATATGGAGTAGCGGATATTCTCGTCACCGTGTAGTGGGCAACTCTATGAGAAAATTATTATTCTCCCAAGTGTTTGCTGCATATAGTCGAATATTTTCTTTTGGGAACCTACTCTTCTCTATTTATTATTTTCAACCATTTTTGTCGGATATCAATATTTTGTGAAAATCTGCCAGAGCATTCACTTACCAGCAGGTAGACTGTATACTCGTTTGTAACCCTACTTCATAAAAAAGGATTTTTTTTAAAAGATTAGAAGAATATTTAGCTACGAAATCTTAAGGGGAAATATAACCTCAAATGGCTTAGCAAGATCCTCCGTTATGCCGAAAATATTGCAGCATTAATTTTGAAATAAATATATGGTAAAGTTGAGGATTAATGTTAAGGATTGTGTTAAACGAAAACACGATTCCGTAAAATTTTTTCGATAGAAAAAAAATCCAAAGTTACCTCCAAAATAAACAATAAACCGCTGTTATTCATAAAATACTCTAAATAAGATCATAAAACTTTGCATACTAACTGAACTAACTATAAAGCAGTGCTTATGTTATTTTTTTTAAAATACCATTATTTTCACTGTAAAAAGAAATTACCTAAACTATCGGCCTCGTGAAGCGTGATTCCTGCCGCCCGGTCAGTTTCGCTTCGGCCTTTGAAGGGGGAGGTTGTGTCGCTTACCATCAGAATACACATTACGCAACAGGACGACGTAAAATTAAAATGGGAAATAACCTTAATAAAAATAAAAAGCGACTGGCTTGGCGTTAAGAAACAGACATAAATATGATAAACCTAATGAAATAAGTGTCTAACGACCTATCTACTTACAGTATTAGTGATTAGCAACATGTCGGTACATAGCATACGACGCGCGGGGAAGTGGGAGCGAAATTAGAATTTGAGCTGACTTACTATATCCCCTTAAAATTTGAAAGAAATATTATTAACTTGAATAAGGCAGCACGTAAGGCATAACTTTGCATGTTAAGGACATTTCGGTAAGATATTATCTCGACTAAGATCTAGAATTTCATCGCCGTTTACTCCAAGGTGGGATTGTAGTGGAGCACCAGTTGTATAATAAATTAAAAGGTAATGTGCGGATGTTTCTGGTTAGTATGTTAAAGCATCATTAAAAATAATGTATTCGTGGTGTCTGCGATACTAATTATTATGTTTAAATATAATTTTTATTATGAATCGTCTTACATTTGATCCTGGTGGCCCCCTGATGCCCCGTTGACCTTCAACTCCGGGAGGCCCTGGTGGTCCGACCGGCCCAGGTTCACCCGTTGCTCCTTTTGGACCAACGTCTCCCTTTTCTCCTGGCACGCCTGGGCTACCTTGTACGCCTGCTTGGCCTTCTGCGCCCTAAAATATTACAAAGTTTGTGAAATAAAGTCGGCTATGGATCGATTTAGATTTATGTTAAATCTGATGCAAAAACGCTTACCATAAAATAGGAACTTAGGAATCTTTACATTACATACATAAGTTTCGTAAAGTACAAAAATAATTCATTAATAGATATAAGTATATTTATAGCAAACAATGAAAGTGTTACTAACTGGGCTACCAGGTAATCCCGTTTCACCAGGTTTACCGACAGGTCCAACAGGTCCAGGTGGTCCGGGCAATCCTATGCTACCTTCCGGGCCATCTGCACCAGGATCTCCTTTTATTCCTTGTGGTCCCGGCTCTCCTCTTTCACCAGGAAATCCTGCAGGACCGGCGTCTCCTTTAGGCCCTTCCGATCCTGCTGGTCCCTTTGGCCCTGGTTCACCTTGTAAACCTGGAGGTCCATCTTCACCTTTTGGCCCAACAGGGCCTCTTGGTCCCTAAAAAGATAAAAAAATTACATTTTGTGATAGTAGTCAAAATTAAATAGGCTCGGAGACTTGGCAGAGGGCACAGAATAAAAATTTTTTTACTATTACATATAGAAACATTATTGTACCATATACCTATAAGTATATATTTTTACTTCCAGGATATAAAGCGTTACACACGAGCGCCCCATATATTATTGCTAGTTTTTTTATTAATGTTTGTTTGTGTGTCGTTGTTGTATTTTGATGTATAAACTACAACAACTATTTTTGTTGAAGAATCGTATTGCGTTGATGATACGGCCTTACTTATAAAATTGCCATTTTAAGAAATGCTTAAAGTTGCTTAAAGTCTTTTCATTAAATGATAGTTGAAAGAGACAGGTATGCATAATAATTAGTATTTAATTTATGTAAGTAATAATCAACGATTATAAGTAAGGCAAATAATTTGAAACTTGTAAGATTTCGCATAGCTTATTGTCAGTAAATATTTACAGTTTTTAGCGACAAGCAGATAAAATACAGCGGAGTTGTATTGAGCAAGTAAGTAAGGTATGTGAGGGTAATATAGTCATCTTAAGTTTTGCCGCCCTATAATAGCAAAACTACCTAACTAATGCGTTAAGAAAAAAATAGCAAAAAACCTTTGTCAATAATTAGAAACATTTCAAAAAATCAACTAAAATAAACTAACTACACTAAGAAATACTAAAATCGACTACAATATTTTACTATTATGTCAACTGTCAAATGGCGTCGATAAAGCAGCGCTTTTTTAATCTTTTATTATTTGATTGACTGATGAAGAGCTTACGTATCACAAAGCCACCAATGCAAAGAAGGCTATGGTTTTTGAGTTATAAGAATGTGACCATATTAACCGGATGACCATATTACCCTCACGTACTATATACCAATATATACTATATTATCATGCACTATAACATTATTTATAAGTTTTAAACGCCGTGTAGTGGCGGCGTAGGAAAATCTACTTCCCTAAAAATATTTTTTTCATTTATTTATTGACATTTACAAAAACATTACATAATTTTATAACTGTAAAGACGAAGAGAGTTTGTTGGCGAATAAATGCACTCTTATATCCTATTACACGATTAAATAAGTACATAACTCACATAATATAGCACACAAATAGAAATTTTAAATATAAACACTATAATTTCGTGAGTATCGTTAGAGGCTAAAGAAAAATTTAAACAGGGGTGCGCAGTAACAATTTCCTGATAACTCAAAATGATAAAAATCTGCGACTACGACTAACCCGCCTGCAAAGCGTGGCAACGATGTTATTCTATTGGGAGAGGCCTATAGTCAGCAGTGGCCATATTCAATATTTGGTAGGCTGAAATTATGTTGATGAATTATAATTGCTTCCAAAACCGATTCTGTAACAAATTGATATAGATTCAAAATTATATTTAATTATAAGCAAGTTGGTTTTATATGAAGCGTTCATAGAATAAGAAAGGCATTCTAAATTAACTGAAGAAGGACAAGCGTGAATAAACTATTTAGTTATTTGCCTGTTTCCCTTCGGGTCCTGGTGGTCCCGGTGGTCCTGGGGCACCTGAATTTCCAGTTTCACCTCTTTGGCCCTCTGCACCACGAGGTCCCGGTTCGCCTTGAATTCCTTTCGCTCCACGTCTTCCTTGGGGCCCAGTTAGGCCAGCTGGACCAGTAGGCCCTACAAAATATCTCATAGTTAGTAAAATAGACTCTTTTTATTGGAAACGAGGTATTCCATATTTAGTCCTCAGGGGTGACAACGCATCTGCATTTTGATTCTTAATCGAAGATAAATGTAGATGTCTATAGACCACAGCATCCTCTTACTATCAGATGGACTGTATGCACGTTTATAAAAATACCTTTTGTTTTTAATATTTTTAAATTTTTAAATATAAAAGTAAAAGTAAAGTAACAGCCCATATACGTTCCACTGCTGGGCACAGGCTTCTCATTTCTGAGTGGATTTTAGGGCAAGGAAATTTCCCACCCTTACTCTATATAAAAAAAATATGAATACCATTTTGTTTTCAATATTTTTAAATATAAAAGTAAAAGTAAAGTAACAGCCCATATATGTCCTACTGCTGGGCACAGGCTTCTCATTTCTGAGTGTGTTTTAGGGCAAGGAAATTTCCCACCCTTACTCTATATAAAAAATATGAATACCTTTTGTTTTCAATATTTTTAAATATAAAAGTAAAAGTAAAGTAACAGCCCATATATGTCCTACTGCTGGGCACAGGCTTCTCATTTCTGAGTGTGTTTTAGGGCAAGGAAATTTCCCACCCAAAGCAATATGAATTACCTTTGGAGCTTCTTCGAATATTTAAAAGAGCGGAAGTCAAGGTAGAACAGCTAGTATGTCCGTCGAGACAAGTTTTCGGAGTGTGTTTTGGCAAGGAAATTACCCTTACTCTATATAAAAAATATGAATACCTTTTGTTTTCAATATTTTTAAATATAATAGTAAAAGTAAAGTAATAGCCCATATATGTCCTACTGCTGGGCACAGGCTTCTCATTTCTGAATGGGTTTTAGGGCAAGGAAATTTCATATGTGTGAAATATTTTTTTCCTATTTCTCAGACATGCAGGTTTCTTCACGATATTTTTCTTGACCCCCTAGCACGTGGTAAATCAGCGTTTGAAATTGCATTTAACAATTTCATTGGTACTGGCGGGGATCGAGCCCGGGTTGCTCGCATACTGTGAAATTTACAGCGAGCGCTTAGACCCTAAACTATCACGACCATAAGTATAAGCCTTTTTAAATATAGGTAATTCAATTCTTTTACAAAGGTTCAAGAATTGCCAAATGGGAATTGTTTTAATATAATGATACTGTCGTATCGATTTATCGATTAAGCCGCACGTACCTATAGGACCACCGTCTCCTTTATCTCCTTTGATTCCTTGTTGACCTTTTTCTCCTTGTAGACCAGTTGGACCGGGAGGGCCTTGTAGACCTCTCGCCCCATCTGCTCCAATAGTTCCAGGTGGACCTGGATCTCCTTGTTGTCCTTTCTCTCCTGGTAATCCTACAGGACCAGTTTCTCCACGTAGACCTTGTATACCTGGTGAACCTGGAGGGCCCTGTAAAATAATGTGGTATTAAATATTTTTGGTCTAAAATATGCGATAAAAAATCAATTGTATTTTTTATTTACAGGTTCTCCCGCGGCGCCTTTAAAACCCTTTTCTCCTGGTGGACCGGCCTCGCCTTTATCTCCATCTTCACCAGGTGGTCCCACTGGACCTGGAGCACCTGTTAGTCCTCTAGGTCCCGGTAATCCATCACGTCCAACAGGACCTAGATAAAAATAAAACTTTCATGCGAACCGACTTAATTACCATAACTGCGTAAAGAATAAAGTTAGGATACAAAAAGACTGATAATTTGAAGTTTCGTAAATGCGTTATCGGATCATTTAATAAAAAGCTAGAAGCCACTACACTGATTCTTGATGAAAGTTAATGCTCGTACCAATGCATGTAAGATTAGCATGGCATACCAATTTCATTCTAGAGAGACAGAATATAGAATAGAAGATATAGAATCTAGAAATAAAGGAAAGAATGGAAGGAATTATAAATAATGATTGTTGAAATGATTTACAAAATTGTTGATATTTTTTAAATTAAGCTATTAATTTTCCACGGTGCCTACCACACAGCTATATCACAGCTGGTTAAATATAATTTTTTAATACGCAAATAATTTGAATTTTGAATCCGAATTCGATTACAAGAAAACTTTCAAGATTTATTAGATTAAACTCAAGAAAAAATAGAACCGACATCTAAAACAATCAAAATAATAGTTTCCACAGTTTTTGAAGTCGGTGCAAAGATAAAGTAACTCCCATCACTTACTTTACGCCGATGATAAAAAGAATTTTCTCAAAGTTCGTACTATTGAAGACTGCGAATCAATTCAAAAAGATCTTACCTCTTTATATAACTTTTACGTAGCTAACGGCATAAATGTAAGTATATCCAAATGTCAATGTATATCTTTCACCAGAAAACTAAATCCAATAGTATTTCCCTATAATTTCAATGGAATTTTAATTAAGAGGGTCACAATTGTTCGGGATTTAGGCGTACTCTTTGATGTCGGTATGACCATGCGAGATCATATCAATAGTATATGTAGTAAATCATTTCGTAATCTTGGATTTGTCATGCGTACATGTCTTCCATTTACGGAATTACTAAGTTTTAAAATAGTTTATTTCTCGTATGTAAGATCCACTCTTGAGTATGCATGCCAGGGTTTGGTCACCATTTTTTAAAATTTACATATATAATATTGAAAGAATTCAACATAAATTTTTCTCACACCTGAACTATAAATTTAAACATAAAAGCTCATCATATTTAGATGATTGCCGACACTATAACCTTCTTACGCTTGAAGAAAGACGTAAACAGTTAGATATGGGATTTCTATACGATATCTTACGCGATGGTATTGACTGCCCGGATTTACTGAATACTGTCACGTTTAATGTGCAAAGAAAACGTACAAGAATCACCAAGAAAACTTTGTTTAGTATACCTCGTCGTTCCACACTTTATGGTAAAAATAGTATCTCAACACGTTTGCTATCAAATTATAACAAAACATTTAATACCATCGATCCCTTTATAGGCAGTAAAAGTGATTTTAGAAACAAGGTACGTACATGCATATTAAACACAGCTTCTGTTGTTTAATTTACCTTTATTTGTAAACGTAGGATGCCCGTAACAGAAACACTTATTTTAGGTAGCTATGTTTAAATAATAAGTGAGCCATTTATATATTTTATTATATTTTAAAATATTTATGTACATTGGTGTGTACGTATACTTGTATGTATATATGTAATGATATATAGAATATATTTTACCATGATATAAATAAATGAATTATAAAATTAACTCCAAAAGTAAACCACACATCAATTTGTCAGTAAGACCTAATATCTTAGTGTTAGTAAAGCTAAAACTACTTAATTTTATTACTGTTATTTTATTAAGTTGTTTTAAATTGTTTAATTTCCATCGTTTTTATTCATTATAATTGTACCTAGCTTACCTTTATATTTAATATGTGGATAACTGTTATTGGCATACTTGAAGTAAATTTGAAATTGTATTTAGTGATATACGTTGTTGTTATCCTTATTAAAATAAAATAAAAATAAAATAAAGAATTAAGTCCCGCCTTCAGAATCTTTTGCGTGGAAAGTATTTTTTTCTTTTGAATTCGATTTTACTCTTTTTTTTAAGTTTAATTATTTTAGCCTTTAAAGTAGACTAAAGATTACCATAAGTTGCAGGTAACAGTAAAAATGTAGTCTAAATCATAGTATCACTTAAAAAAAGAATCATTAAAATCGATTTAGCCGGTTTCTGAGAAATCGGTGAACATAAATAAAAAACATAAGCGTCGAATATAGAACCTTCTCGTTTTTTGAATTCGGTTTAATAGCTTATCAGAAAACGGTAATTTCACCGGTAACGACCTAATATTGTATGTAGTCAAATTCTCCATATAAATTCTCTTTTCCTTTTTTATTCATGGTTTTCTAAATTTTATTCAATAAGTCTGAAATAGCTAATAATTCTGCTCTATTCTATCTACTTGAACTTGATTGAACTATTTTTTTTAAATTAACAAAGATATTGTCTTTATTACAGTGAGGATGACCTGAAAAAATTTGTTCGTTATTGCTTGAATACCTACCAATTGGTCCTGGTTCTCCAATTTCTCCTTTTTGTCCCCCCGGACCAGGAGATCCTCGAGGGCCTTCTCGACCCATTGGGCCCTGAGGGCCTTCATTACCTGGTTCCCCTTGCTCACCCTTATCACCTCTAGTACCAGCTGGACCCGGTGGGCCCATATCGCCTTTTGCACCTGTTGATCCCTTAATTAAATAATAAGTTATTAATATCGGTATTTTATTTGAATTATTAATTTTATAGTAGAAATATTAACTTACAGGTGTTCCCGGTAAACCAGCATCTCCCTGATGGCCGGGTGGGCCAGGTGATCCTACAGGGCCAGGCTTTCCTTCAGGTCCGGGCATTCCCGGTGGCCCCTCTTTACCCATTTCACCAGGAGCACCTAAGTCACCGGGGGTTCCAGGGACGCCTGCAGGCCCCTGTGGTCCAGGAGGACCTAAATCGCCATTTGGTCCTGGCGGCCCGAGTGATCCGGGTGGCCCCATTAATCCCGGTTTACCAGTGTCACCCTAAAAAGTAAAGTAACAGCCCATATATAAAAAGTAAAGATAAAAAATTATTGAATTTATTTTTACGTATTTTATGTGGTACAGCCACGCTGTAGCTGTAATATGGTTCCAGCTTAAATAAATGCAATATAGCGTGAGTTTCGTATACGAAATTCATCAGCTCACAATAGTGAGGGATGAAAATCAGAAATCTTATTTCTTGTTTTCTGTTATAGTCTTTAAGGACGACAGTGCATCTGCACTTTGTTCTTTTTTATATATTAAGGGAAAACGTCTAATGGCAAGTGGATGGCATGGCTGTTCTATGTAAATTTTTTGTCCTTAGTCGAGTAAAGAATAGTAAGTAAGTATATTGTGGCGGAGCTGTCGTCGTGCCAAAGCGAAATGCACCGAAGCCTAAATCGCGATATCAAAGTTGCGAAGCTACAACGCTATATATAGAACAGCTCCGAATTAACACGTGGAGCGTTGGCCGCTTCCCGGGCAGACCAGCTTGCTCAGCGGGAGATCTCCGCTTTTCCTCCTACGACCAACTGGTGATCCCGACGTGATTTTAATACGCAACAATGTGCAACCTTTGGAAACTTCAAGAACAAACTTCGCCATCGTCGTCAACGTCAACTACCCCATCCATTCGCTCTTCAGCAGATATCGTCTGCAGTTTTGACATCCTGCAAGTCCGCAGGCACTGGATAATGCTTCCTGTTCCTTCAAGCTACTCTCTGCGCTGCAGTGTTTAGCACGGCTATGAGCCTTACTGCTCGCCTTTGCTTCACGGCACTCTCGCAGATTACTTGCCTTCTTCTCGATTCATCGCAGACTCCAAGGAAATCCCCGTGGCACTTGCATGTACTTCGAGAATTAGACTGCATCATCGACCTCCGGTATAAGCAGGGGCGATGTGGCGGCGCTGTCGTCACGCCACAAGTAGTGCCATAATATGGACAGCAATATTCAGTTTCCACCAGGTCTATGTATTTATTTGTTTAAATTGCAGTAAGAGGAAAATACTAGGAAGTCTTACGACAAGGCTTACGACGTGTAGCAGAAAAATCATCTCGTTAAAGTGAAATAGCGTAAAAGTGCGAGATATCTGGTGCTGCGATCATAAATTGCCTGCCAGCATTGTAGCAAATCCTACTTTTAGCGTGACGTGTCCATGCCCAGCAGTGTTATTTTAAGGACTCATAATAATAATAAACTTTATATAAGTCACATGCAGTATTGGTTTACTGAATAGAGAAGAGAATACAAAAAATAAACTTTCAAACATGGTTGTTACGGTTGAATATAAAAAAAAAATATTAGATATTAGTATTAGATAGCTTTAGAATAACAAAGTCATAATTCTTCAAAACTTCAAAACTTTTGCAGTTTTGAGTTACTCCAATAACCTTTTTAAATTCATTTCAGAGCATACAGCTTCTTTAAGAATGTTTTTTTTATAGAATGAGGGTGGCAAACGAGCACACAGTCTAGCTGATGGATAAGTAGATGCTGTGACCCATAAACAACTACATCTATTCTCGATTAAGAATCAAAATGCAAGTGCGTTGCCATCTTTGAGGACTAAGATGAAATACCTCGTTTCCAGTAAAAAGGATCTCTGGCTCTCTACACTCACCATACAAAACGTAACAGTATTGAGCTGTTATTTGACGATGGTATTCTGTGAGAGCGTGGTCATTCCCCGGTCGAGACGACTTTTCGTGCTGCAACCACAATATATCTGCAGCATGACTCTATCACGTACCATGCTAGGTTGCTTTTATATTTGGAAGTTGTGCGCATGTCCACTGAGTAGTCTGACCAGAGCCTACACACTGGTAAGCTATTCCCCTCGAGTCTCCAATTTCCAAACTAAAGTTTTGATTTTCCGATTTTCGATTGATTTTCCGCGATCAAGCGGTCGTCATAGCCTCGTACATACGGTAGGGTGCGGTAGGCTTTTTAAGAAAATTTCATATTGCCACAACGTGTTTGTATCGGACGTAACGCTTAAATAATAAGTTAATCGTTAGTCTTGGATGCACCCAAGACAATGTGCCAAAGTTGAGGGAGGTTCAATAATTTGTGTTTTGTACACGTTGTCTACGTTTCATATTATATTGAATAAACAGAACTAATTATATTAATATTATATTGTATATCTTTACCACTGGACCACGTTCTCCGGGCGGTCCAGACAACCCAGGTTTTCCGTCTGATCCTGGAGGTCCTATAGCACCTGGGAATCCACGTGTACCCTCTAGTCCTTGAGGACCTCTTTCTCCAACAGGACCCGGGGGTCCGGGCTGTCCTGTATCACCTTTTGGTCCTGGTGGTCCATCGGATCCACGGCGTCCCCTCGGTCCTCGATAACCCTATAAGAATTGAACTGATATAGGAAATCTATTTTTTGAGTATAATTTATAATAAAAAGAAATAAATCTCACTCGTGGTCCAGTTTCTCCTCTGTCCCCCGGTACACCGATCATACCCTGTAAAGTAATTTATGTTTAAATAAATTTTTGCAGTCTAAGAAAAGATAAGAAAGTATAAGATTACTATGAAAATGTAATAAGTAAATTATTTTATTTTACCACAACGCCTTTAGCCCCTCTTCTGCCTCTTCTACCTGACGCCCCTTTGTCACCCTTTTCTCCCTGAACTCCAGGATAACCAGCTAGCCCTTGAGGTCCCATAGCACCCTTTTCACCAGTAGATCCTATGGCTCCCGTCTCGCCTCTCGGCCCCTCCATACCCTGAAAATGATATAGTACCATTAGTGTTATATAGCTCATGACAATTACATGGTTAATGAGTTATATAAAATATATAAAGCATAACCCATGTGTATTTTAAATTGAGTAAATGTTATATATAACGGTCATTTTGTAAATAAAAGTGATCCTGTATTTTTATATTTATATGATTTTTTAAATATAAATACACTAGCAATTTCAATAATTAGCTAATCGTTTCGGATTTTGCCGGACAGTTCCACAATATCAATTGGAATCTTCTATATTCTGTTTGACATTTATAGACCTTCGTGCAAGGTCGTGGGGCAGTGGTGCATTTATAGACTGTAACTTAAAATTAAACCTGTGCGGTCCAAGATTCATGATTAATTATCTCTTTACATAAAAAAAATATCAAAATTTTTTTTGTATAATCGCTTTCGTAGTAGAAACGTTGCGGTGTAAATAACGATAAATTAAAATTAGGGAAAAGGACATGTTTTTACGTTACCTTACTAACAATTTTACTCCACTTTGTCAAAATTACAAAAAATGCGGACTTCACAAATAAACTGATATGTATAAAGAAGCACTTGCCTTTGCCTTTGGTGAACAGGGAGAGACGTGAATAGGTTTTGGTCAGAATTGAGATGAAACGTGGATTTTCTACGTTATATGAAACCGAAAAACGGAATGTTTCGTTGTTTTTGTTGAACTCAGGTCAAATGAAATAAAATTAATGGAAATGGATGAAATGAAATATCTTTATTTTTGCAACATAAGAAATTCGGTTTAAAATGTAATTTTTTTAAGCCTGATTGATGAAGTTTCCTCTAACCGGAGCAGAAACAGGGTAAGAAAATAATTGGCGTTTATTAAATTTCATAGTCCATTAATATATAAGAATAATTTATAAGAATTTGCCTCACCTTTTGACCTTCTGGACCTTCGATGCCAGGAGGCCCCGGTTCTCCAGGTTGACCTCTTTCACCTTTCGGTCCCATTTCTCCCTTTTCCCCTTCAATGCCTAAAAGGAGATAAATTTGTATGAAATGGCCTGCTATTTTTTCGTATAAAATAGGGCAGATCACGCAGAAAGCTTCACGAATAAAGTTTTTTCTTGTATGAGACGAGACACTGCCAAGTAGAAAATGGAAGTTAAATGAAAATACGATTATTTACAAGTAAATTTTGCTCCACATTTAACGAACTAAATTAAATTGTCATGTTTTATTGAAAGCTAAGTTGCTTTGAAACATTTTCGCGCGATGAATTTTACGATTTCAAATGTCGCCTAAAACCAGCCGAATAATAGACTTCAAATTGCATTTATGGATAAAAGCCTTTCTAAGGCAAACGTGTACTGCTGATATTATATATATATTCAAGCTCAGATTTCAGCATGGTTTTATGTTGGGTGCCGTGCAACTTCACCGATGAACACAGCAAGCCCGCGTGGAATGGTGGTGCTGTGACATGATTACTAATTTTGAAGCAGGCTCGTCTCGGCATGTTTTTGATATTATTGAATGAATTTTAAATTTATCAGTACGACCAAGAATCGAAGCGCACGTTGACGGTTTGGGTATTTACAATTTAATCAACGACTTCCACACCGAAGCGATCGAAAATCACAGGAAAGAATTTGATCGCTTATCTTTTTACCTATAAGGGGTATCTGAAATCAATTTCTTTACGAAACTAAAAAAGCATAAATGTCGAATGGTATGCTAATATTTATCGGTAGTTAATCTAAAAGATTAACTGTGCCGATAGAAGAGAAGAAGTAAAAGCGATGAAATTCATTCATTTTGTGGTCATGTTGTACATAAATGTAAAATACGAAGAAATTTTTATTTATTTATTTTATATACACACATTAAGATACAGAAGCAGTCTTATAGTAATTTCGTACAAAGGTTCTACTTATTCCAAATTAGCTGAAATATCTTCCAGTAGACCCATAAAGGAAATTATATTGAAATTGCAAACTTAGTGCATACATTAGTACTCCTAAAAAATAAATAATATACACAATGTTACGTAAGTTATATAAAATAAAACAATAAATAAAAATAAAATAAATCAATAAATAATAATAATAATAAATACATGCAAAAATACATGATGCAAAGTAGTTATCTCTAAGACGTTTCTTGAATACCAACAAAGCTTCGGAATTTCTTATATTTGACGGTAGTGAGTTCCATAATCTTACCACGTGAACTGAAAAGGAGTGGGAGTAAAAACCGGAATTATAGACGGGAAAGTCAAGAAGAGTTTTAACAAGGGATCTGCATGGTTTGTCCGGAGGATGGGTGAAGGAAAATCGGCTTCTGAGGTATGTGGGAGAGGAAGGGTTGTGCAAAATGTTATAGAGGAGACATAACAATCGAGTGTTCCTTCGAAGTCGAATTGGGAGCCACTTGAGTTGCTTACGAAACTGAGATATTTTTATCTTTAAAAAAATTATTTGTGGTACTTAAATATATTTTCGTACGCTTTTATTGTTACAGCTATTATTCTACCATAAGCTCTTTGAAAGTTATTTATGAATTACCCGATATACAATTTTTTTACAAATCACAAATATTTTAGTTCCATTAGTTATAAAGAAGTTATTCGCACGAATTTATTTTCAGGGAAACTCCTTGGTTATTTATGACTCAAATAATAATTACTATGACTACGGTGACACAAGTATTAACACAAGCCCACGTGGATGACTAAATAAGAAGTTTACCTGAAGTGTTTTTTGCTGTTAGCAAAAAGCGACCGAACATTGGGTACAGTGAACTCGCCACTTAGCGCTCAAAATGAGGGATTTTCTAGTCAGCACACCGGTTAAGCTTTCGGGACACCATCATTATGACCCCGTCACTTTTATTGATTTCTTAAAATTAAAATCAGTTGAAAGAGGTACAGTTTGAATGCCGGAAGATGCGCTAGCAACGTTCGAGCAGATTGTAAAAGAGGTGTCTTAGGCAGACTGGAACGAAAATTGGATCAGATGCATGAAACATTTTTAGATTCTAGTGGAAAATTCTTTAATAACAAAAACTTTTACCATAAAGCTTGTTATTTGGTTTCGCAAAGCTTTCTGCGTGGCTCTATATAATAATATAGTTAATAATAACGTCCTCGAGACCGAATTTCGGTCACGGCGGTCATTCTCTAAAGGATACTAGCCATGTACTATAATCTAAAAACAAGTAAAGATAACCATACGACGTGTCTATTTTATTGAACACTTAAATTTAATAATCTCTATAAATCTAATAAATACAAGACACAGATACTCCAAAAAGAATATATTGACCATAACTTAAACAAGGCAATTAGTTGTGGGTAAGAATTACGTAAAAAGTGAACCATTTTAATGAACGTCTTGGTACTACGTAATCTGAACAAAAATCAGCCAAATGCAAAATGCTTTCAAAAAACGTATTCTTGGAAGTAGACTTTTCAACATATTTTTTTATTTTTTTCGTAATCTCCTAATAAAATTTTATAAAAAAAATTGTGATTTTACCTCGTATGCCCTTATCTCCTTTATCCCCCTGTAGTCCTCGAGGTCCATCGTCGCCTTTAGGTCCCCGCATACCAGGAAATCCCAACATACCCTATATAATAATTATGCATTTTATTTAATCTGATATATCCCATCAAATCATGGTTAGCGATTTATCATCAATTACCATCATGGGGGACTGTAGTCAAGTACATTTATAGTAAGTAAAAAATAAACTTTTATTCTAATACTCCCAAATATTTCAGCTTCTATAAAACTTTCAATAGAATTTCTACAACTCTGATTTAACATTTTGTTTAACTGTAAAACCTTTGAATTTGTAAGAAGACTCGTCCCATTGCATTTCTGAGTAGGGCTTTCAATCTGCCAACAGTATATTTAAGGATATTTTATAGACACCCAAATCAACAGTTGAGTTTTCAGAGTACTAAGTATATTAAATTAAAATGGGGTGCTGGAATACTATTTACCTAAACTCATTCATCAATTAGATTTTATAATTTATTGTTGTATTTGTACCTGGGGCCCTTGTGGACCCACTTCTCCGGGGGATCCTTGCTGACCCGGACTTCCCGGTGTGCCGGGAGATCCTTCAGGCCCTGGAAGTCCTGAAATCCCTGGTTTGCCTTGAGGCCCCTGAAAAAAAGAATATAATGATTACTTCGCATCACTACACATTAAAAAATATGTTACAAAATTTTATTGCGTTTAAATTTATTTTAATTTTAATTTTTGACCTTTTAAGTGCTTACAGCATGTATATGTAGGTACACTACTACCTACATATGTATATGTACATATGTAGGTAGTAGCAGTGTAGAGAACTAGAGACCCTTTTAACTGGAAATGAGGCATTCCATCTTAGTCCTCAGGAGTGAAAACGCATCTGCATTTTGATTTTTAGTTCAAGGTGGATGTAGATGTCTTTGGGTCATAGCAACCACATGCTATCACGTGGACACCCTATTTTTATAAGAAAAGTGGCAGGGTGCTATGTAGATGGAGGTTCCCAGCCATCTTCTCTACGGAAGTTGGAATGGAAACATACAGACACATTCAGACGGATAATTGCAGTAATACAGTTAAAAACTAACCTGATAAAAAATTAAATAAATTTTTTTAACTTATTTACTTGTATTCCTGGCGCTCCTATAGGCCCTTGTGGTCCAGGGGAGCCCGGTGGTCCCATTGGGCCTAGTTGCCCTTGAGTTCCTGGAGGACCTGGCTGTCCTGCAGCTCCCTTTGTTCCTTGTGGTCCTTCATTCCCAGGTATACCAGGATATCCAATTAGCCCTGGAAATCCTCTGGGACCCATAAAGCCTCGTGGTCCCTAAAATTATTGATTTTATTATTTCATTACAAAATTTTAATTAAAATGAAGGAGTTAGCAAATTGTTTTTATTTACCAGCTCTCCAGATAATCCCGACGGCCCAGGTGGACCATCATCTCCAGGTGGACCGTCTTGACCAGGAGCACCAGTTTCACCCTGAAGCCCGGGAATACCACGTTCGCCTTTGTCTCCGGGCATCCCAGCAAGACCTGGATAGCCTTGTTCACCCTTAGGTCCAGGGGCACCAGGGGAACCTCTTTCCCCATCCCTGCCTGCGTGGCCACGCCGTCCTATTCGTCCGGGTGGGCCTTGAAGACCTCTTGGTCCTGTTGGCCCCTTGAAATAAAAACATAAATTAAAACTAATTGCTGGCTGGGACAATAAAAATTCTCATACGATTTAAAAAGATGAACTCTATACAGGGTTATATTGCAATAACCGGCCAAATTTGCAGAGAAGGTTCGGAATAAGTAATACAGGCAAATGATTAAAAATTGATAAAAAAATCTCAAACATTCTGTCCTTTTTATATTTTAAATTCAAAATGCGTGGTAATGCACTATTGTAACTGATTTTACAGCACAGTTCGCAAGGGTCGATCGGTAGGCAAAAAGTATTGTTGCCCATAAATCACATTCAATTTGGGATAATTTCCAATAAGAGTAGGAGTTTTATATAATATTCTCAAAAACCGCTACTTCAAATATGGCTATTCTTTAAAAAATAACCCTGTATAGTTATTTTCATTTATTAATTATTATATGTTTATAGCAAAGTAAAATTTATAAAAGAAAAACCAACATTTTTACACCTCTCATCTAAAGGGGTAGGTAGTAACTACGGACTTTTATTTGGTACATATTCACGTGTACATCGCTTTTTAATAAAATTCTATTATTCGTAGGATAAAATATTACCCCTTTTTAGCGGTAAATGTGCACTTTTCTTTGTTTATGCTTCTATATTTAAAAATGATTTGTTTTCTTTTACGAGCCGTTTTGTAAAAAAGTATATGAAAATTCCTTTTTAGAAAGAAAATATCAGTCGAGAAATCCAGGAAACGTTTAAAATTTTAAAAATGAAACCTTTTTTAATATCGTTGTGATTTGAAACTCGATGAAACAAAAAAAGCGACACTAAAAAGAGACAAACGTATACATCTATAGGATTTAGTCTGCGAAAGAGTGAGATAAAATACAGCACAGTGTTTTAAAAATGAAAACTTCTTTAAAATCGTAGTGACTTGAAACTCGATGAAACAAAAAGCGACACCAAAAAGAAACAAACGCATGCATCTATAGAATTTAGTCTGCGAAAGAGTGAGATAAAATACAGTATAGTGTTTTAAAAATGAAAACTTCTTTAGAATCGTTGTGATTTGAAACTCGATGAAACAAAAAGCGACACTAAAAAGAGACAAACATATACATCTATAGAATTTAGTCTGCGAGAGAGTGAGATAAAATACAGTATAGTGTTTTAAAAATGAAAACTCCTTTAGAATCGTTGCGATTTGAAACTCGATGAAACAAAAAGGGACGCTAAAAAGAGATAAACATATACATCTATAGAATTTAGTCTGCGAGAGAGTGAGATAAAATACAGTATAGTGTTTTAAAAATGAAAACTCCTTTAGAATCGTTGCGATTTGAAACTCGATGAAACAAAAAGCGACACTAAAAAGAGACAAACTTATACATCTATAGGATTTAGTCTGCGAGAGAGCGACATAAAATACAGTATAGTGTTTTATAAATGAAAACTTCTTTAGAATCGTTGTGATTTGAAACTCGATGAAACAAAAAGGGACGCTAAAAAGAGATAAACATATACATCTATAGAATTTAGTCTGCGAGAGAGTGAGATAAAATACAGTATAGTGTTTTAAAAATGAAAACTCCTTTAGAATCGTTGCGATTTGAAACTCGATGAAACAAAAAGCGACACTAAAAAGAGACAAACTTATACATCTATAGGATTTAGTCTGCGAGAGAGCGACATAAAATACAGTATAGTGTTTTATAAATGAAAACTTCTTTAGAATCGTTGTGATTTGAAACTCGATGAAACAAAAAGGGACGCTAAAAAGAGACAAACATATACATCTATAGAATTTAGTCTGCGAGAGAGCGACATAACATACAGTATTGTGTTTTATAAATGAAAACTTCTTTCCGGAGCTAATATGTTTTCTAAACAATTATTGCTTCTTTGATCTGAATTCAGTGTGTATGATGTTTCTTCATTACATCTAAATTTGAAATCTTCCGCCTAATTATATATGGATAGATCTTTCGTCGCCACCACATGCCATAAGGTGATGTATAACTTATAACTATATGTAAAACGCTTGTAAGTCACATCCTGTAGTGGAAAACTGGGAAAACGTTTCTTAAAAAAATCTGCACAGTTGACTTTTTATTTATATTCGAGAACTTTCACCGGCTCAAAATGGGCCAGGAGTACAACTGTAGCGTATTGTAAAATGTATAATTACGTTTATTTTTAACAATAATCTGTAAAAAAAATTACCGGTTCCCCTTGTTCGCCTTGTTCTCCTTTCGGGCCTTCGGGTCCAATGTCGCCTTCAGGTCCTGGAAGTCCAGTGAGTCCCATAGGCCCGTCTACACCTCTCATTGCAGTCTTAAATTAAAATTGAAGAAATATGTTATTTGCAACGTGAATTCTTATTTTTATTTGTTTATTTATTTATTTATTCTTTTTTGTACACCACAATACAGAAATATCAAGTACAGTTAAAACTAAATTAAAGTATGTACAATAGGCGGTCTTATCACTCTGAAAGTGATTTCTTCCAGACAACCTTTGCGTAGAGGAATGATGCAAACAAAAGTTAAAATAGAGGGGGGCATAAAAATAATAGTAAAAATATAATAATACATACAAATAAAGATAAGTGAAAGTTATATATAAATTATCATATAGTAGATTAAATGAAAATAGTACGAGAAAGATAAAGTAATTTATCTAATAGCGTTCAAAATAATACGATTTAACAATACTTTTGAAAGAGTGAAGAGATTTAGCACGACGAATATGGAGGGGTAAGGAGTTCCACAATCGCACAGCGGTTACGGTGAACGATTTCTTGAAAAAGGAAGAAGAGTGCAAAGGTGTAGAGAGAGAAAGATTGACGGAGGATCGAAGGAACCGATTATGGGTGAGAGAAAGATACTGGAAACGGTTTTTTAAATAAAGAGGAGTGGAAGGATTAAACAGCACAACTATACAACGCGGAGAGAATGTGAGTATTACTGCGAAGGCGGATTGGGAGCCATTTGAGCTGTTTGCGAAATTCGGAGATATGATTATATTTGCAAGCCCAAATATAAATCTAATGCATAAGTTTTGAATGCGCTCAAGATTATTAAGCTGCTCCTCGGTAATGTCAAGTTAGCAAATATCAGCATAGTCAAGGATAGGCAGAAGTAGAGACAGGGCGAGCGTAACTGTAGTTGCTGTGGGAAGAAAATTACGTAATCTACGTAAAGAGCTTAACGCAGCAAACATTTTTCTACTGACCTCATTAACCTGTGAGGTCCAAGAGATACAGGAGTCAAGATACAACCCCAGGTTTTTAACCTTGTTACTGTAAGGGATTAGAGTGCAGTCTAGTATAATAGGGGGTAGGTAAGACCAGTCAATTTTACCAATTAATCTAGAACTACCGATGACAATGACCTGAATTTTCTTAGGATTAATCGTTAAACCATAACATTTACTCCAATTAGAAATACAAGTCAGATCAGCGTTAATAGTGTCAACTGCTTTAGATAGATCTTCAAGGGAGGACTGAGTATAGATTTGAAGATCATCAGCATACAAGTGGTAGGAAGAGGACAAATTATGACTTATAGAGTTAATGAAAATATTTTTTTTAAATATATTTTTTATAGATTCTTATCAAAAATATACAAACCATGTGTTGTGTAAGCATTTGTCGAAGCGCTTCTGCTTGAGCGTCAGGTCCTTTATCATTGCCTGATTGGTGTAACTGTTAAAAGAAGAAAAAATAAAACCTTCATTTATGACGTTTTGTAAATCTTAGCATAGTATATAGTTAAACTCTAGTTTAAGTTCCAACTTACAGGCACAACAAAAACGTGTCCAGGGGGCCCCGTAAAGCCTTGTTGACCTTCCGCTCCTGGTTTACCCGGCTCTCCTTTGGGTCCTCTGGGACCTGGTGGACCTGGTGGGCCTGGATATCCGCGTGGGCCTGTGTAAGTACTTGTGCCACCGTAATCATAGTAATTGTCATTTGAGTCGTAAATAACTGAGGAATTTCCCTAAAAGTAAATTTGTGTAAAATCAGTCTCTCCGTCATCAGTAAGTAGCGCTTTGAGAGATTTACTTTAAAAATAGTTTAATAATTTGTGATCTGTAAAAAAATGTATGTAAATAGGGTGTTTCATAGATAAACTTAAAATAGTTTATAACAGAATTAATGGCTCTACTAAAAGTCCAAAAATTTATTTAAACACTGAACAAATGATTTTTTAAACGGCAACTTTTTTATATAAAATTATGTAAAACACGTCCACAAATAAATGAATTCCATATTTTTTTGTAACATTCGTTTAGATTAACTATGCCGATAGATAGGAAAAGATAAAACATCATTAAATTTTCTCTTAAATGGGAACGACAGTTAACGTTACGCTAGTACTTCATACTAGTAATAGTTTGTTGGTAAAGTACGTGTAAGTATAGCTATCTTGTTCGTGGTAAAGCCATCTTGTACGTGGTAGAGCCATGCTGTAGCTATATTATGTAATTGTAGCACGAATAGGTCTACTCGACCGGGTAGGACCACGCTCTCCCAGAATACCAACGTAAAATAGTAGCTTAATGCTGCTGTGTTTCGTATGGTGAGTATTGAGAACCGGAGACCCTTTTTACTGGAAACGTGGCATTCTATCTCCCCAGGGGTGGCAACGCATTTTTATTTTAATTATTAATCGAAGATAAATATAGATGTCTAAGTGACACAGCATCCACTTAAATATAAGTAATGCTTCAGCATCAAAAAAGATCGACCACAAAAACAAATAATTAAAATGTTATTAGAATCCACAGAAATAAAAACTATTTATAAATATTCTCTATTTTATACTAATTACTAAAAGGCGAAGTTTCACCACAACATATAGAAACGTCGAGCAAAAGCTGCTACGAGGCTGGCTATAAAAATGACTAATGACGTTGAGTGAGTAAGCAGCTCCAATTTCTTTGGTATAGCCATAATTTTATGTGTAAAAACTGCAGTTAAAGTGAACTATAATCAAGCGAACATATTCTTTATTACATTGTTTGTATCTCACTGTGGTATTCTAAAGTTACTCATGGTAGGTAACTTGCTAAAATACTAGATTACAGATGCAAAGCGCAATAAATATTTCTCGTAAACATGTTCCAATTTTTAAAATAGAATAAGAGTGACAAACGCAGTCAACCCTGATGGTCGCGGATGTTTTGCGACCCAAAGATTTCTATCTACATCCATTCTCGATTAAGAATCCACATGCAGGTGTATTGTCATCTCTAAGGACTGAGATAGAATGTCTCGTTTCCAGTATAAAGGGTATCCGTATCCTCTACACTCACCATAGGCATTAAATGCTGCTGCTATTTTACGCTGGTATCCTGTGGGAGCGTTGTCTATCTCCAGTCGAGCTGACCCATTCGTATTAAAACCATAATATAGCTGCAGCTTGGCTCTAACACGTATAAAATAAAGTTTTTTTAGCCTAAGAGGAGTTTTAAATCAAAATTGTGCCTCATTCTCATTTAATCAAAATCAAAATGAGTTTGAAACGTAAGCTCGTATCATTTAAGAAGGTAATAAATATTGTATTTTTTATTTATTGTACTATAATAATAATAATAATAATTATTATTATTATTATTAGGTATCTGTATATTTTTCTCATCTGGTTATTATTATGATTTCGTATATTTACGCGAACACTACACATGATTAAAACTACTTTTACGGATTTTATCGCGTTTATTTTTGCTTTTAATTACTTTTATTTTTAATTCCCGACGTTTCGGGCGCTTTCCAGCACCCATGGTCACGGGGGACTGAGATGACTGACGTCCCGATGTCATTGTTAAACCCGGAGTACCTTCAGCTTTTTTAATTATTGTTTATGGTCCGATCTATGCAAAATGAACTGACTATGTCTTGAGGTCTTGCAGTGGTATGCTTGGGTTTAGTTTTAATTTTATTGATTATAGGATCCCAAGCAGGTGGTAGTACCCAGCCTCCTTGTCTATTGAAATTAGGATGTTTTTTAATTTCAATAGCCTCACGTATCATCCTTGGTAGGAATCGGTGTTCTTTCGCGAGGATTTGTGGTCTATCAAATCTGATGTAATGGTTGTTGTTGTGGTGTTTGTAATGGTTGAAACGTCGGGAATTAAAAATAAAAGTAATTAGAAGCAAAAATAAACGCGATAAAATCCGTAAAAGTAGTTTTAATCATTATTATTATTATGTTTATTTTTCCTCACAAATATTGACCATACATAATAAAAACTTATATCTATTTAAATACAGGTAGGTTCATACTCATAGCCTAGAATCTGTGAAGAGCTGGTGTTTGAGATAGGCAATAAAATGCCTGTATTACAAATCACCAGGTCTCCACCTCATGAGATATAATTAAAAGCATTATATCTAATTGAGCGTTACAGGTATTGTAGATATATTGAAAAATCTTAAGAGGAAAAAACAAAAAAAAAAATAGGATGATATCATAATATATTATTACGATGTAAGTTACAATTTTATATGATTAACCTTTACCTCATACACTTCCGGGGCATTTGTTAGCCAGTCAGTGTTTGTGTCATCTGTAGTCGTCACAGGCGTGTAGGACGATTCAGTAGTAACGAGAGTTACATTTTGTATATCGAAATTATCTTGGCGTGTGGGCTGTAAAAAAGTAAAGTAATGCAAAGTAAACGAAACAAATTTAAAATAAAGTGAAGTATCTGCCGACATGCGTTCAGTAAACGAGTAAAATAATTTGCCACTGTCTTTCGTTTTATTAGATCATAATGTGCGCGTTTTTGATATACGAGTTGATTCGCTATATAAACTGGAAGAAGGACTCTGCTATCTTCGGTTTCTTCATCATTTAACACCCGGTAGGGTAGTAGTTATGCACTGTTAATAGGCACAAAAGGTCCATAGCTGGGCACAGAAATCCTATTATTTCTGATAAGCCTATCAAAAAAGAAAGCAAGAAAGTTTATCACTACAGTATCTTAATGTAAATTGGGAGTTCGTATATGGTAATGATAATAATATCTACCTCTAAACGGTTTGAATGAGGGTTGTAAATGTTTGTTAAAGAGATAATTATTTACACTAAGTCTCCTTGTTTTTAGAATCTACTCTTTCAGAAAGAAAGATTAAATATAAGGTACATGAGGATAATACGGTCTCCTTAAGATTTGCCGACCTATAAAACCAAAACTAGGAACAGACAGAGAGAAAAATACACAGTAGTATAATATAACTAATATATTAAGAAAAAATGGCATACAAGTTTTAGCAATAATTAAGAACACTTAGAAATGTCAACTTAAAAAAATTACTACATACACTATAACACCACACAATACTAAAACCGACTAAAATATTAAATATAATGACAACTGCAAAAATGGCTTCGATAAAGCTGCCCCTTGTTGACCCTTTATTATTTGATTTACTCAATTATATTATTAGTAGTTCAGTTGTAGCACGAATGGGTCGGCTCGACCGGGGAAGGACCACGCTCTCACAGAATACCAGCGTCAAATAGTAGCTTAATGCTGCTGTGTTTCGTATGGTGAGTGTAGAGACCCGGAGACCCTTTTTACTGGAAACGAGGCATTCCACCTAAGTAGTCGCGGATGACAACGCATCTGCATTTTGATTCGTAATCGAGGATAGATGTAGAATGTCTATAGGACACAGCAACCACTTACCACCAGGTGGACTGTGTGCTCGTTTGTCATCCTACCCTATAAAAAAGGCATCTATGCAAACAATGCTATAGTTTTTGTGTTATAATATACTAAAAAAACTTATAAACTCATTTGTGGCAAATCTTGTTAATATTCAGTGTGGTTTTCTTCCTTTATCTTTATTATTAGCTCGTAACAATTAATTGTAGGATATAGGTCTCTACCATTAAAGGAAATATTTGCCACAATCGCCTTTTGTCACCTTCAATCTATCACACGTTGTGCACTTTGGATTCTTCTCACCGCTGCTATGGACTATTATATATGTTATAACCGCTTGCTGTGTAGTGGCGGCGTGTGTATATCCACTCCCATTTCATCACGTGGGTATCGTCCGGTTGTAAGAGGCGATAGAGGAACACTTAAATAGGAGACGGGTACGACCATCGAAACAAAATCTAAAATGAATAAAAAATTCATTTGCCCACCGTTTGTCAAGCGTGGTAACTGTGGCAAAATCCCCCTCTCATGGGGGAGGCCTTTGTTCAGCAGTGGACATATGATAGGCTTTAACGAACAAATTAATTAATTAATGTACATACGAGATGCTATACCGACAAAATCTGAGATCTAGAGATCTTTCTGGCCGCTTCCTGTAATCGCTCCTTGCCACATATGTACACGCATCTAGAAATCAACGATTAAGTTTTATATATACATTTGCAAACTGATGTTTTTTACCGGTACTCCTTAAAACGAAAATTAATCTTTAGCTGACGTTCCCATTTCCATCCGATGAAGCACTATCTTGATTGTATCTGCCATTAAAGTTGTAAACGTCAAAAAAATTAACAGTACATAGATTTTATCACTAAGTATTATACTAGTTTTAAATATTGTCTTTATATATTTTATAATTCTGTATATCTATATATCTGTCTGCAATTTTGTGACTGAAATGCTCCTAACTAAGCACTTGGACCGATTTTGATGAAATTTTGTGTGTGTAATTAAGTTAGTTTTACAATTGGACTCGGTAGATGTTAGCTGTTCATCCAGAAATCATCCGAGCGTAGCCAGAGTGGATCACGAGTAATTCTATAAATATCACAAACATAACTTCTCTTTCTAAAACTTTCTCTTTACTCACCATTGGTGTAGATATGCCTGTAATTTCGTCAGGAACATTTTCAAAGTTACTTAAAGGCGTAGTATTGAATTCGTCTATATCGGTGAATCTGCCGAAGATGCTATTTTCATCTGTGTAAAAAAGGATTGCTATAAATATCACCAACGAAAAAGTTAGTTGAATTATGAGTGCTTATTTATTGCGTGCTCGGTTGTGAGAGTGAGGAATGAAACCGAACTACGCATGCTTCTGAATTATTTTAGCCTGACTGTGCCAGCGGTATAAGAATATCCGTAAGAACATCGTCCCCTGGCAACAGAGGGAAACAAACCAGGATATGGGATGGGGATTCTTTATAAGAACCCTTTCAGTATTAACATTTCTAAAAATGAAACTTATCTGAGAGCAAAAATAGTTCTAGGCATATATGGGTAAATTTAACAAAATATCATTTTGATTGTCGATTGAAAAGAAAAGATCTCCCGCCGATCTAGGTGTTCACCCCGGAAAGAGGTAAAAGCTGTATGTGGTAGCACGGAGACTTTATCTTCAAACTAGCGAAAAAACAACCACAATTAAAAAAAACCCAGAGGAGAAAAAAACAACACAATTTGAAAAATAGGACCCATTACAATAACTTCCCACTGGGAAGTTAAATATAACTTGCCTATATGGCTGCCAAGCCTGGCAATCATGGCAAATATCCATCATAATATGAGGCAGTCTATAGGAAAGCCTACGAACATCAGTGCACTTAATAGACAGAAACAGCAACGTTTCCGCCAATACGCTTTGGAGCAACGCACCGCATTAATTGTTCTTAGAAATGAGAGGAGGCCTGTTAGGAATCCCAGATAGGAAAACCAAAATATCTGGACAAAATTTAAAAATGTCGGGATTTGGAGGTTGTTATCGGGAGAAAAAGTTCTTTGAAAATGAAAATGTAAAATAAAAAGTTAGTAAAGTACAAAAAGACTAACTTTGTTTATACATAAATAATTTACGTACATTTATTTTAGGTTGCCACATGTATTTGGTATTGGACTTTACTAAGTCCACCAATTTGAATCCTTGAGTGGTATTCAGAAAAGATTTAAAATTTAAACAATTTACTTCAAAGTTGAGTCTAATTAGTAACTCAGCTTTTATTACGAAGATAAGCTGTTTGTCCGGGAGTCTGGAGATCATTTAAAATTTCGGGAGAATACAGACAAATCTCGACCATCTGGCAATCCTCAGGCCTGTGTTCAACAGTTGAACGTACATATTATTACGCCGTAAATTTTTAATAAGTACGTAAAATACAGACAATTTAACTGGCGTAAAGAGAACAAATCCACTGTATATTTAAATTCCCTACTGTAATATGGATACGATATTTAAAATTCGTTGTTTCTTTATTTAAAATTCATTAATTCAAAGTTTCAACATATCTCCACGTTTTGAGGTCCATAGAGTCCGATTCTATTGTTGTGAAAAAGATTATGTATGTGTATGATTAATACGTTAGTGAAATTTTTCGGCTCACATTTCTCGATTAGAAATGGTGATGTCGTGCCCAATTTTCTTCGAAGCTTTAGTAAATACACACATAAGCGAATTATTAAAATCGATTCAGCTGTTTTTATCGGCATAAATCCAATTTACAATTAATCACCGAATAGAAAAATAATAGTTAAAGCCGACCGAATTGCACTCATATTAATTAATTTATATGTAACGCATTTTGCGGTTTATATTTTATTTAAAACATTTTTTTCGTTTAAAAGTAGTACATACCGATATCTGTTGACGCAGCATATTGTCCAATTTGAGGGAGGATGTCGGGACTCTGCCAGTATGGTCTTGATGTTAAGTAGGGAGCACCACTAGCAGCCCATGGGCCATCGGATTCATTTCTTACATCAGAGAGTCGATTCTCATCTATGTGCCCATACGGCCTGCTGTCAGTGTAGTCAGTTCGTAAACCAATCGCGGTCGGTGTGTATTCTCTATTAGCGTGTATCTCATTTTCAAATGGAACATTTCTCTCAGATATTCGTCCTGCATACTGCGATATTGATCCTTCACAATCAGGGGCAATTGCAACACACATGTCGTATGCTACGTCTGGTCTATTTGCAAACTTAAGAAGCTCTATGTCGCCCTGGAAAACAATCATTATTTTATCTTTTTTTATACGTTACCTCCACACTAAGATTCTCTCCTGTATCGAGGGAGCAGTTTACATACATAAATTTCACAAGGATTAACATACAGACCCGGAACAATTATTTGTAGGCCATACAAATACTTGTTCCGTGCGGGATTCGAACCGTTAGCGCTACAACTCATTGCTATGCCACTGCGCCATAAACAATTAAGATAAAACATATAATTTTATAAGCTGTTTTAGAAAAGAAACTGTATTTGCAATAGTGTCTGTAGTCTGAGTGTTTTGTTCCTACGTACATAGTACTCGTAATGCGATACCGGACTGCTGCGTTCTTTTAACACGTTCTCTGTGCGCATATAAAAGCATGATTACACCCACATGTCCACTTTAGATTTCGATTATAATAGATTAATACAGATCCCAGTAATACAGTTTAGATGTTATTTATTTTTCATTTCGTTTGGGTTTTTTTAATAGCCAAAAACCCTTTTACGGATTTTATCGCGTTTATTTTTACTTTTTATTTACTTTTATTTTGGATTCCCGACGTTTCGGGCGCTTTCCAGCACCCATGGTCACGCGGGACATGGGTGCTGGAAAGCGCCCGAAACGTCGGGAATCCAAAATAAAAGTAAATAAAAAGTAAAAATAAACGCGATAAAATCTGTAAAAGTAGTTTTAATCATGTATAGTATTCGCGTAAATATAAGAAATCATTAGCCAAAAACCTATTGAGGTCAACCCCGACATGGACGTGTGAGTATGAAATTATGTTATGTTAATATATATAAATATTTATAGTAAGTGTCGTGAGCTAAGAGTGACCTCATGAACGGTGTCAGTAGAAGACTCCAATAAGGTCAGGGTTTACCTCATGGACAGGGAACGTGTCAATGATCCTAGCATCGACATTTCTTTGTTTCAACACGAATGAACCGAAACGTCTCGCGGCTACTGTTTCACGTCACGGCATTCCAAGGGATGCCGCGGCACGCCGCTGCATCACGTGAAACGCATAAGTTACTTTATGTTGTTAAAGGAATGTGAGTGCTAAGTAATTGAAACAAGGTTGAATCTAGCCCGTTGCGGCTGCGATCTCAGCGACTTGCGCGAGCGCCCGGTACACGAGCGCGTCTTGACTTGTTTGGCATGCCGCGAGATGCCACAGGATCCTTCGGCATGCCATGGAATGCAACAGCATCCTTTGGCATGCCGAAGTATGCCTTAAGACGCCGTGCTATACCGTGCTGTCTGTGAGCGAAGGTCATTATTGTTAGCTTTTGAGATGTGATTTCTACTTTAAGATTTAGTGACCAATTGGTGACTCTCATTTACCGAGATCAAAACATTTTGCTAAAATAGAACCGAAGTCATCTATATGATTATATAAATGATTAAGTTGACTGAGTATTCACTTGTACCTCATAGTATTGATCAGGTGTAATTTGGACTCCAACGACAAGAGCTCCGGCTAGGTTAAACGTGCTACCGGGCTTGCGATGAAGTGGAAGCGACTCTCTTATTTCGCAGTCCACCAGCAATGTTGCCGAGTCACCTTTTATACTCAGACCAATGCGATGCCACCTAAAAAATAAGGTTTTCATAAATAACGTTTAACTAATATTGTTATTAGCATCAAATATATTTTACAATAATATACTATGTTGATCAATAAGTTATAAAAATGCGTTCTATTTTGTTTTCGTAAATTCGTTAGTAGCCAAGGCCAGAATAAAATTAAATTAAAAAATATACTTAATGTTTTACCAACTTGACATTTGGCGGGAATTTGATTCAACAATCGCTTTAGGTATCTTATTAAAAACTTTTATTCACGTTATGTAACAATTTTTATAGAACAAAGCTGTACTGCAGGCAGGCATGATGGTTGCAGGTGATTTTTTTAGCGGTCTCGGGTGGGGTGTGCCTTCGTGGCGTTTTCTTTGCCCGCTGTTGTAGGGGCAACGGTTCACGCCCAACGGTCAACGGCGACGAAGGCTTCCTTGTAGGGATTTGGGAGTAGGAGGACACTACCCTGGTCCGCTCGGGGTTAAAAATGTCCCGGTAGGCGATTGGCCTCTCCAAAACGCCTGGACGGTCCGGTGGTTTTCTAGCTCTAGGAGGGGGCTCCCCCTTGTCCTTATCCGACATGATGATACTAACCTACCTATGTAGTGAGCATTCAGTGATCTACTACGGGCCCTATCTGAATTACCAGACGATCGACAGGCAACTAGTGATGCGCGACGCGAATGGTAGGGATGATAAAGATGTTGGATTCGACTCAATGGGCACTGCCTACCCCTTTTATAACAAAAGGGTTGGGGGAAGTGCGTTGGTGGCACTTTAAAGACGCGACTGGGCACAGTAAGCACGGAACGCTTTAAAGTGCCTAAGAATCTGCCTAGGGGCCGGTGACCTCGACGCCTCACGGAGTAAACGGACTCAACGATCGGCGGGGTATGTCTTACCGGCGGTTGTATGCAGCCACTGCTAACTGCAAACAACGCACACCTTGGAGATCCTTGGCGTCGATAAAGCAGCGCCCTTTTGACCCTTTATTATTTGATTGACCGATGAAGAACTATCGTATCACACAGCCATCTATGCAAACAAGGCTGTAGTTTCTGCGTAATAAGAAAATGACCATATTAACCGAATGACCATATTATTCTCACGTACTATACTCTCTTGCTTCAATGAACTTTAGGCCAGTATATTCTAAGTCTATGGTTGCTTCTGTAGTTCATGGTTATCAACGAAAAAATCTGATCTTAAGTAGTTAGCTCCCGGGAGTGCAAAAAAGGGTGGGTAATTTTAGTAAAATTTATTTATAGTCAACCAAATCTAAGAAATAACTTTTGACGTTTCACATTAATCATTTCGCAATAACTTTGCACAAGCGTACTCACACGATTTAAAATAACCTTTTACGTAAATCAGAAGAATTATGAAGTTATCTATATTTCATTACAACGCGTATAGTTTTTTTTTCACTAATTTAAATTTGAATCTTTCAAACAAAGCAAAATATTAAAAAATAACCAGTATCAACTTTTTTTACTTGACCTTGTTTCAATGATATGTCGCTATGTACATTACCGTAGTGTTTGGATGATTAAAATTCATTTTTATGCGAATAATCGGCAAAATATTCAAATAATCGGTAAAAATATTCTAATAATCGAATCACTCATTTATTCATTATTTGTTTAATTTAATTTTTATTTTCAAAATTCCTTAAATTACATGAATCATGAATAAAACAAGTTTATTTTTTTTTACTTTGTCAAAGCAAATTTGTGTAGGCAAAAAACTTATATACAAGGCCGTGATAAAATAACATTTCAACATCCCGCCATTTCGGTACCAGTACCAGTTACTCGACTCCACAGAGTCATAATTTATTCTTGGGGCGATGTATACGCTTTTACAATAAAATCGCAGAAAATATACAAAACTTGACGTAAGTACTCAAAGTTCAAATACCTAATAAACTAAGTTTGTATAAAAAATAAAAAAGGTTATTTTAATATTAAGGAATTTATGGATGATAATAACCCCTGGGAAGGGTGATCGCTACCAAGCTATTTCTAATTTGTTTTGTGTTGTAAATTGTAACACGCATTTTTTTAAACTAGTCCCGTTGGGTTTCTTGCTAGTGCTTCCAGGACAGAGGTTTTTTTTTGCAAACCAGTGGTAAATGAAAAAAGTGACTTTCAATAAGTATTATTCATAATCTATATTAAATAAAAAAGTTTCTGTTTCGAGAGCTTACTGTGCGTAATTTTGTGATTTTGTGTTTGTCTTCTTATTTTGTGACTCTGCTTTAACTTTTTGGACTATTTATTCTATATTCATTGAAGCATGTGCCCATGTTACATAGGATGATTAGGCAAAAGTGGTAGAAAAGACAAAAAAATTGATTATGGATGACTTTGAAACACATTAATTTTGACTGCATTATTAAAAATCAAATAATAATTAATGTAAACAACGACATTTCTACTAGTTGTACTGAAAGTGATTGAATAAATTTATTTTAAGCTATTGCATAGCTTCTATCGCGGGCCTTGAGCGCGGGGACCGAATCCAGAAATTCCGTAACGAAAAAAAACCTCACGCTCCCCACTCCGACGGGCACGGATGTGTGGCGTTGAAAGCCGTGCATCGTCTAACGTCGTTTTAGTTCGGCAGACTTCGGCACTCGGCAGACTTCGGCACGGGGTTTGTGTGCGTGTACACTAGCTGCTAACTCAATGATAAAAATTCCTGAATAACCTAGGTACAAGTATTGTAAGATATTAAAAATATTTTAAACAATATTAACTTCTCATTTATTCAATAAGAGAAAAAAAATTGTTTTCTTATCGGTCACCACGCTCAAAAAGTGTAACTTGATTTAATATCAAAGACTTAAATGCATAAATAAAATAAATAAATAATTATAATTGCATAAGTTGATAAAAATGCTATGCAATAGCTTTACCGCAGTCACCGAGTGCCACACGTATTTTTTTAATTTAGTTTCCATCTTAAATTTTTATAAATGTGCCTCTAGAAATAAGCAGTAACAACAAATACGAAGAAACTGATAAATCTTGTGTTTTAAATTATCCGTTTTTAATTTATTCTGGTATTATTCAAACCAAACTGTAAATGATTACCAACTGTAAATAATTGAAATCGATTTTTTTTAAGAATCGAATATTGCACGTTCCCACTTTTTGATTGGCATGCTTGGTGCAATAAGTCTGACAGCAGTCAAAATGTATTTCTTAGATTTGGTTGACTCTAATTAATTATTTTTTATCTATCCTAGTATAATAAATATACAGGGTTATTTTGCAATAACCGGTATTTGCAGAGAAGGTTCAGAATAAGTAATATAGGCAAATAATGAAGAAAAATTAATTAAAAAAATCTCAAACATTCTGTCCTTTTTATCTTTTAAATTGAAAATGCGTGGTAAAGCATTATATTAACTAATTTTACTGCGCATGCACACATTCGTAAGGATGGCTCGGTAGGCAAATACGTTGTTGCCCATAAATCACAGCACAATTAGAAGCCTTATTTACTCGTATTTTCAAAAACTGCAATAATGGTATATCATTATTCATATATTTGAACTTATGTTTAAAATTTGGCTATTCTTTGAAAAATAACCCTGTACGTATCATTTAAAAAAAAAAAAAAAAGAAATAAAAAAAAAAATAATTACGGCTTATTGCATATATGTTGGCCCAGCTAGCTCGATCCAGGTCCCAAGCAGTAGCTAGACCACATTAGACCATGCTCTTGTTAGAAGAAAAAAGCAAAGACTTACCTGCCATCAGCGACGTTGACCCGATAAGTGAGTAGTTCGTGATCAGGCGGATCACCTCGGGTGTCTTCATAATACAATTCTACCATTTCTCCAACCACTAGCTGCAGCTGTTCATCACCCGCATCCGAGTATAACACAAACAATGGATTTTGATCCGTGCCTTTTTAAAAAGAAACATTAATTAAAAATGTAAATCGAGAATTAAATAAATTTTCTGTGTAGTAATGCATAGAAAGTGCCTTTATGAGCGATGTGTTGGATCCGTATCTATGTATGATCGGCGTGACCGTTTTGTGTATCCGAAAGCAGTTTTGTGGCTCTGCCTACATGCGTTGAAGGAGGAACAACATGAGTTTAGGAGTTGCGAGTCCGACGTAACACGTTTTTGCCCCTGTAAGGCGGGTATGTTTAGGCATTTAACCCATGAAAAAAATACTTATTGCTTTGAGATTTACCACAGGCTCGAAAGCCATATAAGTAATCAAAGTTTTAAGTGCTGTTTTATTGTAGGTTCATTTTTCATTAGTTTGAGAGTATAGAGCCGAGAATTGAAGAGAATGTGGACGCTGATACATGATTGTACTTTGCGATGTAAGCGACCACTGATCCATAGATATTTTTATCCGTTTCCAATAAAAGATCCAGATACAGTTGCTATTGTTAGGTACACTTCAGAAATAAAAATTTGAATGCCTCTTTTCAAATATTGCCGTTGGTCTGTGAGTTTTCCTCGCACAATATACTACACTATATGGGAGTGTAGTATGTTCTTAATCATGCCGATTTATTATCTTAGGTTCATTGGTTTTCTAAGTATTATTTTACTATAAAGATTATGGTTATAAAGTTGGTAATAAATAATGGAGCAGGGAATGAGTGACCCAGTTTATACACATTCTTTGGAGCTTAATTTATACAGATATTTCAACATAAATTAAATTAATCCCGTAAATGTCGCCGTTGCGACACTGCTAGGGTTCGTTATTCAGGGCAAGGCTACATTTGTGTCATTCTTGTGATGGACTAAATCTAAATGTGTTTATTTCTTCTCATTATTGAGTATTTGATACCATCATTTATAAATTACTACTTAATTTAATGTGAACTTCCTGCTTTTAATAGTGTCTTAAAATGCAGTCGATTTTCCTTTTAAAGCTATTTAACATTTTTATAATTTAAAAGTATTACAAATGAGACGATAATTTGACTATAAAAACTATGACGTCATTATAATCTCAATCAAATCAAATGCTTTTTTGACAATTCTTAACGAGTTTCAAATACCCAATTGTAGTTGTTATTCTTAGTGAGAACATCTTACGAATCTTTAGCAAAAATGGCCGGTTGGCGCAGTTAGTAGCAGTCTGTCTGTCTGTCTTCTGGGCCGCTGGCCCCGGTTTGATTCCCGGCCAGGTCAACATGTGTGCATGAACATGTCTGTTTGACCTGAATTTATTATTGAAATATCTCTCTTATAAGACAATCTATGGGACATGTCCATGTTCAGGTGTGGAGGTGTGGATGGTGAATGAATAGTTGCGAGAAGAATTTATGATGGCGTTTAAACATTTTATCTTTATAGTTTGACAAAACGAGCTTTAAAAAGAAACACTTTTTACACCTAAAATACTAAATAAAGAAATATAACTCAATCTTCTAAATGAAATTTTAAAGATTTTTAGAACTTCAAGCAATTCTATAACCATTTGAGGTTTCATATTATAATTAAAAGAAACGACTATAAGTCAATTTTAAAAACGTAAAAACCGACTTCAAAAAATAAAATGATATTCACATATTATGTTATAGCTTCTGAAGTTGATGCGAAGACATAGTTTATCGAAGAATCAAAACATCGACTTTTTTGAAAGTTTAATTATTTGATCCTTTTGAGTGGCTTAATCACAAGCTTAAGGAAACAGCTGGAATACCGTCTAAATAGTTACATTTAAGAATCTAAACTATTTTCCCACCCTTAGGATTTTCTTCAAAATTGTCTGGGACCACCCCTAAAGTAATTAAAAAAAACGTTTAAATCCAGGGGATTAAAAAACATTAAATTACTTCACGATCGGCGAAGATATTGCGCAACATACATACAAAAATACAGCTTTGGAAGTTTTTGAAGGCTACATTAATTTATTAATGATCAATTAACGTGTTTTACCACAAAGAAAAATAAAATGATTGGCTCACAAACACAAATGTTACATTAATTATTTAAGTAATCTTAGCACGATACTTCTTTGCGTAACTTAACTTTTTTGTATATAATTAAATAGCATATCAGAATCTGCTGCTATCAGGGCTTAATATGCAATAATGCAACATAAAAAATACTACTGAAGTTAGACCTCTAATAGGTAGCATGTGTGCCATAGTTGCCACGTTTGGTAGGCAGGGTTGGCAATCGCAGTTTTTTAAATTATTGTAATGTTATTATGAGGAAGATGTTGCTGCCCATCTCATGTTTTATTTGCCTCTGTCAACTCCTACTGCTTTTACGGCGCAATACACGGCACAAAATTAGCAAAGAAATGTTTAATACTTACTTTTTACTGGTAACTATTTTTGTACGTACCGAATGGCAGTCGAATTACAGCTATAACAGAGAAGTCTTCTGGGAAAGTATTATAGAACATCCCTGCAGCGAGCTGGTGCAGTGTTGCGTTCTCATTAAGGGAAAATCCGGAGAATTCTTCTGGGCTGATAGAAGGCGTCTGACATCTACCTGGCACCTTTGATACGCCTTCGGGAAGCTCGCCATCACGGACCACAGACAATACATCAAAGAATTCAGCGTCATCTGAAAATTGAACGCATCTAAAAATATTTTTAACATTACTGACATACCCGCTAATAATATAACTGTTTGTGTCTTAAAACAAATTTACGATAGTAATCCAATAGAGGATTCTCATAACTTCCTATGTTTGTGATCCAAAACCTTAATCATCTGTGTATTGTCGCTTCATTTTATCATAAACTTACACATATCAGGTAAGATAAAGTAACTAACCCAATAAAGATAAAATCATAAACTGTTATATTTTACGAGCGAAAATCGCTGAGATACGCCTAGAAAACGTTGTTGCACGAAACCCAATTTCATTCAGATGCATAAAATAGACATTTTTGCGGGCTAAAATGAATTGTTTTTCAAATGAAATCACCTAAAGACCAAACAACAGATTCAGATTAAGCCATACGGTCTGTGTGTGTATATATATATATTTATAAATATATATATATATATATATATATATATATATATATATATATATATATATATAATGAAAATCTCGGTGCTCTTTAATTTCCTATAATTTCATGAACCAAGAAAATCGTACTTTTCTTTGACTGATGAGCGGAACTCGTGGACGTTGCACTCGTGGAGCTCGTAGGCAGTTATAGCCTGTAGCAGCCTATTTTGGCATTAGGTTTATCCACTCTGTTGACTCTGTGTGTCAAGCACGACGATTATCTGATTACATTGATAGTAGTCTTATGTACTGTATAATGGCTGGCGGTGAAGATGCACAATAATATTCTAAATAAATACATTTAAGTTTACTTTATTTAACTTTGCCATAGAATTATTTACACATTGTTATTTTAAGTTCTGATTCACTACGTGTTCAGCGAGAAGGAAAAATGGTGAAGAGACCTGTCCAGACCATGTCTGAAAAATTATACAAAATCACGAAGAGAGAATGTTCACCAAAACTAATTGAGGCAGCACGGCGGACATTTCCTTGATTTGAAACCCTCTCAGAAATGAGCGTAGGTCTCTGCCCAGCAGTGGGACGTAATTATATATAGGCTGTAGCTGTTGTGGTGGTAGCTAGTGGGCTTTTACAGTTATATCTGGCTTGGTGGCATCATGCAGAAGAAGTGTATTAAAACAAAATAAGTCCAAGAATAAAAGAGTTAGACCTTTCGATTAGCCTAAAACGTTTAGTTGCCAATTAAAGTTATATTTTTAATTGAATTTATTAACTTTTTTATTTGCGTATTATTCTTAGCATTACTGAGACTTCAATACAGAATATACAAAACTTAAAGAATGATTGAAATCTGATATTACTGTACTTTTTCAATATCAATATTTTGCTAAATAAATATTTTATATTACTTTCCAATTATACCCGTCTTGTAAATTTGTTTGAGTAGATTTTTTACTCGAAATATAGACAGGTACGTTCCTTGAGCGTATGCGTAGACACGCGTCATAGGGTACAAAAATAAATATATTTCAATTGAATAAACGAAATTCACTCACCGTCTCCTTTCCCGATGTTGAATAAGAAAAACAATAGAAGAACGAGACGTCCCCTTATCTGAAGAGCCATTGCGGCCCAAGTAAATATTTAGGTGGGATTTTATTTACAGTAGGGCCCATCCCGTCCGTCGCATAAAGCGACGTCGGTTAGAGGCTAGGGTGGTAATGTTTTTCGTAGCGGTCAGTGGATAGTCGCTTCAGACACATGTCGTTGTTCTGTGGGGGACGATGACACCACTGACGACAGCTACGTGTGGTTCTACGAGATCACTTCGCAAATTAGCATGCCGGTTGCATTGGTGTCAAAACAATAAAGAACAATAACGATTCAGAGATTGACTACATTTTCCACAAGCTTTATTCTTCTAAGGGAATGGGTAGCTATTACATGATTGGAAGTTTTTATTCAGGCTATTTAAAAAAAATGTAAACTTTAAGCGGTATACGAGTGTATATTTATAATTTTGTTTAGCTCTTAAAAATATATTTTTTGAGACGCATATATCATATTGCGTGTACTATGGATAAGAACTACCATGACTTCAAAATCAAATACACTTTTTTTTTATAGGATAGGGTGACAAACGAGCACACAGTCCACCTGATGGTAAGTGGTTGCTGCGGCCCATAGACATCTACATCTATCTTCCATTACAAATCAAAATGCAGATGCGTTGTCACCCGTGAGGACTGAGATGGAATGCCTCATTTCCAGTAAAAAGGGTCTCCGGTTCTCTACACTCACCATACGAAATACAGCAGCATTAAGCTACTATTTCACGCTGGTATTCTGTGAGAGCGTGGTCCTTCCCGGTCGAGTCTACCCATTCGTGCTACAACTACACTACTAATATAATTGCAGCATGGCTCTACCACGTTTTTTAAATGTCGTAAATTTCTTGTGAACGCAATACGATTTTATTATATTGTTGGCACAGGGATATCAATAATGTAATATGAATTATTTACCGAAACAATTCCTTACTTAAATGTAGATTAGGTTTAGTCCTTAGAAATATAAGGTTTTTAATGTCTAACACTGAAAACAATAATGTGTTATTAATTATTATTCTAAGGTTTAATCACTCTTAAATGTAATTTAATGTCTCATTTTTCTTTAAAAAATTAGTTAAAGCTTATATTCCTAGAAGCTTTAAACATATAACATAAGATAACATAAACACTCACGCCTGTCACCCAGAGGGGTAGGCAGAGACTACAGACTTCCATTTGGTACGATCCTGACACACCTCTCTTGCCTCCTTCACATCCATACACCTACGCATACATGCGTTAAGGGTACTCCTAATTTGGCCCGTTTTCAATAAATCGCCAATTTGGTCGATAAATTTTCGCCTAGGACGTCCCTTTCCGACTCTGCCATTCACTTCTGCACCATAAATTTTCTTTGTCACTCTTTCCTCATTCATTCTTTCCACATGACCAAACCACCGAAGCATTCCTTTCTTAATCCTGGTCACAACATCATCTTGCAAACCACACTCTTCTCTTATTACACAATTTCTTACCCTGTCATTCAGATTCAGCCCTAACATACTCCTTAACGACCGCATTTCTACTGCGTTTATTCTACTCTCGTGCTTCTTCTGCCACACCCAACTTTCACTACCTTTAAAATTTACCTTATAACTACCACTAAGCTTTAAAATTTACCTTATTACGTTCCGTGATAAGCTTCTTCTTATTATAGTAGTTAGTGCACTGCACCTTGTTTTATTTTCGATTGCCCTTCATTTTGTATAGTAAAGTTTCCCGCCATCCATGAACAACTGAAGCACCAGAAAAATTGCAGGTGCGTTGCCGGCCTTTAAAAAAGGAGTAAGCATGTTTCTTGAAGGTCCCTAAGTCGTTTCGGTCCGGAAAAATTGCTAATGATGACAAAGATGTCGTTTGAAAAAAAGAAAACTAAAAGAAACTATTATATAAATATTTTAGTTCATATTGATAAATCAATCAATATCTCGATAATACCCAATACTTAGAAATATTACATTTTTTGTTGAAACAATGTATTTACAAGAATATTTAATATTTTTTCTTGTAAAAAGGTTGTCTACAACTGAGTTCTTTATAATGGTCATATCCAATTCCACGCATCCTAACAAGTCATCAACACATTCATTTTCATTAAGAGCATGTTAGCCGCAGCACTCCGCATTCAAACTCGAAATTAGCGCGCGTATTCATCATTAATTAAACAATGGTCTATATTTTAAAATCGTTGTAAATATATAGCAGTCATACTTTGAATACAGCTTTGAATTAATCGCACCTTTTATTAGTAACAAAATATTTTTTTCCTGTTCGGGACAAGCAAAAAATACGGAAATAGGAAAGTTACTATCATTGATAATTGTATTTGTAATTAAAAGAGTAAAATAAATTAATTAGCAGTATGTAATTTTGTGATCTAGTAACAACCTTATTTCTAGATTAAAAAATATTTTGATATCGTTATACTCCGTTTATCACGAATTGGTCGACTCTATCGGTGAAGAATTACGCTCTCACAGAATACAAGCGCCAAATAGCAGCATGCAGAAATAATTTTCGCTAGAAACGACGCATTCCATATTAGTCCTCAGAGGTGACAACGTATCTCCATTTTGATGTAGATGCCAATGGGCCACTTACCACGAGGTGTACTGTGTACTCGTTTGTTACACTTATTGTGTAAAAAAAGCAAAGTGCACGTAAATATTGCTTCTAGCTAACTACACTTGTGGAAACTTTCGCTGACCTAAAACGTAACGATTTCTAGTAGTCTCTTTCCGTAACAGTTTATCGCAGAAAAGGTCTTTTGAAACGGATCGTAATTAAGAAGGAAGTTACTTTAATGTTTTAATCGGGTAGATCTAGTTTAGTTAATATTATTAATGGTAATCATGATCGTCATCATTGATCAATAATAACATCACAACAAGGTATCAAACTAAAAAAACTCTTAATTTATTGATTTCTTAAATTTACGCGAACACTACACATTAAATAAAACTATTATTTACGGATTTTATCGCGTTTAATTACCAATTTAACTTATTTTTATTATCCCGACGTTTCGGGTGCTTCACAGCACCCATAGTCACGGGGGACTGAGATGTTTGACGTCCCATTGTCATAGTTAATCCGGCTACCTTCAGTTTTTGAATATTAATTTTTGGTCCGATTTACGCAAAACGAGCTTATAGTATCATGAAGGTTTGCAGTGGTATGCTTGGGTTTGGGTTTAATTTTGTTAATTATTTGATCCCAAGCAGGTGGCAGCACCCATCCATCTTCTCTATTGAATTTGGATGTTTTTTAATTTCAATAGCCTCGCGTATCATCCTTGGTAGGAATCGGTGTTCTTTTGAGATTTGTTTTATCAAATCTAATGTAATAGTGGGGACGATCTTGAACATGTCGCAGACTGCAGACTTCCCGGAGCGTCGGTGCTTCACGTCAGCTATATGTTCCTTCACGCTAATAAGATCTATAAAAACCCGTGTGAAGGAACATATGGCTGACGAATATAAGCTGCTGATAAAAATAAGTTAAAGTAGTAATTAAACGCGATAAAATCCGTAAATAATAGTTTTATGCAACTCTTAATTTTCTTAATTTAAGAACAAAAATACTATAAGTGTTATATTAAAATAGGTAACGTATATATTCGTTAATTATTCCATGTAATATTTTGAACAACTTAAAAAGAAGTTTTATAGTTTAAATTTTTATCATTAAATCTATTTAAAGAACTTATCACCAGCATATATATATATATATATATATATATATATATATATATATATATAACGCGAAACTATCTTCCTAATGCGAAGGTGTTCACGTTGAATCACGTATGTTTTTCGATCTCAATATTATGTGCTGAATCTCTTCATACATAATTTACCTATTCACTTAAAGTTATAATTTTCTCTGCTAGCACAGAAAGTTTTCTTCCACATCAGTTGTCAAAGTTCGAGCACTTCTTTCTTAACTCAAAGCTAGCTGACCGTGTTCGAATTTGTTTGAATTAGCGGTAGACGGTTGCTTTAGAAGGGCTGTTATCCATAAATAACATTTGAAGTCTTCTACATGTATATACTTATCATAAAAAATCGTAAAAAGAATCATAAAAAAATCATCGCGCTGAAATGCTCTTAACTTACATCCAATTTTTCAAAGAAAGTCGATATTTAAATAAGTATTTAAATCGTTTAAAATCATGAGGGAAAATTAAAATAAGTACATACATAGGTATCATATCTGAGATCATTATAATATCAGAGATCTGTCTGCCAGATAAAGCTCACAAAGCTGAAGAATGAGTGTGGTAGCATCGTTTCCGGGACACCTGAGATTTTTAAAGAAATTGATAGGTTCTAAGGGCAGCTATACACATCATTGTTGGAGTCACACGTATCTACTTGTGAGTAACAATCCAAGAGCAAATCTTATCCAACGCTATTCCGACGATATCCCTGACGTCAGTCTAAACGAGACTAGAATGGCTCTCCAGCACCTTAAAAACGGCAAGGTCCCAGGCGAGGATGGAATTACAGCGGAGTTTCTAAAAGGGTGGAAAACAGATACTTAAAGTCCTTCAGAAGCTCTTAAATTCCGTCCTTCATGGTAGCACTACTCCGGAGGCGTGAAGCAGAAGTGCGATGGTTTTGTTTTTCAAGAAAGGCGACAATGCTTTCTTAAAGAACTACAGACCAATTTCCCTTCTGAGCGGCGGCTACGTGTTGTTTTCGCCAGTCAGACTCGACGACTTCCAGCCTCCCGAATAAGGCGGTTTCCGAAAAGGCTGCTTCCTTGGAATATTCCAACAAAAAAAAACACAAATGCTCATTGTTAAGATTTTTCAAACTATAAATATATTAACATTGCTATCTCTGACCCCAGCATATACTCAATTACCTCAATAGTGTCTCCCAACGGATAGGTCTTAAGATGAACATGGACAAAACAAAGATCATGTGTAATCTTCATGTCACGCCTATGCCGGTAGTTGTTGGGCGCACTAAGCTCGAAATTGTTGACTGGGTAAGTCCAACTTCGACCGAGAGGTCAATCGACGGATTCAACTCGGCTGGGCAGCGTTCGGGTAATTACGACACATCTTCTGTCGGGTGTACCTAAAAACCTGAAAACTAGATTATACAACCAGTGCGTGTTGCCTGTGGTGACTTACGGATCTGAGTGATCTGAGTGAGTGGTCGTTCAAAGCTGGCCGTATGAGGATGCTCAAGGTCGCTCAGCGAGCTATGGAGAGGGCTATGCTCGGGGTTTCTCTGCGTGATAAACTTAGAAATGAGGGTATCCGCAGTAGAACTAGAGTAACCGACGTAGCCCAACGGATTAGTAAGCTGAAGTGGCAATGGGCCGGCCATATAGCTCGAAGAACCGACAACCGATGAGGAAAAAAGGTTCTCGAGTGGCAGCCTCGTACCGGTAGGCATAGTGTAGGGTGCTCACCACTAGATGGAGTAACGACCTGGTAAGACATACAGGAGGTCGATGGATGCAGGTTACTCGGGACCGTGATTTGTGGCATTTCTTGGGGGAGGCCTATGTTCAGCAGTGGACTTGTGAAAGGCTGTAATGATGATATTTGAAAATAATCGTTTTATAAAACTAAATCATAACTGGCTTGTGTCACGTATAAAAAATAAAAATTGCAAATCTTTACGGGTGGACTGTCGTACTCAAGTACTCAACACGTTTTAAAAAGATCTTTTATATACTTACACCTTGAACGAATTTACCATTCAAGACTTACACACAGAAACTTGTCAACAAAGTTAACAACAAAGAGTCCCGTTTGATTAAAGGGTGCTATTGTTATTTTTCTTCAAGTGGAAAGTATAAAGCTAATTACATGTAGGTACTCAATTAGTTGTTAAATCCTATCAGTGAGGGGAGCACAAGTTGTTCGAATGGGCTAACTTGGGTCGTTACTCCGTATCGTATTTGCTGAATCACTTACAGTTACAAAGCGCTACGATGTTAAACACGTAGTTTACCAAAAGTAGGTCAACCTTGGCATAATGACTCACCAAACCAAAAGCGATTTAGTTTATGCCAGTCAAATCAAAATACACTTTAAGTATATTGGTATTTTTAAGGACATGTTTTTTATTTATTTATTTATTACACAAAAATACAGTCAGTTGTTTTATATACAACTTTCGCAAAACTGCAGGGCAGTTTTTTGGCGAATACATCATCCTCTTATTATTATTCTTACATTTTATGTTCCTACTGTTAATTTTATAATCCTTAAGAACTTAAAATACACATAAACTGTACCTACTGTAATTTAAAATGCAGTCCTTAAAAACTTAAAATAAGAAAATTAAATTTACACTAATTTAAAAGATTTAAAGTAATTAAAACTAAGCGCTGTTACTACTGTTACATACTTTATTATATGTAACCTGATTAATATTCAAACTCATTAAATACATTTAAAATCAAATTAATTTAAAACTATAACTTTAATTAAGACAATATTAATTATTACACATATAATTATCCAGCAACCACGCTTTCAACTTCTTATTAAACATTTTTTATTACCACATTCGTTTTCAGAAAATATCTTATTGAAAATACGTGGTACTAAATATTTTCTCGTCCTCTTGCCGTAATAGTTATTAACTCTATGCTCAACGTATATTTCTTTCGCGAAGTAATTCTAATATTTTTGTTAAATGTTCGAAATGTTTTAAACTCTAGACTTTTTTAGTTTCTAATGTTGTTTTGAATTTATATTTATATTTTTCACCCGAGTGAAATCCGGAACAGAACATCATTTCAAAAAATCACAACCCATGTTCACAATGACTGTGCAAAACATAATCTTTTTTTTTCTTTTTTCTATTTTGCTACACCTATGTCGAATTCTCACCACTCCATAGGTTGACTGGTAGAGAGTGGTTAAAGCATAAAAGTGTATAATATATTGGAAGGCTGGTGAAATAAAGTCTACCTTGTGTATTATTTTGTAATAGGGATGCATTAAAAATTAAATAAATAAATACGTTACACATCAGCAATACCGGGACGCCATCTTTTAACTCCAGCTTATGCGAAGGCGCGCGAGTGTGGAAAAAGGCGAATTGGTAGGCAGTGCTGTCGCAATTGGCCACCATTTAACTAATTATTTAATTAACTGACCTTTTTTGACGACACCACTGCCCTTTTAAATAACAAATATTCATTAAGGATGTTATTTAATAAGTTTGGAAAATGTATACAATAAGTTTGTCTTCTATCACCACTTTGTATGGCAAAACTCGTGTGAAAATTGAATTTTGCTATTTACGTCAGTTTCTAGTTAATCCTATATACATGGTTGAGTCACGCTGCAGCTATATTATGTTTGTAACACAAATAAGTCAGCTGGACTGGGAAGGACTACGCTCTCATAGAATACCAGCGTAAATTTTCGTTTGGTAAGTGTAGGGAACCGGAGACCGTTTTTACTTCTACTTTAATCCTCAGGGGTGATATCGCATCTGCATTTTGTTTTTTAAGGAGTGCTGTAGATATCTACAGACCACAGTATTCATAGATGCTCCTCTGGCGTTTTTTCCCTTGCAAGATTAAGTAGTAATTTGAACATTGAGTGTGCAGTTCGTCCATCGTTGAGCAACATTTGTAGCGCTGCCCAAGTAAGACACAGCAAACGCTATATTGTATTTTAGTAGTAATGTTTAGCACGTATGGTGTCATTATTTATTTGTTCCTATACATAGAGTATAAAACACACACACCCAAATACGTAATTTACCAATTAACCAGGGAGTGAAATTCCTGGCGTCTGTTTTTTCTCAGTTCATATAACTTTAACCTCTTCACGGCGTGTGTTAACAGACTTTTCCTAGGCAAACTCATTCCATCGTAGACCCCATCTTTGCCCTCGGGCCAAATATAGGTAAAGAGTGAACCCATTTTTAATAAAAAAAGTTGTATATAAAAGCCTAACAGTAACATTGAAGGAATATAGTGACGATATAAAAAAATAAGCATTTAGAATGCAATTTTTATTAACCATTTTAATTTACTCTTTAATATTTTTATTGATATTCTTTGGGTGCGTTTCCTTAAAAAGTTCTTCTTGTAATAAACTTTCGTAAAATTTAGAAACCGTCGGGTGTTGTTTTAAGTCCATCTGGAACCTGTAACAAAATAAAATTAACCTAAATTCTTCATAATGTAAATGAATATTTCCTTGTGTGCTAGCAATAAAATTTAGGATTCCATATTTAATACGAGATTAGTTTAGAGTAAGATGAAATACGTCCCATTTTCTCCAAATGCCAACCTCACCTGCACACGACGCTGCTCTCCACAAGCTTTAGCACATGACCAATGATAGGAAATGCATTTAAAATCCTTGAATCTCAATTATATAGACTGGTTATGAAGAGCAGTATTACTATTGTGAGGATGTGAGTAAGAGGTGGGTGTAAGTTGCCGTGTGGTGACATAAGAGAATTGATGCTGTGGGTGCCGTAAGAGGTGACTATAGAAAATGATAGAAAGATCTGTGTTAGGAATATCCGTACGTGTATGGCAATTTGGCAACTAAGCCTGACGATTATGACAGGACGGCCCGTGTCCAGCAGTGAAGTTTTAGAAGAAGAAGAAGAAGTAAGCGACAGCAGCCTAATGGCAGGGCGCGGACCGCGAACTCAAAAAGGTCGTGGGTTCGAATCCGTCATTCGACTATTGGCGTGAACCACTCGTAACAAAAGCAATTTAAGCTTATCACGAGTGGTTAAGGGGAATATTAGTAATGTTTATAGCATTGCTAATATTCTTTTTTTTTTTTAAAAAGTTGCATTATTATAAATTGGTTTTAGTTTTCTTTATAGGATAGGGTGACAAATGAACACACAGTCCACCTGATGGTAAATGGTTGCTGTGGCCCACAGACATCTACTTCTATCTTCAAATACGAATCAAAATGTAAATGCGTTGTCATCAGTGAGAACTAAGATGGAATGCCTCGTTTCCAACAAAATGGGTCTCCGGTTCTCTACACTCACCATACGAAACACAGCAGCCTTAAGCTGCTATTTTACGCTGGTATTCTGTGAGAGTGTGGTCCTTCCCCGGTCTAGCCGACTGATACGTGCTACAACGTCAAAAATGTTTTTATTGTTTAAAATATTAGAATATAACAGAATAGAATAATTTTTATTTAATATAGATTACGTGTTATTCTTATTGACCATCATTTTTTACTTTTACCACTGGTTCGGGAAAAAACCTTTTTCCTGGGAAGAACTAGTTAGAAACACAGCGGGACTCATTTTTAAATAAAATTAATTTACAATATATTATTATTTTGTACAAATAATATGAAAAGATTCAGAAACAGCATCATCATCAGTTCGTCAATCATGTACTCTTTAGTTGTAAAATAACCCCTATTATATGATATATAACGCCTGCATATTTTCTGAGACAGCTGTAAAAGAGTAAACATTGCCCCATGGAGGAACAAAAAGAATTGTGCATGTTCTTGGTAGTTCGAGAATGTGAATATCTATTTTTTATAAAACTGTTTTTGTTTTGGTGTACATACATTCATCATCATCATCATCATCATTACAGCCCCATCCACTGCTGAACATAGGCCTCCCCCAAGTAATGCCACAAAGCACGGTCCTGAGCCACCTGCATCCATCGACTTCCTGCATGTCTTACCAGGTCGTCACTCCATCTAGTGGGGGGTCGCCCTACACTACGCCTACCGGTACGAGGCTGCCACTCGAGAACCTTTCTTCCCCATCGGTTATCGGTTCTTCGAGCTATATGGCCGGCCCATTGCCACTTCAGCTTACTAATCCGTTGGGCTATGTCGGTCACTCTGGTTTTACTGCGGATATCCGCATTTCTGAGTCTATCACGCAGTGAAACTCCGAGCATAGCCCTCTCCATAGCTCGCTGAGCGACCTTGAGCGTCCTCATACGGCCAGCGGTGAAGGACCACGTCTCAGATCCGTAAGTCATCACTGGCAACACGCACTGGTTATACACTTTAGTTTTCAGAGATTGAGGTATACCTGACGAGAAGATGTGTCGTAATTTCCCGAACGCTGCCCTCTTCTCAGTCGATACGCTCTTGACAGAGCGGTCGTCGTCGTCACTTGGGTGTTGTAGCACGCTCTACAATACGCCTCCACTCCTCCCTATCAGCTGCCTTTCTTGTGCACTCATGCAACGGGACATCCACCGCAGCCCTCACCTGGTCTGTCCATCTCATAGGCGATCTGCCACGCGCTCTAGTGCCCTCTACTCTTCCCTGGACCACTAGACGTTCAATCGAGATATCATTACGTCTAGACACGTGACCAAAGAAAGTGAGTATGCGAGCTTGCACAATAGATGACAGACGTTGCTTGATGCGGAGTTCTTCGAGAATGGACTTATTGGTCCGGAATTCGGTCCAGGACACTCTCAGCATTCTTCTCCAGCACCACATCTCGAGAGCGTCTATTCTCTTCTTCTCACTTTCTCGCAGGGTCCATGTTTCCGAAGCGTAGAGGACTATGGGGAACACAAGCGCTCTAACTAACCGGGTCTTAGTGGCTTTTGTTATGTTACGGTTCCTCCATATCTTCCGCAACTTATCAATGGCTGTCCTAGATATCGCCATACGTCGTTTTATTTCATCTATGCAGCCCCCGTTGCTCGAAATTAGCGCTCCTAAATAAATGTATGATTGGACTACTTGACATTTCGCGATTTGTGTCACTTCCGGCGAGTTAGTGTTGATGTGATCGACAATCATAACTTTAGTTTTGCTGCGATTGATCCGAACGCTGCCCAGCCGAGTTGAATCCGTCGATTGACCTCTCGGTCGAAGTTGGACTTACCTAGTCGGACTATTTGTCCCAGGTAAACGTACTCGTCAACAACTTCGAGCATAGTGCTCCCAACAACTACCGGCATAGGTGTGACATGGACATTAAACATGATCTTTGTTTTGTCCATGTTCATCTTAAGACCTATCCGTTGGGAGGCACCATTCAGGTCATTGAGCATAGTGCTAAGGTCCTCCAGCGATTCTGCCATAAGAAATACATCGTCGGCAAATCGAAGGTGAGTGATGTACTCGCCATTGATGTTAATACCGTATCCTTTCCAGTCCAGTAGCTTGAAAACGTCTTCCAACGCAGCTGTGAAGAGTTTCGGGGATATAACATCACCCTGTCTTACACCTCTCTGCAGTTGGATAGGTTTCGTACTCTGGTTCTGTACTCGGATAGCCATCGTAGCCCTACTGTACAAACACTTCAGCACTTCGATATACCGACAGTCAACTTGGTACCGCTGAAGGGACTGTAGCACCACCCAAATTTCGACGGAATCAAAGGCTTTTTCATAGTCCACATATGCCAGGCAAAGTGGCAGATTGTACTCTTCGGTCTTCTGTACAATCTGCCGCAGTGTATGTATGTGGTCTATGGTACTGAAGCCTTTTCGGAAACCGGCTTGTTCGGGAGGCTGGAAGTCGTCGAGTCTGCGTGCGAGACGATTCGTAATGACCCATCTCGAAAACAGCACGTAGACGCGGCTCAGAAGAGAAATCGGTCTGTAGTTCTTCAAGAGAGCGTTGTCGCCTTTTTTAAAGAACAAGACCACCGCGCTTCTGCTCCACGCCTCCGGAGTAGTGCCACCATGGAGGACGGAATTGAAGAGCTTCTGAAGGACTTCAAGTACCGGTGTTCCACCCGCTTTCAGAAGCTCCGCTGTAATTCTATCCTCGCTCGGGGCCTTGCCGTTTTTAAGGTGGTGGAGAGCCATTCTAATCTCGCTCAGACTGACGTCCGGGACATCATCGGAATAGTGTCGGATAAGACTTGCTCTTGGATCGTTACTCACACTTGCGTGTGGCTCCAACGATGATGTGTACAGCTGCCCATAGAACCTCTCAATCTCACTCAGAATCTCAGGTGTCCCGGAAACGATGTTGCCACACCCAGTCTTCAGCCTTGACAGTTGGCTCTTTCTGGCAGACAGATCTCTGGCAAAGACTTTGGAACCCTGGTTCCGCTCGATCGCTTCTTTAATACGAGCAGTATTAAAGTTTAGTCTCGCCGCAAGCATTTGGAGATCTGTCTGTTCAGTTGCCTGCATGCTATCAAATCTGTTGACGATTGCAGCCTCATCTCCCGTCTAACAGCCATGAGATTAAGAGTGTGATCGGAGAGTTTTTGTGTTCGTCTGCGGCGGGTCTTGCAGAACTTAGCTCCGACCGCATGGACAGTTTCCACGAGCTTGTCATTCATATCGTCCACTGCATTGCAATCCTCTAGGCACTGAAAGCGGTTTTGTAACTCGAGCTGAAAGGTTTCGGGATTCTGGATTAGAGCACGAGGGGGACGGAGCGTTGACTTCATTAGACGAGACCTCTCCAACTTAACGTTTAGGTTCAGTGTGCCTCTAACCATTCGGTGATCGCTGCCAGTTTTCACCCTTGCGATCACTGAGACATCACTGAACAGTTGGCGTCTGGTCGTCATAATGAAGTTAATCTCATTTTTTGTCGAACCGTCGGGGCTCGACTACTACTCTACTTGGTCCTACATTTCCTGTGGGGCCGCTTCTGGAAGAAACAGTTCATCATAAAGAGTCCCTCTTTCACCATAAAGTCGGCCAGCTGCTGGCCCCTTCGGTTCCGTTGCCCTACTCCAAATTTCCCCACCTTCAACTCACCGCTTTCTCTTGTGCCTAGTTTTGCGTTGAAGTCTCCCATCAACACCCGTGTAGTGGGTTTTGGAGGAATGCATGGCTCTGGAAATATCCTCATACATTTCCTCCACCTCCTCATCGGGATGTGCCGAGGTTGGTGCGTAAACCTGTATGACCTTCAGCGAATACCGTTTAGTGATTCTGAGTATCAGGTACGCGACACTCGTCGACACGCTCCCAATCTTTACAACGTTGTTGACTGGAGACTTGTGGACGATAAATCCGACACCTCCTTGGGACAGATGGTCGCCCTCCCGGTGGTAGAACAAGTTGCCGGACTCGAGGATTGCCGTATCCTCCCCCTCTTTCGGAGCTCGGATAATCCAATAATATGCCAGCGCAACTTGTCTATCTCTTCTTCCAGCTCCAGTATCTTCTCGTCAGTCCTCAGGGTGCGTGCGTTATATGTTGCCAGGTCGAGTCGTCGTAGGTGGCAACCGAACCTCCACCGGAGATTCTTAGCACCCCCTGCCCTGCCGTTACCATGGTCGCCACCGTAGCCAGGAATAGCGGGGCCGCCGGGGACTGGGGGCCGTTTTTTTGCTTCGTTATTCATGGGGGGATATTTGCCATAGTTGCCTCGCTTGGCGAGCGGGTTGGCAACCGCAGTTTTTTATTATAACACGGGAAGATATGGGGTAGTGGATATTCTCAACCGCCACTACACGGCAAACATACATTAAATTCTCATAAATATTCTGAGATGCCATATTTATTTCTTAAATATTTTTTCTACGAGATCACTTCGGATCTAAGTTATAAAATGCTCTAAATGACTCTCTTCGTCTTATTAGTCCAGTTATTAGTCTATTAGTAACATATGGGAGGAAATTTTAAGTTTTGTTATTTAAGTGGTTGTAAGTCAGGTCAGTCGCGTTACTGATGAATATGTGGTCACGAGTTGGGATCCTGGGTCGGGTCAAATATTAGTCATTGTGTTTTTGGGCAGCCCCAAGTCAGGAAGTTGGTGGTGTTTCACCGTAAATCGAAAATCACGTAAAGCCGTTGGTCCTGCGTCTGATCTCTTGATTGCCACCCCATCGGACTAGAGTGAAGAAATAGAGAGTGAACCTATGCTTGCGCACATACTTGTGCACAAATTTGTGCACTTCCGTTGAGCCTGGATGCCGTGACCGATAGTGCGGTCTGTAAAACAATATACGAGGTAACGATACCGCATCATTTTAAAAGTTGTTAAAAAAGGCATAGTATTTCTTTTATGGCCTTGGTATGTTAGTTAGATGTATTATTTAGCGAAAATCAAAATCGCCCCCCATAATCAAATGCACCATTACTGTCACCGCGACAGTAGTCAGACAATCTACACATTATATATTTAAAATTTTATACTCTATTGTTAAAAAAGCAGAAAAGTTATACAGATAGAAAATATTTTACGAATGTTAGCTTCTTTTTTACTTAATGTATTGGGAAACAAGGAAGTCTACTATATGGAGTTACAAATTTTCTTTAAATGATTGTAAGCATGAGAAGCAAGGACATATTCTTTAGTATGTTATATCGTGCGCTTTCATAACACGTATTAATAAAATTCGCTTCACGAATTTCCCTCGAGGATATGGGGAAGACTTATTACATTAACAATACATTTCGCTTCCAGTATGGCGTTCACAAAGACCTCTCTGAGAGTATCGAATAATGGAATTTGTCGAACTACACTCATGGAACTAAATGTGTGAACGAGGGACTAAGGAAATATTGTATCTTATTTTCTTATTAAAAAATCGTTGACATTTTAACTCCAAACATATTTCTAAATATTTTTATAATCAACTAGCTGTGAAAACCCGCTTCGCTGGGTTATTTTTGTCGGGAATGAATCGGAAAGTGAGATTTATACAGTTTTTCATCTCTTGGTTTCATATTCTGAATCCTTTCATTAATTTGGTGTACTGCACCAATTTTTGTAAGTAAATTTGCTCGCTCACACAACTATGTTCTATGATAAACTTTTTCAATAAGTTCGTCTTCTGTATGTACTACGTTACAGAATTCTTCTGATAGAATAAGTTTGCCTGACTGTGAATCTATAGGATAGGAGCCTTTTCAAATTTTTAACAGATTTTCAATAAACTCTTGTGCTTCCGGATCTCCAATAATTTTTGCTCGCATATTTTTTGTTAGTGATAATTTGTAAATACGATCCCAGAACGTTAATCGATTCAAACATGTGTTAATTTCATCGGCTGAAATTGATTTTTCAATAACCGGCAGCGATTGTCGAAAATAGAAAAGATTCCGGATATCTTGTAATGTTCTATTAAACACTTCAAGAGATTTTCTATGTGCTATTGTACATACATCCCATATTAAAATATTGCACATCGCATCAAAACCTGGCAATGCATAGAAGATCTTGAAACATTACAGACTGAAAATTCTTGTTCGGTTATATTTAAAGACAAACTTAATGCAGAATGTGCTGTTTTTCTGTCTTTCATTAGTGTGGCGGCAATTCCTGGTGCAATTTTATTATCTGCTAGAATTTCAGCTAAGATCAAATTAATCCAGATGATTCTCAAATATGACACAATCAAGAACAATCCAGATTATTCTAGAATGATAAGAATAAATTTACAAATCATTTTAAAACATTAAATGTAATTTAAAATTTTCGAGATATAGATTTTTCTGGATTATTTTTGAAATTTTTAGAACAGTCCAAAACAGTCTAGACCGATCGAAAATATTTGTAACTAATTAAAAACATTGAAACACATTCTGGAACTTTTCAGATTATTCTCGAAGTATTTATAACATTGTAGAACGTTCTAGATTAATTAGAATTATCTCAAGTAATTTTAAACATTGAAATATATTTGTGAACTCTCAGATCATTCTAGAAATTTTCAGAATAATCGAGAACGTTCTAAACTGATTAATTTAATCTAATTCAAAATATTTAAATATATTAGAGAACTTTCGAGATCATTCTAAAATTTTTAGAACAATCTAGAATATTCTCAACTAATTATAGTGACAATTTTGAAGATAATTTTTTTCAACCCCCGTATCTATTACACCCCTATAGCTATCGACTCGCAACCCCATAGTACACGATGGGAGACTTATAACTACTACCAAATACAAACATTATTCGTCTTCGTCAAAGTCGACATCTGTCCTTTTATATATATCAAATTTGTTGAATGACTCCACAATTATAATAATAATATAAACATAAGTAGGCCTTTTGTAAGATTTTTTTTATAAGTTTGCCCGCATGGACGTAGCAAATGAGCGTAGAAAGAGCTCATCAAATATCTCATCAACGCTCTCAATTCGATTGCCACGGCTTGGTGAAAGTAGTTCAAACCCTCGCGTGCTGGTAGTCCTATAATCAGACAGTGCGATATGAGTTCGCTATTCCCAGATTGATTCCCTCTTTGTAAGTGAATAAAAGTGCGTGAATTGAGACTAACATTTAGAAAAGTTAAGTTATTCGTTAACATAAACTACATTAGAGAATTTTTATAGCTTGCAGAACGTTCTTACCTATGCAACTTAAACCATTCCACCTCGAAGGTTTGTTATCGAGTCACAATCGGTGACAGTATTTGTTTTAAAAATAAAATTAATAATTATTATATTGAAAACATACCTTGTGACAGCATTATACAACTGTGGAACAAGACAGAGATCGGCCATGGATATTTGATCTCCAACGCAGTAGTGGCCTGATGTATTTTTCAGCTGGTTTTCAAGAGTTTGCAGGCCCCGCTCCGTCCAGTATTTTGAAAACGTGTGGAATTTCTCCTTAGTTTCAAAGTGACTCTGCAAGCCTACGTTTTGCAGCGGTTGGATCCCCGATACAATAATCTATGAAGGAATAGGATTTAATTTTATTTTGACATATAATTTTAATAATTTTTTTTATAGAAGAGGGGGCAAACGAGCATGCGGCTCACCTGATGTTAAGTGACTACCGCCACCCATGATCAACCGCAACACCAGGGGAATTACAGGTGCGTTGCCGGCTCTTTAGAAAGGAGTAAGCTCTTTTGTTGAAGGTCCCCAGGTCGTATCGGTCCGGGAAAATTGCCGGTGGTAAACTATTCCACAGAGAGGTCGTACGCGGAAGAAAACTCCTTGTGAAACGTACAGTGGTGGACCGCCAAGCATCCAGATGGTGTGGATGGTACCGGGACGTTTGCCTCGTAGTGCGTTCACGCAATTTGGCAGCTGGGATTAATCCGAACAATTCCTCAGAGAACTCCTCGTGGTATATGCGAAAGAAAATGCAAAGAGATGCAACATCTCTTCGTAGCGCCAGTGAATCGAGCCGATCGGAAAGCACTAGGTCGTCGACGATTCGAACCGCTCTGCGCTGGATGCGGTCAAGTAGAAGGAGCTCGTTCACGAAAATTGGCGGCTCTAATGATAAAAACACATTATTTTATCAGTCACATAAAAGTTATATGTAATGAAATGAAATGTCTTCTAGTATTTGTGTACAAAAACATGCGACCTGCGGCCTGGGGGTTGAAATTAGTATGCTTAAAGACTTTTTATTTTAAACATGCTAGGATCAACACTAATTTAATTCAAAAGTAAGCAAATTTGTTCCGCTGAAGAATATTTTAGTTTTAGTATTTATACACATTGAAGTAAAACTTTCATACATCCATTACAGCTTATCGCATAGATTTTTGGTTTCCCCCATAGAATTAATGGTATGATATAGGGCAGTGGATTCTCGTAAGCTTGCCACTACACGGCCAAACAATAGCCAATGAAAAAGCAAATATAATTGAAAATTTCTACAATCTCTTATTAATTTGAAGTAAACTTTACGGTCATTAAATCTACATTCGTTCTAAGAACATTTAAAGCGAACTACCGTTTCCAAGTGAAGTTCCTTTGGTCGGGAAAGAAAGTGCGATAAAATTTGTAGGTATCCTCTTTTTTACATTTTTTATGACAAGTTAAAAAGTATACTTTTAATAATAAGGAATAACAGAATAGTTTCTAAAATAAGAAAAACACTTCAGTACGTGTACAATTTTCAATGAAAAAATAACTAGACGCATAGTTTGGATAAGTGTATGAGTTGATTAGTTCCCCGTAAGCAGCTAAAGTAAGTCAATGAAAATGAGTATCGCTAAAAGCATGTAAAATAAAATCATGACAATAAAGCTGTAAAGAATCTGTAAACGCCTCCAGTGGGGCACAGGTTTATCTGATTTTCACCTTCTTTCTCGCTATACTACTATGCTACCCCGGTGAGGGATGATGGACTTATTAAATAATGAATTCTACCTTTATAAAGTGCTCGTGCCAAGTTACTAAGAAAATATTAGAAAACATATAAACATTGAATGATAATAAATTTTATTTAGATATTAATTAGTAGATTAAAAATAGAAACAGTCCACTCCTGCACTTCGAACTCCTGCACAGTTGCAAAAGAAGAATGAATGTGATTGATTTGTTAGCAGGGAGATTCTATAATTAGGAGAATCGTTACACTCTGCATCCTATTGCTGGTTTGGGTATAAAAGATTTAACATCACATTACACAATAACAATACAACATGTCAGAATGTGGCATTTTCTTTATAAAAGTATCTCACGAAACGTATTAAACAAATTTTGTAATAAAAACGGACCTCGCATATTTCCCTCATGCGGGCTCTCAGGAGCGGAGTATTGGGCATCAACGTTGGCTCTGGGCGCGTTTCTTCTAAATACTGAAGAATTGCCATCGATTCGATAATAGTTGTTCCATCTGTTATTGCAAATTGTATTATGAAATAAATATCAGCCTTCTAGATTCGATTTGGACAATAAAATTAAATACAGTCAAATTACCTGGAACCTCCTTTTTTTGTCGGTGAAAGTGGGTAATAATCTAAAATTATATATCTTTTTATTTCATACGTAATGGGTACAAGGTTCAATGGCACTTGCGACGTTATTACTTCTGTGTTTTGAGATGTTTGTTTCTGTGATTGTATTTGTTTAGAAATACGGTAGCTCAGGGGATAAGTGTTCACTTGAATATTAGAAGTATGCGAGCAAACAGAGGTCGATGGTCGTTGGCAAAGAATTTGTTATTTGCTATTTTAAGTGCTGATTTAACTGAAAAAATCGTCAGCAAACCTGCAAGCTTAAGATGTTGAAAACGAGAATTGTGGTAGACTATTTTTTACTACGTCATTTTTCCAAATGAGAAAAGTCCTATGCCTAAGCTATTACTTTTTCAGTGTTTATAATTATGAACTCTCTGTCATTTTTTGCGGCAGGAAAACTCACACCTAACAATTAAACCATAAACTAACAATTTCACACACACATAGATACATCATAACAGTATCTCTCGGTGACAGCGACGTACAGCTCTCTCGGATACAGTCTCGGATCAGCCGCTCGACCAATCCCCATATTGTATGTCGGCGAGCAGCCTGAGTTGGAAAACAAATCCGAAACATAATGACCGTTATTAATGTATTTTTGAAGTCCAAAAAGAATTAAATAGTAATAATGTGATTAAAATTACCAATGAATACTATAATACATACTTAATAGAACGGGGGAGTGACACTAACATGTCACTAACATGACAATTCACACTTATAAATGTCAATCAACACAATCAATCGTTTCCAATTTTCGTGTCAAGTGTCGCTGCATGCAAATTATTTAAAAAATAGGTAATTGTGCAATAATTACGTGTCGAAAGAACATCGGGAAATGGAATTTAAATAAAGGAGACATATCCTACAACCAGTTTGAACCAGTAAGTCGAAACTGTTTATATTTGAATATTAGAAACAAAAATAAAGAAATATTTATGTGTCAAAAACATCACTCAGTATATCAGCGTATATCAGAGTATACAGCGAATCGGGTTTGTAGTAGTGATAATACGACGTAATTGCTTGTATGTGTGCTCCCGGCGACACAGAACTTCGTACAAAATAGGGTTGACAGCCATTCTATTGTGTATTATAGTATTCTTTGAAAATTACTTATATATGAAAGGTCTCAAAATCTAAATAATCTTTTAAGATATACATACTTATAGTAAAGAAAGAAGATTCGAATGCAGTGTCAAAAATAAGAAGTTAGTTCCCTCCGACCAACACAAGGAGATAATTTTAGGAGGTAAAATGTTAAGCTATATAAAATACAACGAACTAATGAAAATATATATGCAGATATTTTTCATCAGCAATCACGAATTGATCAAGACGTTTATTTTAAAAAATCGTAAAATTACATTATTTTAATTTTATAAGTATACTTTAATTTTCTACACAAGCATAATAATCTGTTATGATTTAAATTTTACAAAATATTTTTTTGGTTTTGTGCCTTATTAATTATTATCAATGTTTTGTACATGTAAGTACATATAATATGTTTATATAATAGCACACATAATATTATGTACTTATTTTGATGTACATCAGTAAATAAATAATGAGCTAGATTATTTTAAAAAATGGGGTCTTTTAAAAATATAAGCACCGCTTAAAATCCTTAAATTAATCGTAATCTAATAATTTTTTCAGATAATATTGAAAACTATTGGTTTTTTTTTATTATAATGAACCTTATGTTGTGACGAAAAATTGACTTTTGGTGTGTTTTGTTCGATGGACATCGATATTTCATGCAGATACTTCAAAGTCGTGATTGTCGCGTTTTGTATAAAAGTTACCTTTGGCATGACGAACTGAACTGATTACACTCGTAACGCCAAAGTCCAGTAGGGAAGCGTAGTTTTGTCCTTAACAAAAGCGTTTCATCGTTCAATTTATTGACCCAAATAGTTACCAATTCAGCGTGGCTTTTTCTATACGATTTATTAACTGGCGACGTGTTCGTTAAATATGGAGTGATTGACCGATCCATTTACGACTAGAAGTGGGCTCGAACTACGAATTAAAATGATAGGTTATTATTTAGATCGATGGCCTCGGGAATTTAAGTTGTTTCAATCAAGTGTTTTTTGTGTATTTTTTTTTATTTCTATTATCCGTCTTATTTTATTTTTAAGAAATGACATTTTTCATAAAATCTGATTACCATAATTACTATATGTTCTTTCATTCATTCTATCAGCCTATCTAAAACCACTGCAGAACATAGGTTTCCCCGGGGATATGCCATAGTTGCCACGCTTGGTAGGCAGGCAACCGCTTTTTCTTATTACATTGAGTATAAAACGGGGTTGTGGATTATTTACAACCTCACTAAAAAACACACTTGCAGTTTAGTTATTACTAGCTGTTCCCCGCGACTTCGCTCACGTGGAATATTACGATTGCATTTCATGGCCTTATCATTTTATTGCGCGGGACCCTAATTATTTTTCTAAAATAAAAGTAGCCTAAGTTAATCCTTATAACATTAACAATCTGTCAGTTAAAATCCCGTCAAAATCCATCTGGCCGTTTCGGAGATTAGCCGGAACAAACATTTTAAAATTGTTTTTTTTTTGTACGTAAGTACTTTATATACTTTCATATACATTTAGCAAAAAGCTGTTATTTTGACAGTACGTTTGCATAGAGAAACATCCAACTCGTAATGCTTAGAAACAAATCGCATAAAATAAATCACACAACATATTTTGTTGATGGTGGCGTTCGCACTCACAAAAACTGTGTAAAATTTTCAACAGATATTCAACCTTATCTTTCAACATGACAATATTTCTACAAATTTGGTTTCAAACTTTTTGTTTCTGTAGTTATAAAGATATAATATATGTATGTAATGTACAATAAACTGTCAAACATATTTCACTACAACATGTTCTTTCACTATGCAAACGCTTTCTGATACATTGACAGAAAACAGTGTTAAAAACATGTTTTTTTTGTAGGATAAGGTGACAAACGAGCACACAGTCCACCTGATGGTAAGTGGTTGCTGCGGCCCGTAGACATCTACATATATCCTCAATTACAAATCAAAATGCAGATGCGTAGTCACCCGTGAGGACTGAGATGGAATGCCTCGTTTCCAGTAAAAAAGGATCTCCGGTTCTCTACACTCACCATACGAAATACAGCAGCATTATGCTACTATTTCACGCTGGTATTCTGTGAGAGCGTGGTCCTTCCCCGGTCGAGTCTACCCATTCGTGCTACAAACTATACTACTAATATAACTGCAGCATGGCTCTACCACGTAAAGTACTTTTAGTAATGTGTAGTGTAGTAATATTTTTTATAGTTAATATTTCGATGTGCTCCTAATTATTATTAAAGCCTGTTTACTATTTTTTTTAAATATATTAGTTATAATATAAGACTTTGTATTTTTGTCTCTATCTTTTTCTCAAAGTTTTGGTTTTATATGGCGGCAAAGCTTAAGGTGACCAATTCACCCTCACGTACTATAAAGATTATGTACTATAAAGATATGTGCGGGCTTATATATTTTTCAAAGTACAGTGCTGTCAATGACGTGGATAATACGGGAATGTGAAGTGCCATCATTAGCGGGCGGAGTATTGTGTGATGGCGACGGGCTATTGTCGCTTGATGACGATAGCAATATTGAATCACACGCGGGTGACACCCGGAATTATCGACAATTTACTGCTTTTGTAAATTATTTTATTAGCTTATAACGTAATTGCATTTATAGGATGATTAAGGGTCCACTATATATAATTATTTGGGAGTGTATTCTTTTTATAGAATAATGGTGACAAACGAACACACAGTCGGACGGTAGGTAAGTGGATGATGTGGCTCAGAGACATCTATACTCGGTTAAGAATCAAAATGCAGATGGGCTGTTACCCCTGGAGATTAAGATGGAATGTTTCCAGTAAAAAGTGTCTCCGGTTCTCTACACTCACTAGACGAAGCATTGTAGCATTAACCTGCTATTTTACCTGGTATTCATGTGTATGATAGATAGATAGGGATATGTACAATTAGGGACGAAAGTAGGCATGCCGGATCGGAAGACCAAAATATCTGGAGATTAAAATGTCGGGATTTTGGCGTTGTGTCGGGAGAAATAAATATTAAAAATAAAAATATAAAATAAGAAGTAACTTTTTTTAAATAAATAGGCTTTATAAAAAGATTGTTGTTAACACATAACTAATTTAAGTACACTTAATTTTTAGGTTGCCACCTGTATTTGGCATTGGACTCTATTGAGTCCACCAATTTTGATCCTTTAGTGGTATTCAGAAAATTCAATAAATTTACTTTAAAGTTCAACCTAATTACTAACGCAGCTTTTATTAAATCAAAGGCAGCTACGATGTGAAGAGAAGCTGTTTTTCTGGAGATTTTGTTTTTTGTCGGGAGTCTGGAGATCATTTGAAATGTCGAGAGAATTCAGACGAATCCCAACCATCTGACAACTTGGTGAAAGGGAGTTCCTTTTCTCCAAATACCTTCATTTAGTGTAAGGTACGTGAGGGTAATATGGTCACCCCAAGCTTTGCCGCCATAAAAAACAAAAACTAGGAGGAGGACAGAGACAAAAACACAAAATCGTATGCTATAACTAATATATTAAGAATAGCAAACAAGCTTCGGTGAATAATTAGATCAAATCGACTAAAATATTAACTATAATGTCAACTGTCAAAATGGCGTCGCTAAAGCAGCGCCCTTTTGACCTTTTATTATTTGATTGACTGATAAGGAGCTATCGTATCACAGAGCCATCGATGCAAACAAGGCTGTAGTTTTTAAGTAATAAGAAAATTATCATATTAACCGGATGACCATATTACCCTCACGTACTATAGTGCGTTTCCCCTGAATCTGCACATGATTGATGTGCTGATTAGACAATTAAGTGATGTGGTATCTAAAGATTATCGTGTGATGAAGTGAGTACCGTGTGTTAAAATTTCAAAGTACCGAACGATCGAGTTTGAACACTGCCGACACTAGTAAAGTTGTTGACTGCAATTGTTTTGCCAAGTACATAATTAGTTGCAGCCGGCCACGGTCCTGCAATGGCCATTTACTTTTTAATGCACTGCAACTTAAATATTATGAGATATTTTAAAAACAATTGATTGAAAACGTTTTCCAAATATCCGATGGTAACAAATTACATTGCGTAGATGGTTTTTGTGTACCGTCATCAAAGAATTTAGAAACCGACAAAACAAACACTTCAAAATGATAGCTCACTCAATAATGTTAGGGCGACATTGTTATTTCAAGCGAAATTCAAAGTTCGCGGCGTGATTGTAAATTTCCAATCAACTTCGATCGGATTGGTTTCCCAATTCAAGTTTTCTCCATAACGGGAGCGGTGTCGGGAAAAATTTGATTTCCTCGAGTGCCTTTTTCTCGGTGCTATATTATGTTGTTACATTTTTAATCGGATGTGTTCGCGTTAAGCGAAAGCGAATTTTTTGTGATAGACGCGAAAGAATCTTGTGTCGTGCAAGCATCTTAAAGAACGAGTATTCCCGAACCTTTTCGGAATTCCATTGACCTTTAAGTATGTATTAAAGCCTTTTATCGGCCCATGGACATAATGGATCTGGGGGAATAATAGCCAACAGGCCTCTACTTGAAAGTATGTCGTGTGAAAAATATTCAAGTTATTTTTAAAGTTATTTATAAATACGTAGGGTTTATATTTATTTATATTTTAGGTAGCGAAAGTTAGTATTTCTAATCCATCACCTACAGAAGTTCTATTTTGCAGGTTGTTAGCACGATAACGTATTCATAAGATTGTGACAGATTTTTTAACCAACCTTAAAAAGGAGGAGGTACACAATTCGACTGTATGTTTTTTTATGTGTGTTACCTCAGAACTTTTTCTAGGTGAGCCGATTTTAATGATTCTTTTTGTATTTGAAAGCTGGTGCTTCTCGTGTGATCTCATATAAATTTGATTAAGATCTGATCAGTAGTTTTCGAGTTATCCTTAATAATGCGTATTTAATTGACATCGACTACATTGATGATGTTCTCAATTTATTTATATTGAAGTCGGTTGTACAAAAGTTTCAATTATACCACTTTTACTTGCTCGTGAATATCTATTTGAATATAAATAACAAGTATATTGAATAAAATTGGAATTGAAAGTACCCTAATGATTGATGGCACGCTTCGGGAGCTTAAAGGTAAAAAAAACTTAAAGGTAAAACAATATTAACATATTATGTTACAGCAATGTTAATAGCATTACAATTATAAGAAAAAACAAAAAAATAATGTTTTCTCGCGTTTAATTTCAGTCCTTAACCCCTCAATCCTCTTAAAATTCCCATGCAGTCGCATACGTCAGTCAAATCCCGAGCTAAATTAAAACATTAAAACTTATATTTATATACTACTTTTCTATAAAGAAGTTAGGCATTATAAAATCTATACGAAATTATCTATCCTGTGGTTTAAACAAAAGTCAGTTATTCTATGTATTTTATTTTTATTCTCCTGTCAATTTACGACATTTGCCGACCATACGAAAATGGCGCAATTTTACGGTAGATTAAAAATAAAAATTTAAAGAGTAATTGACTTTTGTTTACTATAGAATAGAAAATTTTGTATAGATTCTATAATGCCAAACTTCTTCAAAGTAAAGTAGTCTATAAATACAAGTTTTAATGGTTTAAATTTAGAATGTTCGTGCTAATGTATATTTAATTTCAATATTTGCTAAATATAAATGAATACCAAAAATAACTTTGATGACAAAATCTTTCGCACTATGATAGAAAAAAAATTCATTTTAATATTTACAACGTATTTTTTAAGCCTGGCCATAAATTAAAGTAACATCATTTGAAGTATTACTGCTTAACAATAAATACTTGGGATTGAGATTATTACGACTGTCCCCGATTCTCTGATACTGCATCCGAACTTTCCCTTTGTTATCACATAACGCCAACAGCTTTTGAAGTCCAATACACGTCTTGAAAAATTAACTCACATTTACGTACGTAACACGTATACATTCTACACGAACAATGCAATTTTGCACATAAAACTTACCTATAACAAGCGCGGGAACTTTTTGTGCCGGGTTGATAATACGGAACTTTTCCGTTAGATGGCGCTTCTCACGAAGAATGTCCACAGGTTTTTCTTCGAATGGTATATTCTTGAAATGCAGGCCGGCGCGCACTCGCCAAGAGCACGAAGATAGCCAGAAGGCATACAACGTTGTTCGAATTTTAACCTTTTTAATAAAGTATATTTCCATATATATCAGAAATGCCAACTTTTGTGTACATTAGATCTACCTTTTATCTTAAAAATGTGTCAAGAATCACGATCAACTGGTCGTAGACGAAGTCTTAAGGATAGGGAGGTGTGAAATGCATAATTTTTATGTCTATACTCTGTGTTTAAGTACGAGATGAACTCTCGCTATATATTGGTAGATAAGCAAAATAAATGTTCAAATAGCTATATATGTGAAATATAACCTCTTTATTTAAAGGGCCAAAATACCACGCCCATGGGAATTAAAACAGTTATGATAATAGCAGATTTAGAATTATTTTAATACCTTAAAATTAATCGGTGTACAAGGGATTATAGGGCAATTGTGTGCGCAAAAACAGGTTTTCTGTGGGTGCGACGCACTTATCACTTTCATAGTTCATAGATTCAAGAGCAGGAATCCGACGCGACCGGAGAGAAATCAGGCACAGGATCTACGACTTTATGTGCTTTCTGAGGTACTTACTGAGAATATATAGACTGAAAAACCCAATAACTAATTTTGGTCCACCTCGAGATTCGAACACGGGACCACATGATTAGCAGTCACGCCTATGACAACTAGACTTATTAGGAATCAAAGTGGTCCTATGTTAGTGCTGTACTTATCATGTAGTGTAATCGCTTTCCAAGTTAAGGCATAATTAGCGATCGACTAAAATTAACTTCGCCACTTTGACCACCATTGCTGTATAGTATGTGAATGTACTTGATCTAATTTATGATATAAATTATAAATATGATGTCTTCTTTTATTTAGCACTTATAATAAAAAAGTCCATATTAATAGTACAAAAATACTGGTAGCATTTTTGTTTGTTTGTTTGTAACAGATTAAAAAAATGTTTTATCTATTACAAATAGATAGGTTAGGGAAGGAGGTCCGTAGGAAAGCGCTAAATAGGTTGCGCCACTGTAGCTACAGGCAAAATTTTAAAGTAGGTACTTTTATGAAATTTTTTCTTACTTATAGACTTTCACCATAATTCTTTTTACAATAATTATTTTATTGCTTCCAAAATTTTTATTTTCAAAATCACTCTCAACGTATTTTACGGCGATTTCTCATACCCTGTCGCTACTTGAGCGCTGTTGTGGAGAGTTTTTGAACTGTTATTTACTGATTACAGATGGACACATTTTCAACTATTCTCCTATGGGAGATTGTCCTCCTTACCTCTATACTCCACGGTTAGGTATTCGTGGTCAGTTTTATGCTTTTATTTTGTAGTTATGAATAATCATGCACAAAAATATTTTATGCTTGCTATATTTTGAGATAATTATTTTACCATTTGATGATAATTTACTGCTCTTCGCAATAAAAGGATATGAGACAAGAAAAGGAATGTCATGAAATTTCTTAGGCAACTACAGCATTACATGGATTTTTAATTGCACTCCTTATATAATTGTAGACAATAAAGGACGCAATTCATCATTCATCCTTTCTATAAAAGAAAGTACTTACTATAGTATTGTAACAATAAACGGGGAATTAAGTAAATTTTCCTTTATTTATAACACGTTTGAACTATGTGGTAGGTAAGTAAGACATTGTTAATGGATGGCAGTGGTAAGTGGATATTAGAAATGCGGGAAGAAACCGCCCACTGTAACATGAAAAGGCTTTATAGCAAAGTTAGCGGTTGACCAGTTGCGGTTTCCAATCTTCGTTCTGCAACTGTTATTTCAATTAGCCTACCTAATGTCTTTTTATATTTCTATCATCAAATATTAAGTTTTTTTAAATGGCTCTTGATTAATAAGTCAATTATAATGCGAAGATTAATTAGGATAACAATCTAATAACTTATTAAATAGGTAAGTAAATTAAATTATAATGTTAATCGACATCTAGCGGTAAACTGGGAACAGAAATTTTGCACAAAGTTTCCGATAACTAGGCCCAACGATTCTGTGAATTAGTTATGTTGGTCACAACGCTGCGTGAAAAAGTAGGGAACATGATAAGTGTTTGTATGACCTCATAATAATAAGGATTAAACTGTTGTTTTGCGCGGAACCCTAATCATTTTATTACAAAAAAGTAGCTTATGTTGCTCCTTATAACATCAACTATTGGCCAGTGAAAGTCCTCTCAAAATAGGTCCCACCATTTTCGATAATAGCCGGAACAAAGGAAAAGTTTTTGTTATTAATACCACATAATTTCATATGCATTTAGGAAAAAGCTGTTATTTTGACATTACAAACAGACACTTCAATTTTATTTATGTGTATTGAAAATATATTTAATAGCGCTAGAAGTAATAGTTTATTAACGTTCGCAAATCACTTTTGATATTGTTTTTACCAGTTTATATAAAACTTACTAGAAATAATGTTTTAATATAAGAAGTGAGGTTAGAACTTTTCCATAGGATAAATTTAATACCTACCTTTGCTCAATTCGCATACTGATAAACGAATCGTATATTATTAGTAAAGAAGCGGTGACTGATAATATTTAATAAACATAACGATAGTTAGTGCTTTTTTAATACCAAATATCTAATGAAATCGGATTAAAACTACAAAAGATGCACTACAAAAAATATTGTATTAAAATATCTTACCACCATTGTAGACTGAGAAATAAAACTATTTTGACAATTGAATGATCTTTTTTAAGTAATTAATTTATTAACATTAAACAATATTTATTAGCTTATTGCATTTGTTTAGAAGATAAAACTTAATAAACAGCTGATGTTAAGTGACAGCTACCAAACATGTTACATTGCAAGTCGCTACGCAATCGGCATTTTTTACGTAATTCTATGTTCTTAATATAGATGGCAGTATTTTATGTGTAGCATATGTTACCTAAGTCAACACATTTTATTACCTTTACCATATGAATTACTCCGAAGAAAATGAAAAAGGTAGGTAAATAATACACATTAGTGCTGATATACATTTTTATTTACATAATATATTCAGACACAATACTCTAAAATATTATTACTTCTACTAATACAATGTTTCTATTATTGTAAAATACATCATTAGTAGGAAAGCGTTAAAATCATACTGAATTGCTTACCAAATCGGAAACAGAAATCTATCTGTTTTAATATGGAATTACATTTTATAGCAATTTCTTATCCCAAAAACCATTAAGTATAACTATAAATTTTTATATTTTGCCAAAAATATGTTAAATTAAAATAATACGTATATTATATTCTTTTTTACCTGTTCATATTGTACAAGTCATTCTTTTTCTGTTTACGATATTCTCTTTTCCTTTGTTTAAAAGTTCTCTATCTATGTTACCGTCGATGATATTTCGTAATAAAACCTATAAATAAATGCTCTCAAAATAATTTCAATATTAGAAGGGAGTATACTATTTATACATTGATGTTAACTTAACTCACCTACTAACCCAGCCCTGTGGTGAGGTAGTGTGGCCAACTATCCCTATAAGGTAATGGGGCGTTAACTGTTCCACCTTTCAACACTCATTAATTTTTTTCTTTCAATTTCCTAAAATTTCGCCAGGTTCTACTTTATTGATTCAAGACTTTTACCATGAAATAAATAAAGGTTCAAGTATTGTTTACAATAAATATTAAAGATTGTTTCAAGAAACTCACATTTTAAATTAAAATATTTCAACCTATGGAGAAATATTACTTGCGTGAAATAGAAATTATAAGTTGTAAAAATATTACAAGAAAATAATGTAGCATAATCAGCACGTTTTCCAGGTCCTTTTTTAGTTAAAATATATAGGAAAACAGTAATAAATAATTACGTCGAGCACTTAGATCTTATAGTACTTTTTTAATTTTTATCAGTCGGTTACAGCCCATTGTTGGACGTGGTAATCTATATAATAGATATATAAGCGACATGCCACTGACTGACTATGACAGACTTACTTATCAAGAGATACCGTTAAAAAAAAGTTAAAAAAAGAAAGATCTCTAAAACTATACACCTGATTTTGACACTTAAAATTTAGTATAGTTACTCATTTCGCAATGTAGACGCTTACTAAGAACGGATTTTACGATAGTCCCATCAGAAAAAATTCTTGATATTTTATATCTAGGTTCCACAATAAAATAACATCGTGCGCCCAGCGAAGCGGGCGGGTATCAGCTAGTCTTCTATATTATCCAACACTACTCATGACCTTATTCCACAGCAATTAGGATGTCCAAGCCGATCTCTTATGGTATAATTTATTCCACCACATTGAACGTTTTGGTAGCTTTTTCGAATATAATTTTTTTTTTCTTGTTTTTTCTTTTTCGATTATAATTCGAATATATTTTAATTACACTTATACTTTTGTAAGTCGACTCGTAACTATTGGATCACCAGTATTTACTTTGCTGTTCCTAATATTTTCTCATACTCAATTAACATTATGATAATTGCCTTTATTATTATTATTATTGTTATTTTCCGTTGCAAATTATTTGCAACGGAATACCATATTTAGTAAAACCACCAGATGATTTCAAACATTTTATAAAAAACATCATTTTTAATATATTATTAAGTGATTTTCACATATTTGGACTAATTGTTAATTTTCACGTCGTTGTAAGAACAATATTTTATTTTATAAGCATTATCATTAATCATCATCAATACGGCCCATATATTTATATAAACATATTGAACGCTTGGCGGGCGAGTTAACAACCGTAGCTTTTTGTTATTATTTTGAGGTGCAAGTTGAGAGTTGAAGATGGAGCTGACCATCTCGTGTTTTAGTTTCACTCTGTCGCCTTTTACAAAACTCACGGAATGGGACTAGTTACAAAATAAAAATATAATAGAGATAGATGTTTCAGGATCATGCTAAATGAAAGTTCATAGGGTCTGCCTACCCCTTTCGGTGACAGACCTGGCAGCTTTTTGAAGCATACATATATTCTGAAGCGTTTATGTTTCCATCATTGCATCCTGCATTTCATTGGAAATTTCTCTTCATTTGTATCTTGTTTTACTTTTTAAATCCTTGAAATGCTATTACACAAGTTGACAACCTTTAATGATGAGTATAGATTATACTACTCAGCAATGCAGCATGGCAGGTAAATTTTTATTAAGTACCTAAACAGGCTGTTGTTTTAGTTGTTAATTACAAAATGGGAGACAAAAAGAAGAAATGTTATTAAAAATAAAACGTTGCTACATCTGAAAAGATTTAAAAAACTATGTTTATTATACCTAGTGATACTTACAGAATATCTTATTATGTATTTATTGTTATATGATTAACATTTTTATTGATAGTTTATATTTTACAATTTAATGAAATTGATAGGTAAAGCACATACATAACTTTTTAAACTATTATTTAAACTAAATAAAGCGTTTAACATAAACGAAATGTCTATTTAATAGATACGATTTAAACGTTACGTAAACGTACTGGGTATGATATATTACTGCTCAAATAAGATAAGATCACTTTTCTCATCCCAACTATAGAGTATGCTACAAGATGTTTTAAATGTAAAATAAAATAGAAACCACATTTTGTTTTATTTTATAAAATGACAAAAAGTTGAGTAGGTTACATTGTGTAACAAACAATGCTGAAATTAAACCTCAAGATTATAATTTTTTCAATTGCAGCTATATTAAAATGGATGTAGGTACTTAGAATTATTTTTATGTAGCAATTGTATATAATATTAAAACGCTTTCCAAAATCAAAATATGTAATATTTTTATGTACTAGACCACGATGTTCCTACTTTGTTATAACAGCGTTATTTTAAGGGTAGGTCCCATACATTTGTAATGAATTTGGTCATATTATTGTACTAGTTTTTAGGCATGCTTACTATGATACATCATCGCAGCTAAGGCAAAATCAAAGCGAGGACTATATTATATAGTGATTATTGTACGTTTTATTGCGACGATTTATTATCCCCAACGCAGTGGTGAGCCTGGCGGTCGCACGAAGATAGCTCTCGTTTGAGCGGTCACGATCCTGTTTCCATTGTTATCGGGTGAACCGTAGAATGCGTGCAAATGTCGACGATGGTGAAGCTCGTGACCTCTGTGAGATAAACCTTGCAGGCGGCTCCAAAGTGAAAACAGTCGCTTTTTCACCGTCTTCTTCCTGCCCGACGTAGTTCCTGACAAGTTTAAAGATAATTTCAAGACTTTTTATTATTTTTTAAAATCTCTATATTGTCTTAAATCTGTATGTATGTTCCGTATCCTATTTGTTTTAGAGCCCACAGTCATCAGTCACAAGAGCCCAGTAGTAGGTCTCTAGAGAGTTATGATTAAAGCGATTTGATTTTGTAGTCTGTAGCAATTCGAGGGAATATTGTAATAGCAAATTGAGACTTTTCGGTATCTGACTCTATAAAGCAAAATAAGATGCAACAAAGTTGCGTCGACTAATTATATATTATAATATTTATTAACAAAGTCTAGCTTTCGTTACTTAGGTATCAGGTATTAGAAGGTGTCTTTTTGGAAGAATGATGGAGTGACAGAAGTCCGTTACAATTCTGGAAACAAACTGACTGAGATATATACATTATAATAAAATAAAAATAATTAACTTAGACATACAACATTTGTACATCATTTTTCCTCACCATTTAACTCGTGACAAATCAAAACACAAGCTTGGTTGTTCACATTCTACAAAAAATGGCGAACTTTAGCGATAATAACGGTAGCTATTTTACTTTAATGACTTACATTATGAAAAGGTATGTTCCGAAATACAGTTTAATATGTAATATAATATTATGTCAAATATATAAAATTTGTCCTGCTTGAAGTTCAAAAACTTTATTAAACTAAGTTTGTATAAAAAGGTTATTATAATATTAAGAAATTTATGGATGACAATAATTACTGGGGAAGGTGATCGCTACCAAGCTAATTTAATTTCTAATTTGTTCTGTGTTGTTATTTGTAACGTATATGGTTGTAAGCTGTTATTTTTTTTAAAAAAGTCCCGCTGGGTATTTTGCTGGTTCTTTCCGAACCAGTGGTAAATTAAAACAAAGTGACTTTCACTAAGTATTATTTATAATCTATATTGACTAAAAAATTTCTTGTCTATAATGTGTAATTTACGAAAAAGGTTCATAACAATAAAAAATACGATAAATGTAAAGTGAAGATCTATATAAATTCAATTAAATTTATATAAAATATACATCAACAAATCTACGAATCTTTTAGTATCGGTACTGATTTATTTTCTTTCGAATCTCAGAAGTATATCTCTCGAACTGATAAATTGCGTTTGGGACATTTACCTTCCATTAGAAATACTTTATTATTATCTTCACGCTATTAATGTCGGATAGCCATCCGAATGGATATTATTTCCTCAATGCGACGTCATTTACTATCGAAATGAAAGTTACCCTTAAACATTTATTTCGCAGTTCTTATGGTAGATGTAACTTTTTGTTTAATTTTGTTAATAATATTGCATTTTTTTAAAGGTAATATTATTCAAAAGTTATTGTAATGCAACTTAATTATAAGAGATGGGATATATTTTTGTATACAGTTTGATTTGTACATTCTTCCGATGAAAGAATGCATTCATTTCATCGACCTGCAA